GAGGACCTTTTCATGTTGTCCCGGTACGGAAGGTCACCATCAGCTAAAAGCACGGGAAAGTCGCGGAACACGTTGCAATTTGCGGGTTGGAGATGCACTCCGCCGCCTCGTTTCCGTCTGCCTGCCGACCTCTGCCTGTTCTGGTCTACACTGAGCGATCGAAGGGCCAACGATTTAGCGGTATGGCCGACGAAGACCAACAGGCTGGGCTGCTGAAGATCAGGACCGGGAGTGTCGTTGATAAGCGTTTGAAGCCGGTCCGAGATGGACAAAATGATTTCATTTCGTTCGATGCGGAGGTTAAGCCATTCGCTATGATAACAGCGTGCCATTTTGAAAGCCAAAAGGCTACTGTTCTTCTTAGGACTGGGATTTTGATGTCCGCAAGAAGATCCTTTTGATATATCATGGGTACTATAACCATTGTCCTGTGAGAAGAGCTCATTCCAGACCCTTGACCGCGAGTAAAAGGAAGCATACAGGAGGAAGAGACTTAATCTGGCTCCAAATGCAGTCCTTCGACATCCAGTATTGAACCCCCACGAATTCGGTGTACGTTTTGGGCTCCTCACAGTGCTACTAGGTTGACTGGCATTCCCCTGCTAGCTGTTTTCCTTAATATGCAAGCTGAATCAACGCTGATTTAACGACTGTGCAGGTGAACCCAGTATAGAGCAGTAATCATCGTCACTGTGGACATCTCGAAGACTAGGACAGACAAATACTCAGCAGGATGCCTTTGAGTCACCAACCTCATCATATGAGCCGACATATCGAGCTTGAAGATCCGAGGGCTTACACCAATCTAAAGAAACAATCCGAGCTACCTACATCCAGGCACAGATGTGCGCTTTGCCGCAAGCTTCGGTCTCCGGCTTACCAGAGAGATCATCCCATCGCTCCGGGAGAACAACCGACCGCCGGTATCTGTTCACGACCTGGTTGCAGCACCCAGAAACGGACGTGGTCTCTCTCGAAAAAGTGTCCACCGGTGATGGTCCTGGAAGTACACTGTTACGTATACGAAAATCATTTTCCCGATAGCTCCACTGAAACTCCTCTCACGGCCGAGCTCCCTGCGGCAGAACAGGGCCAGCGAAAGAAGCTCTTTCGTGGTGATTATGAACTGTCGCCCTGGACACAAAAGAACCCTAACGTAGCTGAAGATAGGCAACAAGGTCCATGGGTCAGTCGAATGACCAAACCAACTTTTGTACTTCGCTGAGCTGGGAGATTGATTGTTGTTGGGAATCAACATTGTGACCATATGCACATCACCACGGATCTCAGGTATCAACGAATGGTTCTCTTTTGAATGTTCTATCGGGCCCGTTCTGAAGATATTTGTCACAGATGGAATTGGTACTGTACAGTAATGGAACCGCCGGCCGGTTATATTGGTGAAACGTATTGCTGATTTGCAACGGATCATGTTAGATGAGATTCAAATATTGTCCACATCTATACCATACGATTCTCGTCATACCATCGTCATACGACCTCATAGAGTAGCTAGGCCTTCCTGCAATTTCGTTCCCGTCGTGAAGCTACCGTAACGCTGCCAGGCCCACCACGGATCACTCAACCGCTGCTAAGCGTGAGAAAATAGTCACCTGGCTCCTTGGGTTTAGCTGGTGACACCGATGAAACTTGGACTGTGGTGACTTTGACAAATTGTGGCACGGCACTGTTCGCGGTCGACCAATGTTGGGTTTTCCTCTAGCACTTCTCGGCCGATTATTCTCCGATCCAAAGATGTGACTGATATGAGAAGAGGAGTAACTCACGTACACTTTCGACGTAGATAGAAACTAAGACTGAGTTGTAGAAACTAACACTGAGTTGCACCAACGAATGGCGTTCCGTGGCAGTTCACCAAGCTAGCACGATTTATGCTAAGCGTTTCTCAGAAAAAACAAATATAGTTTACAGGCACTGTGCTCGGCGCCAAATCACTGCTGGCTCAGAACGTCAGGACATGACAATAGCAAAGTTGTAAAGATTCCCAAGGATAATGCCAGTTGCTTGATGCCTATGGGACTATATTTAGATGCAGCTCCTCCAGTAGCCCGAAATCCACGAGATTCAACTTGTGTTGCTCTGTGTTGAACAGAAAGTTTTTGTCCCTCGGACTGAGAGCTCCAAAGGATGGCGGGTCTGGCAAAGAAGTGTTGTGAAGGAAAACTTTCTTTCCTCTCCTTCTTGCCGAGGCTTTGTTCTGGTTGTGGACCTGCGCGGGTTGGTTATGCTTCGACTTCGTTCCCGGCCTTGGCTTTGCTCGAGCACTTCCCTTTCCCCCAACATGCTCAAAATCCTTCACGGTCCGTATCTCTACCTGCGGGTCATTTGACTTCTGGACGAGACTTAGCCCCTGAAGTCAATAGGAGATCGCGTCAACAGGCTTCTTACAAGTTCTTCGACGCTACATGGCAATGATCCTCCATTGGGCGTCTGAAAAAATGTCACCTGCCCGCTCTCGGGATTTCGGAGACAGACCGTAAATTCGAATCCGCATATCTGCCAGAGGAGGAATGTTTTATTAAGCCAGCCTCGCTTCCTCTTTCGTCGTTGTGTGGTCCTCTCCTTTCTAGTTTGCTCTTCCTTTTGCTTTACCATCGTTTTTGGTTGTGCAACTTGGCTGGCTGTGAAGCCTACATCACGACGGTGCTTTATATTTCGCAGTACTGCGTCAGATGGGGAGCCCATTGTGGCTCTCAGCCATTCTATTCATAGACGCTGCCTTTGGAAGATCCAATTTTGGACTTTTGCCTATAAATGTCGTGGTAGGCAATGTCTCCTTCCGTTGCTCATTCTCACAAAAGACCCTCCCAACGATGCTGCTACGCACTGCCGCCCAGGTTTCCACCTTCGTTGCTCTTTACTTCCCCTTGGGGATGGTCTCTGCGGACACCTTTCGAACTGACATCCAGACAACCACCCCCACGGCCAGTATGTCAAAGGACTTTGTTTGGACGAACACTTCCAGCGCTCCACCAGAGGCGACCGTTGAGATTCAATTCGATGGCCTGTTCGGCTCCGGCGTCATAAACTTAACCAGCAATTACGGCTTTACAGTCGTCAATCTGACCGCCGCCAGCACCTCTGTCACCTCCTGCGTCTCTCCAAATCCATTCGCAGTCAATGTCACTTCTGGGGCGACCATTCCTGCCCTTTCCACCGACAGCGTCTCTATAACGAACCCTCCTTCGAAGATTGTGACCGTGGTTCCCTCTGGCGAATCTTTTACGTCGCCGTCGCCACTGTCTGCCACGGGCGACGGCCCTCTTGGCTCGACCCAGGGCACAAGCCCTGGCCCTCTTTCTACCACTGTTTCTTCGGCCAACATCAGCCTCTTCACCGGTGTTGCAGGGCGATCGAGAGTCTCTCCAGCGGCTTTGCTGATGTGGTTGCTCTTGGGCGTGATGCCGACATTTTCCGCCTGGAGCGACAATTTCTAACGGCTGATGTATCGACGATGGATTCTTCCTCTTTCTGCACTCCGTCTGCTGCGGGTAACCTCATGGAGATTTTAGATAGGTTAGATAGCTTATTCCGAAAACATATACGTACTCTCGATACGTAAACCAGTGCGTCGCCTCGTCAAGCCTCAGTGGAGCGTTTGGGATCCACAAAACTCGATGTTAATGTTCATTGATGAGTTACATGCTTTGAAAGCGGTTCTTTTCTATCTAATCAACCCAGTAAGGCATCAAATTTCAACGCTCTTGAGATATTCCTCCCTCTGGTCGCTGATTTGTCCCAGAGATTCGGGGGATGGAGCCTGGGATCTCAAAAAGTTGGGGCCGTCGGTGGTCACTTCTTGCGAGCTAATCTCGTCGACATGAGAGGCGACCGCTTCAATCACGCTGATGTATGTCGGAGGCCTAACTGTCACTTCTCCCGTGCCGTTGTTTCTCGTCCCACTTTCCTTTCGACGGAACCATTGAGGTAACTGGATGACGATACCACACCAGCACAACATCGTGTTGCTTCTATGTACCGAAAATAATTATTCTCCCGAACTCGATACTGGGTCCATGCGACAACAAAAACTTGCAGGAGATCGCAGACAGAAAACTGGAGTATTGCTACTCCTGACGCGGTAGCGGTGTCAAAAGGTCGTGTAGGAGGATAGATGCGCTTGGTCCAGTAGAGGTACTTGAGCAACTCAGTCTCCGATATTTATGGATCGCGTGAATCACGATAGGAATCCAATCGAGCTCCAGGATCCTCTTCGGGCCTCTGCCCACGTCTTACTTCAACCATCGAACATAAGACAGCAGCTTCCCTGGCTTGAACGGTCGCTCACGCGGCATTACAAAGTATTCCATCCTATCTTCCTAAAATCATTTGCTTTTGCACTCCACAAACAGACATGGACAAAGAACGGCCACACTCGCCTAGCATTTCCGATTATAGCGACGATCTGACCATGGAGGCGTTATTGAAGAGGATAGACGACTTCCAGAGGAGGGAGGAATTGATCACAATAGAGAGACTGGAGAAAGAGATTTCATCATTACGATTTCAGATTTCATGCCACCAGAGAAGTCTGCACGTCACCTTTAATTTGCTGCAAGAGGCTTTTGATGCAGCTGTCCTCATCAAGACGGCCTTGCAGACGTGTGATGAGGAAGAAGAAACGGCGAACGCAGATTGGCTAGCTTTTTGGGGAATTCATATCGAGACTCGGTCAGCTCTAGAGTATCGACCGATGGAATGGCCTCAAAAATGGATCTAATTACAATTGAGACTTAAGTTTGACTCTGGACATTCCCCGTGAACAGAGATCAGCAAGAAGGATCAGCTTCAGACACCGCTGCAGCGTTGAAAAATGAAAGGTACTGCAGGTCATCTGACCTTAGTTCTCACTACAATATCATTCTCGTGGACTAAACTTGCAGTTGTATTCCATTAAGCACGGTACAACTTTTGCCTTCTTCTTTTTAGGAGCATTTAGAATTAAAGTACTTCCGAATCGCTTTTCGAACGACATCCTCAAAACGTGTTGAACAGGTCTGAATCTATTGGTGTAGCCAAGCATGGAAGCCTGAAGAGTACATGCTGAAGATTCGGTCAAAATACCTTCAGATGTGGTATTGCAAGGAGAAGGATTGGTCAATTTTTGGTCACCATTGTCAAGGCACTCCAGCAGTCCTCTCTGGGAGCAAGTGGATATATATGTGCGGTATGGGAGCCAAGAGTGAAAAAGATAACAACATAAAATGAACAATGAACAACATCTCAAGCCCGAGCATAATCTCATATCCATAACAGTATATTAGACGTATAGTCGCTCAATAAAGATGCTGTATACAGTACGAGAGAGCACAAATCTATCAAATTTCGATAGCCTGCTCTTTACTCTTGTTCACGCTTTGGAACGATTATGGTTGGTCGACGGAAAATTCAATTCATAACTGGGAACTCTCAGAGAAGCAGTCTGGCTCTCTCTAAGTGCCAGGAGGAGCTCAACAACGCGGTGATCCTCTCATGAACGACGCGTCAAAGTCCCGAAAATCACCCTCTACACCTCACGAAACACCCGACATACAGTACCAGTACACGGGAAGGGAATGGCCTCCCTTTCATGTACGCTCACGATGGAAAACGGATTTAAGTCCCCTCATTTTCTTGCCCAACCGAAGTATACGGTGTCTAAGCGTGAAGAGACGCGACGAAGAGGCGGACTTAATAAGAGGCATATAATTTCCATGACATCACTGCGATCACGCATAATATACAGTAGAACACTCCTCATCACGCACAACATAGAACATATCTTTAGACATATCTATCTTCTCCACCTCCTTCATCAATAACGCGTTGACACGTTGAAAATCACCTTTCGAGCCTCCTGAAACACTTAATAAACAGTACAAGTACGCGGGAAGAGAGTGTTACCTCTTTCATGTACGCCCCCGGATGAAAGATAGACTTTGGCACTTCATCTTCCTGCCTGACTATAGTTTACAGTATTAAAGAGTGAAAAGTATACGGCAAAGAGGCGGAGTTAACGGGGAAGAAATGGTCCATCACACGGAGAACACACTTTAGGAAGTCACTATATTAAATTATGCTATCACTATTAACATCACCCATAGCTCAGAAAGTATTTTTTAGACGCATTACACACTTCCACTTCCATAGCTCGCTAATATCGTGGCCCGCTATCTACGCGAAGGACGCTGTGGCGACGCGTTCGGCTGCCGATGGTGTCTTGATGGTCGAAAGTGAGTAATGACCTGACCAGCATTAACGAGTAAGCCTCGCACACTACTCATCTGCACTTTATGCAGCGCACTCCCAAACCAGTGGCTATCGCACTAGGGCCGGCCAGGCGCTCGGTAGGGCCCCCAGCGACAGCAATCCAGCCAAGCAGAACGCGGATTGGACGAATGCCGCGGACCAAGTCCCGTCGGCCGCGTCCACGGTTCAACTATACAGCGGCGCAGACGAGTGTTCACTAGAAGACAGAACCAGAGGAGGGCCGGGAAGGGCCTAACACGTAACTTAGATACAGAACAGATATTAGGACTTGTTGGTGGGGCTATCCCTACCTACAGTCGGAACGCTGCATAGCTGCCACTGAATCGGCGGCTGGGACAGTCTATGACTTTAAAAAAAAAAGTTCAAAACTTGTAAATGGTACTGTAACTTCGCCACAGCCACACTGTACACCAATTCAATACTGATATCCCTCTCTTTCTGGCTCCTTGGGGATCTCTTTTGGATCCTAGTGGGGTCTAATATTGGTCTCTGAAATTGTCGGTCTGTTGAATTCTAGCTTGACCAAGTATAAAACCTGTAAGACACTCCTTCATCCTGATCACTTCTCTACTACTGTCGCTGTATTAAGTTCCACCGAAACACCTTCCTTTGCCCGTCCAACTCCGTTCGATTCTTTCACCGACGGGTAATACTCACTTGCCCTCTATTTCAGCTTATCATCCTTTTCCAACAATCGACAATGCACTCTAATACATTATTCTTCGTCATTGCAGGTGCAGTACTCTCGTTCGCGTTCCCACACCCACGGGGACAAAGCACCCCAGCAACAGGAGATGGCTTTTTCTCTGGAGAGCCTGCTCAAAGTTGTGTCATAAATCCACCCAATGTGGAAGGCGATAACGTTTGCGTTTCGAACGGCAATGAGAACACATCGATCTGCTGCCCAGCCGGTAGCGCGTGCGTCCAGGGTGCGGTAAGTCTTATCCATTGGAACAGATGACGGTCGGGTTTGTGAACATGATCACTAACATTTGGTTTTCCCCAAGGGTGTACAATTTGAATTCTTCTGTTTCTAGATTTACCTATCATCATTTCAATAACTTAGGAGATTCTATCCCTGAACAGGCCGATCCCAACTATCTCACCCTCACAGTCGGCACCTTATCAATATCCAGCAACCTTGTAGGAATTACGTCCATCACACTCTTTATAACCGAAAAATTGATGCAAAGGCTTGGCGTTGGGATATATATCTGTTCTTGTCGGGTACAGATGTCAAAACTCTTCAGGTCAAGAAGGTATATAATTCAGATCAAGGAGGAGTGCGGGGATCAGCTTGTCGTAAATCTTGCCTCTCCAGCCTCATATAAGCTTGAAAAGGTTAGAGCGCAAAGAATTGTTTGGCTAAAGCGAAGGGACAAGCGCAAAGCACCAATACGTCGTGTCCTAGGATCGGGAGAGGTCGGTGTGAGTTCATCGCTCATCCGAAGAGAGCGCGAGTACCACAGATAGCCAGGCTTACAAGAATGATCGGGATCGGGCAAAAGAAATCTCATCGCGAAATCTGCATTTCCTTCTACGATGCTAAGATTGGCGCAGATTCTGTAGGTCCTTTTGGAGACGGTCTTGTAGAACTTGGGGTCAACAGGGACTCGTTCCATCAATACACCAGTCGCTTTGAGGCTGAAATTTCGTTAATCATGGGAAGGCCTTGCTGTCGACCCCTACACCGGTCATGCATATTGGCCTCATGACTTGAAGAATGAAATACCAACTGCCAGACATGTAGTTGATCTCATCACCGTCGGCCTTGCATAATTCCAGGCATTTTCAGTGATAGCTCCTTTATCAACGCGGATAACAAGTTTGGAAAGAGTGTGAAACTAAGCGTCTCATATAAATTCACTATATGTCTCAAATAAGGACGTTCACAGCCGTGGCACTTCAGAGGCTCGCTATAATCCGTACAAAGGTTGATAATGGGACAAGACCTGGCCTCCCCCTTGGGTACAGCTAGCCACCGGAAGCGAAAGAGCGAAGGAGACAGCCAGCAACGTGCATCAAAGAGGAGGCGTATAAACGATCCTGGCATCGATTGATTCTTTGTAATAGCCCAGCGTGACAACGGCTTTTCACTTTACGCATGTGGGCATATATAGTTCGGATGGGTGGACGGCAAATCGATAAGGTAGAACCCTAGAGAGTATTCAATCGCTCGAGTATAGGGTAGACTTCTCTCAGCACGTGATATAACGCCGTTGAGCGGCGTTATATCGAGGATGACGGTCGGATTAAGATCATGATTCATCAGCTTGAAGATGTTGCTGATCCTCTCGCAGTTTACTTGGGCAACCTCGACCTGCATGTCAACGTAAAAATCATCCCTCCACATCATAATACACCATCCGTTGCGATACGTGCCGGGAGGCGCCAATTCTCCCGAGATTTGGCCAATAAGTTCACCCTCATGGTGTGCAATCTTGTCGGACTCTTCCGCGGCGGCTTGTAGACCTCGACCCTTGCCGTCGTATATCCGAATGCGAGGTAGTATCTTAGGACGGCGATGAGCGCAATCACACTTGCTTTTATTACACACATCGCACTGTTTTTCGCCGGGACCCACATAGGTTGGGTCAATTGGCAAATCCAAGTTATCAAGCCAGTACTGTGGTTCCGTCAATCCGGGTAGTTGTTCTTATTATAAACAAGCTCATCCGTTGTCTCGACAGGTCTGAGACAGGATATCAATTTTTCTTCTGGAACTTTGTCCAGTAAGAGTGTTTCCCCGACAAACTCGACATCATCAGCCCCCAGCTCCAGTGAATCTTCAAACATCTTTCCGGCGGAGCAAAGTGTAGAAATATACTCAGCATCGGACTCAGCGATGAGATGCCGTTGGAGAGAGTCAAATTGTGTGCCTTTGAGACGGACCCACTCTGTGGAGAAAAGCCAAACGGCTGAGTCTGAAAGAGAATAAAGCAGAGAATACCAGGACATCTTTTACAACACTCTTCCCATTTTTGGCCATTCTCTTGGCAGTAACGATACTGGCGTGGTTCTAATCCATTTTCCTTGGAGATATTTTGAACGAGGCCTCTCCGAATTCTCTGGCGGCCGCTCTTCTTTAGGTTGGAATGTTTGAGCTAAACGAAGTTGAGATAGCCGGGAAGCAAACTTGACAAAGTCATTTTTGTTTGACAAGAAACGAATCATCTGTGTAGCGTTCTTGTGCATTTGAGAATGATCGCCATCCTTCATCTTTCGTAACGCTGTGAGTTCGAGGAGCCGGGGGCCGTGGACGATTGTGAAAAACGGCTTGATGGCCGCTGCACTACAGATGGACTTCGCCATCTGCAAGATTAGAGCAGTCTCAACCATATCAGGAGCGATAATGTCTGGACTAGGCGAAGTTCGACTCCTTTTGCCACTTAGCTTCTGCGGAGGGCGGAGGGGACAGATCTCTCTGCCTCTTTCGAGGGTTCTTGCGTTTGTCCTCCTGCTCATGTTCGTTCTCTTGTTCGAGTTGTGGTTCATTTGGGGCACGAAACTCCAAATATGCGTTAGGTATAGGATATCCAGGACAGTTGGAGCTGCATGCAGAGTAGCCTTTGATACTCCAACCAGGGGGGGCATAATTTATGGCCTCAGCAAGAGAATGGCCAGTAGTACCACCGTGATGGTAGATACCTCCAAACACCACGACTACCTCGTTTGCATGCTGAACAAAGTTGACAAAGCATGCATCCAGATCCTTGAGGTCCGACAGCTAAAACCAGAGAGAGGCATGTCGCACCTTCTGCGCACATTTCCATCTCTTGACAATCTTCTCGATGAGATGGCCATCTTTTCGAGCCACGACATACCAGAGCTTCTCTCTCTCGTGTAGGACGCTGAGATATGGTATCTTTCCATCCTCGCTATGGGAAGAAAAGAGTGATCCGTGTGCGCCCGATATACATGCAAACGGATAATGAAGCTCCGGGACGACGGTCCTGGTGCGATCCAATTGATTATCCTTGAGAGGCCAAATTGGAGATTCGCTTGGTAAACCAAGTCTTTGTCGATCTTGGGGAGTCCGAGCCTCGGCGTCCGTACAGTATTGCATCTTCCCCGTAGCCCGAGGATCTGTAAGACGGCCCTCTAGTGTTTCAGCGAATTTGTTAAGCGGTGTGGGTGTGAAATCAATATCGCCGATATCCAGTGTCTCCTGTTCAACTGTCCGTGAAATATGACAGAAATTGTCCTTGCAACGAGAGGACTTGAATTTGGACATATTCACAGGAACACTGAGGATAGGCGGTAGGTCTGCCACAAGACCGTCCGTCAATACGTACTTGAAAGCCCCAATGTTGTGAGCACCAAGTTCTGTGGCCTGAGAGATGAGATATGGCACGTCGCGACACTGATCCTTATCGAGCATAAGAACGACGACGCCGTGCTCTTCCCTGTAAGAAATGGTTGATGTTAGGGTTTCGTGGAATGCTCTGCAAAGGTCCATCGGGCTGAGAAGGGAGAGCTACCGTAGCATCTGCATAAGGGCCTATGCTTTTCCGCAGCGAAATCTCCTGGGTGTTGGTCTCATTATTCTGGGCTTCTTCCAAGGGTCTTGGGGGGTTCTGGCGTGAGTGGTGACTTTCATTTGGTGTGTGATCTGGCATCGGCGGTAGAGGCCCAGAAGTGACAATTAGAGCATCAGGTTCTTAATCTATAGGAGAGATTTCGACCTTTTTCTCGACATACTGAAGACTCTCCGCTAGCTCTTTTATCAAGGACCGGATCTCTTTCCAGTTCGTTCTGTGGGGCCGGCGTTTCTTAGAGACACGTGTGAATTCATCAGTATCACAAGCTTGTCGACGCTCTCTTTGATGAGCCGGATTTCTACCAAGATATTCGACATCGTGACAGAGTGACAGGTTGATACTTCAGTGATGGGGAACAACGCAGGTCGGAGCAGTGAGATGGATGTTGGAAATTGAACGCGTTTTGGTTTTCTACAGCTCGTAAAAGGGGTTTCGGCACCAGCTAAACTTTATTCAAACAGCAGGCGCTAGATCCCGAAGATGACTCACACACACGATCACTCAGGCTACATCGTCTTAACGACGAAACTTGCCGCTATAAAGAGCATTGCTGATACCAGAAAGTAGAGATAGACCTCTATTCCATGATCTTGCGGCATAAGCGAACCTCAATTGCAATGTATCTCTTCGAACTCCTCTCTTTTTGCCTCCTTGAAAGGGCCTCTGCCCTACCACAACAATTGGCCACCCACGTTGTGGTGATATCTGACGGCGTAACATTTACCACGCTCTTCGCGACGACTCCCGTGCCTTCAGCAACTACCACAACCATGGAGGTCGTCCCTTCTCAAAATTACTGCGGTTCGCTGTGCTATCAACACTCCGAATCCTCTACGAGACAATGTTGTCTTGACCTTCCCGGCGATGTGGGCGCCTCGATTTGTTGTCCTGCAGGCACTGCCTGCGAAGCTGTCATTGGGTCGGCACCCATTTTTCTGTGCAATTAGGGACAGGCATTGCAGTCAATAATCCATCTGATTACGTATCTCCCAAAGAGGAAAACCTATGATTACGGCCATATCGACTTGAAATGGATGTAGCTGCTTGATGGCGATAAAGTTGTGGTATTGGTTTCAGACTCGGCACTTTCTCCAATTATTGAGCCAGCGATGCTGAATTTGACGGCAAATTACATGCTCGACGTTTTCATACGATCCATTGAGATATTCCAACGTCTTGTGATTAGAATACTTTTCTGCACTATCTCTGTCGTGCGTGAACTGAGGCTTCTCCGCGACGAACTGACCTCCGATATGCGTTGTATTCAATCCCAGCCAGTGTAACCAAAGTAAGAAACATATCCATTGTACCGTAGTGGGACTCACCTGGCTCGAGTGCATACAGCTTAATGAAGTCACGGTACCAAGCCCGGAGAATCGTAACTGATGAAAAAAGCTGAGACAGAGGTACTTACCCTGCTGTTTGGAAACCAAACAGAAGCCATACACCCTCCAGACATCTCCTAATTGATAAGACCGACAATTTGATCGCTCCGGAGGAGAATGTTGAAGGGACTTAGGTCAGCATGGGCATAAACCGGTGGTGGCCATGGTCCGTGTTGTTCGGTGGCCATATCCTGCCAGTCTGGGTCGTTTTCTCGGCCTTTAATCTAGGAGGGTTGAAGGTTATCTCTAAGCCAAAGTTGAAACTTTTATATCGGTTCAAATAGGCCAGATTATGAGTAAAACAAGTCACTGTATTACACAAATTAATACTTCATTCTGCTCCTTATCTACTATTTTAAGGGCGCCTGCCTTCCTATGTTCTGCAGCAAATTTTCCGTCATGCTTATTCTCTGCCCGCTGAATTTTGGGTCCTCGAGTATTCACATATTTGAAATTGATTGTGGAGGCATTTTCTGTATTTAGGCCAGCTCATAATCTCGCCGCTGCTGGCAACAGTTAACCCCATGTTGACTTCTCTGGTTCACCGGGCGTCGTTGTCTCTCTGTACACCCGAGGACCCCGTGGTTAAGCTCGAACCAAACTGAGTGAGGGGTGTTGCTCGACCTGGTCGAGAGAATAATGCAGGTCAGGGAAAATAATGCTCTTAGAAGCAATTTGGACCCCCCCCCCCCGGGTCTCTTTCGAGAGGTTGAATGGTTGAACTCTTCATCACTTGGGTGATTCTGTACAAATCCCTCAGGGGCGAGACGCTGATCAGCGCGGGAGGACGAGGCCATTGGCGAGGGTGCTTTTAGCTATGGAAGAAAATGAGAGAAGTCAAGGCTTGAAAATGGTTCGGAAACATTTATGGGAGCAAGTGGGAAACCACAACTTTTAGAGGTCTATCATCAGCCAGGTCCAGCATAAGCTCTTTGAGGTCGACTGGTGATAGTATCGAGTCTAAATCTATGTGTTACCTTACGTCGCCTTCTTAATCAGCCATATCAAATGGGCGATATCAAGGCATCTCAGCTTCATGCCCATCTCACCTAAAGTGGCCTCCTTAAGCCGGTTGCTGATACTGAAGCAAACCAAGGTAACTTCACATTCTCAAGACCTGCAGGAAATAAGCATGCAATGCCAAAGACAGAAAGTTCTGTCTCTCTCCTTATTCCCGCAGCATGTTTGCATTTATTTACGCCGCTTGGAAACTTCACCTGGCTAACAGGAGTGGGTCGCTCCTTCCGTGACCAATTCTATGTCAAGTGCCGCCTATCCGCTATTGCTGGTCTCACGAACTTCCTCCTTTTGTTCATGACTGTCGTCCTTTTTAAATGGGTGTTTCTTTATCCAGTCATCAATGTAAGTAATCGCCTGATGTGGATCATTCTTATGTAATAACAGAAACCCTTGGATCTCAGCGAGGCTGTAAGCAATGATCAGGGATATCTTGAGTAAATCGGTCCGCCAATGAACGAAGTCCAGAGTTGATTGATACTTCAAAATCCCGTTTTGACAAGATTGAAGCTTCATTCGATTTGTCTGGCTGGACTAGCTGCACATCAGCAGTGTCGGGATCCCTGGGTGAAAAGATATCGCTGAGCTTTCTTGGACGTTTAGAAAGAATGTCCGTTTCCGGATTATACATGCGAATGAATAAATCCTTGATCTGCTGCTTTGCTGCCAGTTCGAACTCAATCTCCATGTCCACTCTTCCTGGACGAATGAGTGCTTTTGGGAGCCTCTTTCGATTATTAGTTGTTATGATGAAAGCAACACCTTCGGGGGCCGTCATTCCATCCATCAAATTGAGGAGACACGAAAGGCTGATGGGCGAGTTCGATGCATGTCGGGATTTAGATTCAAATATTCCACTGGAATCAATGTCCTCCAGGATGAGTATGCACCGAAGAGGTAAATCCGTGGCTAGAGCCATCAAGGTTTCTTCGGTGACATGAGGGTCGTTGAGTGATACACAGTAGATGTCAATCTCATGCAAGCCCCCTAGAGCGAAACCCAAGCTTGTTTTCCCACAACCTGGAGGCCCGTAGAATAAATAGCCCCGACGATAGGGCCGTCCATCTTTTGCGTACTTCTTACGGGTTCTAGGCTGAAGAAAGTCGTTAAAGTCTTCCAGAATTTGTTGCTTCAAATGGTAGGGGATATCGATGGTTGATACGGGCCGTGTGGGTCGTTCGGCAGCGATCCGCCATGCTGGACTGGTTGGTACGGCTAAAGAAGGTCGAAGGATAAATGTGTAAGAAACATATTTCGATAGCTGTTCGTCACGGATATGATCTAGTAGGGAAAACACGGGCTTGCAAGATGGCCAAAAGACGGAGACATCGAATCTGGTTTGCGGGTATTGGTTGCCATTTTTTTTGCGAGAGGTTTCAACTTGATTGATCTTAAACATATACCCTTTGTGCAAGAAAATCCCCGAAGAGTCCGGCACGTATTGAAGTGGCTGTTTCTGGGACCACTCCCGATAGTTGAAAATCATGTCTTCCTCACGGGTGATCTCGGCATCTTCTAAGTCACGTGTTCGTTCTTTGCAACCGAGCATTCCGACAACGTCGACTGTGGCTTCGATTTTGCAGCCACTCCGAAATGGTGTCGTACATGTCAAGCTCCTCCTCGATGATAACTTTTGAGATAATGAGATTAAGCAGCATCTTCCAGAAAGGGACGACAATATGCTTAATTCCGATTCGTGTTCCTGCAACGAGTACAGAGAGAAACGCTAGGTAGGAAATATTGACTCCGACGATCTTGCAAAAATACTCGACAACTGAGTAGTGCGGAATGATATCATGGAGAACCGACCGCGGTATTTGTTGGAAGGCTCTGCGGATGATACTTGAAGACATCTCGGAAACTACTGATTGAAAGGATCATAAAACTGGCTTTGGCTGTAGGTTTGTGAGAGTATGAGCGAGTGAGAGTGAGCACGGGCGGTTGAAGTATATGTCTGCAGACTTCCCAGTGCACCCGTCGCGAGCCACAATCATGGTAATAGATTTTACTGGCGGCTTCTTCACCGGTTATACTGGCCAGCTTCTTGCATGAAAGTCACCTTTCTAGAAACACGCTTAGACCCATTACCCTTGTCCTTCCGCAGACGTATAGCCCCTTCATGGAGACTTCACCTCCTCTTTGTGTCGTTTTGCATGATAAAATGTCTTCTTGCGGTGACATTACGCATAAGTCTCAGATCAGTATGCTGGACTATACCTGATCTTGAATAGAAGTGTTACAGAGACTGGGCGTACGTACCTAAAACGTTAATTGTCATATCAGCTCACGAGGTGTCGGACAGATAGTTGACACATTGTATCTGTCATTCCTTACTCTACAATGCAGCAAGTGAATGCGAGACTCATAGGCGTCGAGAAAGCAAGGATAAACCGGTTAATGGGGAGAACTAGGTGCTAGCATGCTTAATCATTGAGCAGTGTTTGTTAGGTCAAGGTTCATGGAGGTTCCCCGGCTGATGGACCATCTCACTTGGCCCGCCTCTCAACTAACTGATAAGGATCTAAACATCCGTTGGGAATAATTGATTGGAGATGGTGCGTATTTTGAACGCAGGATGGCCACGGATGTTGTAGGTTCGGCAGATTTGAGGATGCTTGCTCGCTTTCTAGCATATCGATGTCACCAGACTCGAAGTCTATTGGAAACCTTCCATCTCGAATCCCCTTGATCTCTAGCCGAACTTTCAATCTATATCTCTTTGAGTCGGTGAACGAAAGAAAACAGATAGATGTTGGTGATTGTGACTCCCACAACGGCCATTCGTAGACAATGCCTTCATGTTGTTGTTTACCCAGAAGGATTTTTATTTTCCCAAGTGAGGATAAAAGGATCGCACAGAGGCTCCATTCGCGAATAGCTTTGGTCATACTGGCGTCGATCAAAGCGTGATAAACGCCGCGTTTGGACGCGTCTAGGCCTTGATGTAGAGGCTGTGACATATGGACAGGTAAAGGATGCCTGGTAGCTTTGGCAAAGACTTTGCAAGCAGAGAATGCATTCATTACAAGGTCGCACTGGTATCCAAGTTTATGAATGATCTGTACGACAGAGAAAGGAATCTCTGCCATGATCTCGTTTTCCTCTGGCAGCTTGTACCAGTGCACCAGCGGGACGCCCGGTTGAGGAGGGCAGAAGGAATTGGGTATTTCATGTTCCATAGGGTTTGGTGTAGCGGATTGGCTCGATAAACTCTTCGATAGATTGTCAGGGTGTCTTCCGAGAGCATTGTCACAGGTTATGCGATTGAAGGCAAAATGAAGACACAGAGCAGGGCGTCGGACAGTACTTTATATACGCAGAACCGACTTATACTTGATTACTATAATTCTTATCCAAGACCATCCTTAGGCTAGTCGATCAAAACGAATGAGCAAATCCTTAGTTCAGATGCCGACAAATTAGCCTGGATAAGTGCGGTCTCCTTGCTGCATCGTATTTATGATATCAACGAGTCCAACGTCCAAGTCTCGCCACCGTTACGTTCAGCAAAAGAATCACACTGGTACTCTTAGATATATCACAGCTCTTCTGAATTGTAGACTTCAGAATTCTTTCAATTTTATCCAGTCTTCGTTACACAACTTAATAGGATCTATCCACCTTGAGGAAGCCGGATTCTAGAAGAAGAAACCTGGTTACTACCCCTTCAAGTAGGTAATTAATTCATCGGCTGCTTTTCCACAACATCCTTTAACACTCTACTTATAAACCAGACATTTTTAAGGCACTACAAACATGAGATACTTACGATCCAACACTAGAGTACGTTCTGACTCCTAATATATTCCTAGTCACTCGCTAATTAACTACGTAGCCGGTAAATACCGGACTGGACTTTCCCTTTAACTATCAAACCTGTCCCGGCCACGAATATGTAGGGATACTTAATGAGGGTCACTGTCCGATGTTCTGGGTATGCGGAAAATGTACATGTAGCACACTGAAAATCTGGCAATGCAAATCTTGCGGCCATAATCTGTGCAATCCGTGCAAACTGTTCAGCCGTAACAGAACCGGATCTATTGCAAAGGACCAACCCGAATATCATTGAGGCATAGTTTTTGTGAGCCAACAACATTAGAAGGTGGAGCTTGTTGGACTATCTTGGTCAGGATTCGTATCTGGCTTTTGAGCATAGGTGACGAACCTAGTTGAACGTTAGTGCAAGAGAATCAAACGCGTGCTCCGTACCTACACCGGCCAATATGCGTGAAGCTTTGTATTATTGACGTCCGATCTCGTTTTTGCCAAAAGAACTTGAACCTCTTCAGCAGACCACCCTAGGAATTTGGTCAAGGGCCGCATGGATAACCCTTCAATGCCTTCTGATATGTTGAGAGCGTTTAGTGTCCCAAGCTTCTTATAATGTCGATTCTTAGGCCAGTGGTTTTGAGGTACTTTGTACTTTCTCACGTTCACGTTAACGAACCCTGCCTCTTGTAGTAGGTTTTCATATTGAGCAGCAAGAAAAGGGTCTCGCCCTCCTGTTTCCAATGCTTGACACCATGTATTAACCCACTGACAATATGAGCTGCCCGGAGGGATGGTATTATCGTCAGACGTTGGTGGGCAAACATCTTGAAACTCGAGCCATCCACCAGGTGCAAGACTCTGATACGCCTGCCGAAGGAGGTACCTTGGATTCGAGATTGAGCCAATGAGTAGTCGCCCATGAATCAGGTCAAATTGACGCTTAAAGTCCCAGGGATCTTCAAAGTCCCAGATTTGAAAGTGACAATTGGGAGCGACCCAATCGGGCTGAATTGGGCTAAGGTCGATCCCTAGAACTCTGGCGTGTGGATGTTGATCTGCCATCTCGATTGCCCATATACCAGTTCCAGTGCCGATATCTAAAACCTCACAAGGATTTCTAACTGGGGAAAGATATAATTGACCCTTTTCGAGACAAAGGCTGAGACGGTGTTGAAAATCTAATCTGTTTTGCTCCTGTTCGTCGTTTGGGAAAGGATATACACCGTCCTTATAGGCATGGTACTGCCGACCGTTTTCTTCGGGATACTTGTAAACACTGGATGTGATGGTGTCGTCTTCGGAATAGATGTCTTCACCCAGCGTTGAATCCGTTTCGTCAACTGTAAGGGGAAGTTCATCTTGCTCGGTTATCGACATAGCGATGTAACGTATAGGTGTTCGGTTGGCTGAAGAAGAGTTCACGGTGCTACTCCAAATCGTCCATAGACCTTTCCGCGTTACGCCGGGCACTGTGAAGGTCAGCCAAATCCTGCCTCGAGATTCTCCGGCATATATACTAAATTGAAGATAGAATGGTCCCCACAATCAAATAGAAGACCCTGCCGAAGTAAATAATAGCGAAAATACTTAGAAGCAGAAAGAATAGTTCCATCACCGTGTGCAGGATAACAAAGAACAGAGAATTCAGACAAAAGAGTGGCAGGAAAGGGAGGGGACGGACGGAAGTAATTATAACAATGCTCAAGGGACGCGTCCATGATGCCGAAGGACGTTCATGCCAAGGGGAAAGTTTACGACTCTATTACCGTGCGAGCCCCTCCTTAATCGAGAAACAGACAAAGCAGGCTCCACAGAGAGTCTCTCAACGCGAGTCGCTTTCCAACGATTTATCCTAGTCACTAGTTGTCGAGCCATCAAAACCTTCGCCCAGGCTAAAGGGTCAGGAGGCAATTCCAAAGTAGATGAAATCAACTAGCAGCTATTATACATTGAAATCCGGACAAAATAACAAACACATCGCAACCCAAGGCCGTTTCCAGCGATTGAACCTACAATCACTTGTTGTTGGTTTCCTATCTTTTCAGCTCCATCACGGTCGAAGCGCCGTTTCTCCCACCAAGATTATTGGGAAGGGTCGGTGCACCGTAACCAATGTGTCTCTGGTATCTGACGCATGTCCAGTCAATGAGCCAGCCTCGGGGCGCCCCTTCACATGGTAGTTGTTCAAGATGTAGAGACAACCCCGACTAGGTCTCCAGGTTCTGAAAATCCACCATTGCCTGAATGAGAGCTTGACCCTCATCCTCATATACAACCTCGAATGCTTGTTTTGATCTGAGGGTGAATACGTTCAAAAGCTTGCAGGGACTCATTAGTCCATCTGGCCGCACCTCGTACATCGTTCTTCCTATGCACAAAGCGAGGACTGTGGCGTTGACTTCAAATCGCCGGTAGTCATTGTCTGGGACTATCTCACTCTGGATGAAATTGATGGCTCGAGGTGTTAGATAGTCCAGAATATCTCTTTGTCCATAGTTCTGCACCAGTGCGACGGCATCGCCGATGTAGTAACGGAGGGGTGAAGTTGTACCAAAGTAATCCCAGGCTTGCCGAGAGTCGAAATATACCATGGGTCCGTGTCTCCATTCGTTCTCAAAGATAGTAGGTTGGGGTCGCTCTTCGCTGCGTCGAAGGCGTTTGGTTGATCGAGCGTCGGCCATGCTCCTTGGACTAGACAATGGGGGGTTCGGGTGGCTTCCTGGCTCAAAGAACAAATCGAAATGGAAAGTTTGAAAGAAATGAAATTCCGAACGAGGTGATGTGCTGGGATTTATGTTGACCCGGTCAGGCATTAAAATTGGCTTTGTTGTGGTCTGTGTCTGTCTGAGACTGGCTCTCGCGGCTCTTTGACCGTCATCAGAATGGCGTTAGGCTTGACAATTTCGGACTGACCCCGAAAATGGATGGGGACGTCCACACGGTAATTTTCGTGATGTTCGCGCCAGGACCGACCAAAGAACGTAATTCGAGATCTTGTAAAAGTTTCTCGATGACATCAGGAGGAGGGCAGACTCGTTTCTGGTCTTCCTTCACACACAAATCCAGCCACTTTGAAGGAGCGATTGCTTGGCCGATGACGATTAGAGAAGGGAGCTTTGAAGTTGATGTCGGGAATGTAATTGAGCTTGAAGACGGAGATGAAGTCTCGTCGATCACGGTAGACGACGTTTGGAGAGCCGCAGAAACAGGTTCCAAGGATTGCCAATAGTGATCCGCTGACTTCTGAAGAACACAAATGGCAGGAGGTGGCAAATCGTTGGTCAACGGTACCTGCTGATCGTCGATGTGCTCCATTTTGAGATGGTTGTACTGGAACTACAGATACTAGAGATGGGGGTTCCCTTGAAGATAATTATACGTCTCCTCAAAGTTGCCCGTGGACAGCCTGAGAGACTTTGCAGAATACCGTCATTGACCGCCAATTACTAGCGCAGGCATCACAATGCGGGTTGACAAAAGCGTCAGGTTGCCCAACAAGGTCCGTAAGACTGCAATATCAGACGCAACACATCCCAGTTCACCCAGAGGACCCCAGATCTTATGGGCACCGGTTGCACTAGTAGCTTGAGAACGCCGATCTAAATACACCTCCTCGCCGGGATGTTTTGGCCCTTCCGCGGCGCATGGCTCCCCTTAGGATTCGCAACGTCAATTTCCATCGCATCTGCCTCAAGACTTCTGCATAATATGCACGTGCGGCAGGCCAGCCTTTCTTCTCCACTTCCTTTGCCCTCCTCCTAAACCATGTGGCGTAAAGGGCCTCGGCGCGCCAACGGCCAAAGTACTCCACATCTTGCGGACGAGGGTCAAGAGGTTGGTACTCGACATCCAACATGAACGTCTGGCACATACGATCAAGTCTCTCGCGTAGCCCAGGGATAACAGCAATCTGGACGAGAATCTCCCAGGACCCGTCATTCAACAGTTGGAAGCAAGGAACGTCAGAGATGGGCCCGAGGTGGGCATCGAGATCTTGACCAATACGGTCACCGGAAAGCTCGAGGCGGACGAGAGTGTACTCATCAACCGCCGGACTGCATACCAAGTCAGACCGAAGTTGTTGGCCGTACGGAGTATCTTTCTACTTACCAGGAAGTGCCTGGTAATGGCAATGGCAGATATTCGTCACTAGGCCAGCTCAGGCCGGCTTGGACCACCATCAATTCGACAGTCACGATGATAGTTCCATCCTGCTCACTCCCAATGGTAGGGTCGTCGTGTGAAATTTCGGTGAGCTCGGTGTCGCTCGAGGCCCAAGAGTTGGTAGTAAAAATAAACCCAACATCTGAGATGTCTTCATCGGTATCCATAGTCCCATTCATTGGTTGGGGATCAAGTCACCTGCGACAAGAGAAAGAAAGGTTGTTGTCTAGCTCGGAAGAATAGTACAAAGTCATGACATGTTTAGTCTGAACCATGGAACGGGGGCAACAAAACCGGTGAGGGATTCAAACAAATGGCGGTGGAATCATGCATGATTATATGCCAATACGTCCGATAGACCGTGTTAGATAACCCTGTAGAGCCAACGCCATAGACCATTAATGTAAACATGGATTGAAGATTGGGCGGGATCTAACGACCCGAGCCCGAGAGGGCCAGCCCGCTTTTTTTGTGGGAGTTCTGAACTCCCACACAAAAAGCGGGGGCTGTTCCTTTTGACTGTTTTCCCGGGCTCGCACCCCTTGTGCGACTTCAATCTCATTTCTTTTCTCTCACACGGTCTGAAGGGCAGTATGAGATCATGCATGTAGGGCTAGGTGCATGGTCCGAAGTTCATTCCTGGGTTTCTCAAGGAGATCTTGTGCACGAACTGTCGGCGGCCGACGTCAAGTTCGCTATTCGTTTGGCGGAGCTTGGCTTCCAGCAACTTCGCGAGATCGTGGAACCGGGAAGGACCTTTTTGAAAGCTACTCTATGCTGCGGCAAGCATACAGCAGAGGTGGTGATTCGGATCTTGACCGTATCCCATCAAGAATCAGGACAATCTGATAACGATTTTAATACCGATGTTTTTGGCGCCTATCAGCCTTGTTGTAGCGAAGTCCTCGACGAGAAGATCAGGTCAGATACTGCATTATTATACAACTTTTACATTCGAGCCAACCGAAAGACGTTCAACGATACTTGGTATGGTCAACTATCGTCACCAAGAAAATTTAGCTGGAGCTGACGGGAATAGGCTCAAGAGATTTCCACCAAGAACCAATTCACTATCTTGCGGAGAACCGTCCCGGTTGTCGATTGACCCGCGTAGCGATCAGACACGGAATCAATGCCACCGGTCTACTGACCAAGAGGAGTCCATATCACAGAGGCCGAGGAGCCCTCTAGGGCTTCAGATACATCATGGCGACGACAGCGACGACAGCGACGACGACGAAGAGTCCTCGTCGAGCGAGATCTCCGATACCAATAATCCTACTCCCGAGAAGACAACCGAGAAGATCACAAAACAGAATGATGAGATTGTCGGGTTGTTAGTCCGCCAGATTCATCTTGGAATGAGAAAGATGAAACAGAGGAAGGAAGCGTTCGACATTTTGGCCCTTGACGTATCATACTTTCTAGGACAGTCCGAGCAGATTCGAGCGCTATTGAACAGTATTTCTGACAGAATAAAAAAGAGCGTAGCTGAGAACTTACAACGCGAGCACGCAACGTCCGAGGATACCAAGGATATTGCTGATCTCTTCGGAAAAGGACGAGAACAGGGGAAGATGCTCGAACGAGAGGCACAAATATGGAAGTTATGGCAGTGGTGGTGTTGGTATTTCGAATCGAGCTTACGGATTATCAACTTCGGATGGCGACAGATAGATAGAGGTCGCAAGGCAAATGGAGTATATGTGATGCACTTGATCGTGAATGATCTTCTAGCCACAGAAGGGATCCGCGCCCTGGCCGTTATAGCGGCCCTAGCCGGTAAGACACCAAGATTTTGGTTGCTGCTCGAGAAGCTTACATGAAGCAGAGCAAACCTCCTATCTATCGCAGGTCACTCAACTATCCTCCAAGAGGCTGCAGCAGGTTAGCACAGCGGCGGCGACAAGCCTACGGGGTAAGCTGAGTCATCCTCCACAATACTATCTCGTACCCACGGTAGTAGATTGGGTCAGTGCGGTCACCAAACTCAGGTATACTCCCACATCTCGACATCACAGAAGATGGTCTGCTAATCGCGAACAAGCCATAAAGCTGTGTGTCGCAACCTAGGGTGCCCCAACCTCGCACTATTGCAGCTCGACATATTTGGGGGACTCGAAGACAGTCCAAAATTCTCCAGAGAGTATTCTTTCCTCTCTGATAGATGGTCGCCCTTTGCATCGATACAAGAGGAATTGAGCCGGATTGTTCAAGAGCGCCATTTGGAGCTGTGGACATCTGCATCGGAGACACAGAGATTCTCGATGGTGGTCGAGGAATGGTGGAATCAACTGTCACTTTCACCTCGAAGTCAGCTACGGTCGCTGAGAGATCCAGAGAGACACTCCTCCATACGCAACCCATCCGAATCATGTGAGCGAACCACAAATGGTTTGGAAGAGTCCGAGATTGAAAATGTACCCCCTGTACTCGCTCCCTCATGCAAGTCCGCCCAAGCCAAGGTTGATATCAATGGGATCATGCAAGGTGCAACGATTGCTGCCAATGTTCGCATGAGAAGAGTCGACGAGACGTACGGGATAGACGGAATAGTGGCTGCAGCTGCTCTACAAGGAATACAGTATTCGACGACCGTTCCGGATATATCGAATGGCTTCGCGAGTCCTTCTCCCGAGAGTGCTGTCGGATGGCCCGCTCTGGGAAATGCTTCCCAAAGGAATCAGATGACTCTTGGGTCTTCTGGCCTATCTGACGCAATGGATTCGACCAACGCCTTCGGCTCTACGTGGATCCCCGGGTCCTGGCATCAGGACCAACGTCAATCCAAAAACAATCTACGGCGCCGTTATGTGCCAGATCTTGGCTCGGAAGGCATGGTGCAGTCGCACAAGCATCCTCGCTTGGACGGGCAAAACAATACAGACAACACCATGCCTATGCAGAACTACGAGAGCCAGACAGCCATGACTATAAGCCTCCCAACGACCATGATATGTTTGCAGCGGAGTGAGGCTTTAGGAGCAGAGGCGAGACAAGACGAAGATCCCTGGGATTCCCTAAAAGATCCTAGCTTAGGGATCGATTCCTGGGATTATCTACGGGATCCTAGCTTAGGGATCGTTTGGGACGTATTCGCCCATACTCCTACCGGCCACACGAACACTATGGGAATAGGTTCACCGCAACGCGTCAATAATGATCCGCCTTTATTTTCGATATCTTGATCATCTCTAAGGATATCATGACCAATCATACGACATCCACATTCCCCCGACAGAACCAGCCTTCGGGTGAAGGTACTGCGACGTATCGAGCTCAAGGAAGTCACCTTCTTTCAATTCTATAGGCTCGTTGCTCCGATTACTCAACGTCGAGCCCACGATCTCTGCTTCTTCTCTAAGCTTCTCGACGAAAGCTTGCCACCGTGACGAGAGTTCTGATGGTTCCTCGGTGGTTGCGGCACCGGTAAGGTTGGTGGTTCTGTCTTTCTGTTCCACGATTGTGGCGGCAGCTTCCGTGTTAGTCTTTTGATGAGGCTTGAGAACGTTTTTATGAGAAGATGAATCATCAGGCCGTCTCGGCAACGTGTGTTGTTCAGTCTCGATCTCATCATCCTCATGACGCCTCTTAAGCGTTGGAGAGGTCTTGTCCTGTTGTATGGAGGGTTTTCCGAGCGCTATCATCACAATAAATTGGTTCTCTCGCACGGGTGGAGTATCATTCCAAAAGTATATGATATCTGGACCATGACGGCGAGTGATGCGCTTAGCTGGTTGGTCTTCACGTCGGCGTTGAATAATTCCGTCAAGCTGAAGTAATTAGTAAATAACGTTCGACCCGGAGACAAGTCTTTTCTCGGGTACCTTTGTCTTCTCGAATTGCACGTACAATCGCGTTATTGCTGCTGAACCTTCAAGTTGCTCAAGCGGTAAACACCAGGAATCTGATTGTCCTTCCCAAGGAATCATATCCTCCGCACAGAGGTTGACAGCTTGGGCCATCTTGCAGAATTCCGGGTCATTGATTGCGCGAGTGATATTCATTTTGTGAACGGGAAACGGTCGAAGTTAGGAACGCGTTGAGAGAAAATACCGGCGTTTAAATATTGTGAAATGTTCGGAATGTGCAAAATGGCCGTTTTTGTTTATTGATGCCCAAGTTCAATTGTTGGTTGTAAAGGGTCGACGTGGCATAGTAGGAAAAGATGGCTTGGTCTCGTGGGGCAGTGGTCGCGATACCACGTGACTTTATTGCCTCGTGATTTTAGCCCCGGGTTCGGATATACTTGTTTCCGACGACTAACATGGGCTTACACACTCTCACGTATGTATAGCGGCAGGTCGCTCCCGTACTTTTATTTAGTGAATTAAATCTCTTCACGCCGCTACAACCACAGCGCGCTTGATGTCGGTTGACGTAAGAAGGCGAGCAACATTACTCTTCCAACCCGACAAAAGGAAGCCCTTTCTCCAACAAGTGAGCCCAAATACTGGGTCTTGAAGGTTTGCATAGTTGGGCCTCGGACCTGGTTATGGTCCACTAATAATTGATCCCAAATCTGGGCCTATTGCTACTGTTTAGCGATACCAAGGAGAGTGTGGGACAATGCCAAGGCCTGGTCAGTCATGACAATCGCACCCTGCAAAGAGCTGGAGAGGACGAAGAGCATTCTTTTTTGGGACAATGAAAGCATTCTTAAGCAGACTTTCTCTAAAGATAATGTTATCTAGACAGGCAGAGACAAGCCACGTTACAATGGGCCAGTCATCACTAGAATCAACCCATTCAGAGATATATCGGCAAGGAAACAAGCCTCTCCAAGACGGCGGGTTTGGCCAAATATTCTCTTTCGAGAGTTTTCCTTCTCTGGTATCTTGGTTCTGTCAGAAATGAAAAGCACAACTGGAAAGAACGAGGATATGCAGAAGTTCCGAGCCTATAGGTATTGAGCTCCGGAGAGCAGGACATATCACACCTTCATTCTTTGCTCTTAGAGAGCTCAACATCATTTTTCTTATCGAGCTCCGGGTCCCGAAGAGAGTCCCAACCCTTGGGAGGCTGCCCAGCTCCGTTTCGAGCAGGAGGTTTCTTTGGCTTTCCGTTGCCGGCCGCTTGAGGAGGGCTCGTTGTTGGGGGAGATTTAGGGGTTCCCAGGGGAGGGTCTGAGGGATTTCCCGACATGATGGGCGAACTCTCAAGAAAGGAGAGAATGGTAAGAATGTGGGTAAGAACTGACCCTGAAGCTCACGCAGGTTATCAAGAAGAGAAGTATCTAACAATGGTTTTAGGATGAATGACGACAAGGTCGATAACGAGCGGGAAAGGGCTATTCATATACGTGTCAACGGAGGTAGCATCTTCCTGAAACCATCTCTAATACGACAAGAGATGTGCGAAAGGGCCATTCATACACCTATCAACGGAGGTATCATCTCTGATTTAACATGGAATACGCCAGATTTTCCCTAGCCTTGGTAGGTACATTGCAGGCCCTAGCAATCCTTCGACAATTGCACGTTCCTGGCCGTGCCCTAGCCAACGATACGAATTGATGTGTCAAAATGGATACAACGACTGACCAGGGCCAACTCAGCGCGACGGGCATGAGCTGCAACATAACCCACATCGGCTGAAATGGCTTGACTTGCATGACTTTGCGTGTGCGTCCTAGCGACCTTCACGCTTGAAGCCCACCACTCAGTCCTGCTGATGCCCTCGTTAAGTCAACATCGGCAGGCACAGAGCAATGATGAGGTTCAGCACTTGCTACTGAGATATGGCCCCAGCTAGGTCACAAAGACGGCCGTATTGTTACGCACTGATCTTACACTGGACATGGCTTTCTATCTAGCTATTGTGATCAAAAGTTGAAAAAGACGTGCTACGGAAGGTACCCATGCCAGCCAACGAGTTCCCAGCTTTGTGATTTATTATGTAACATCCACGTACCGAAAGCGTTGCAAACTTCCCCTTCAAACTTCCCCTTCAAACTTCCCTTCAAACTTCCCTTCAAACTTCCCTTCAAACTTCCCTAACAAAATTGGCAAACTTTCCCCGGCAAACTTTCTTAGCTATCGCCCACTGGCCAACATTCATCGCGGGTCTTTTGTCAAGATGAGATGTCAAGTCACAGCGAGAGCTCATAATGATCAAATGGCGCTTATCTATAGACAGGATCTCAAGCCTCATATGCAGACATCTTCTACCTGAACTATCATTGCAGTTTCCACGATCGTATCGACTCTTGAGGTTTGTTCTAAACAGCGAAAGAAAAAAAGCCCTGTGGACATTTCTTATAGGTCAAGCCACGCGCCTTCATGCCTAACTTTTATGAGGGGCAAGCCGGCAAAGTGGCCGAAAAGTCACCTGCGCAGGTGAGCCCCACCTCCGTCATACCGTGTCTTTACCAAACTTTTCAAACTGAATGTCAAGCTCAACAACCACTCGGGCTCAGAAGCTATCACTATGATCTTGTCGTCTAGACTAGTTATTTACGCTGATACTTCTATCCAACTGTGCGCTGAGGCGCCAACAGCCAAAGGTATTGATACGGGCACGAAAACAAGATAAAGCTACTGCTTTTCCTACTCAAATACAAAGTTTCGATTGCTACGGAAACACTCCACGTTGCATTAATCAACGGGACGTCTTGATGGTAAGCGCTCCCTCCGCGTTCTCGAATAGTGACCTCTCTGAGATGATGTCAGGCTTTCACCGAAGAAGACCTCGATTCGTCCATAGATTTCACCACCAGGGACACCGAAAATACTCCAAAATGGGTCGAAGGAAAGGGTCAACGTGTATACTGGCGCGGTTGCTATGGTACTGCCTATGAAATAGACAACAGGGGAAAGCGAGGTGAAGGGACAAGTCTACAGAAGCGCAATGGGCAAGGGACTGTACCTTCAAATGTTGAGTTGTATTTTGCTGGCGAAGGAGGAAAATTGAAAGAAGCATAGCATTGCGAGAAGCGAATTGTGGTTTCAGTCAATCGTACCCTTATCTGAGAACCTTCTATACAGTTTGTTTTTCACCAGAGAACCTTCTTTCAGTCCCAGATTGAGGTTGATAATAGCCTCAAACCTGGGATTACTTGGAATGATCATTGACACACATCTTGTGGCACGAGTTCCTTGTTCGAGCTCCTCCTGGAAGACGCGACTGGCCTTGATGGCGTTATATATGTCGAGACCAAACAGCTTTTTGATGGCTTCACTTTGAACGCCCAGCAATGTAATTTCTGGGTTGGGCATTAGCCTGACCCCATCTTGCATCACAACTTGTCGAGCCTGAACTGCGGATTCTACTTCCACATGCACATTGAACAAAGCCATCGCAATATGTTCTACCTTCGTCTCCTTGATAGCCAAACTCATAAGGGAGTCGACCTTCCCGACGTACGGAAAGGCCATCGTTACAGCGGCTTTCCAACGTGTTATCCCGTTGATCTGAATAGCATCTCTTCTGATTGCGCCGCTCATATATTCAGGGAATAAGTCTGCAGTCCCCTGGAGGGAAGCATGAGAGAGGACCTGCTGATGTTGGCTTGAATTCAGGCCGATCACATTTTGAGAAAGATCGGGAACAGGTGTTAGGTTACGACGCGTCGGACTGAGGAGAGATACCGCGGCGGAGTCAAGCGAATGAACCGGTGATGTTAAGTTTGGTTGTGCTCGCACTTCTCTGTCACTTGTTTGTGAAAGAAGGCCTATACTCCAGGTTAACAAAGGGAGATGCAGAATAGATAAAACCTTACGACGACGCTTAGGCTCCTGCAGCATTTTGTCAATTGCATGTTTGACAGTTGGGTGAGGTACTGTTTCTGCAACTCGCTTTGCAACCAGTGTGCGTTCTTCTATAGAGAGCTGATTAAAGGTGGTAATGGCTTGAAGTTGAGCGTGTCGGCCTTCATAATGGCCTTCGCCAGTCGACGCAAGGAAATATGCTATCCAAGCAGAGAATCCTGCAGTTAGAAAGATCCGTGTTGTGACATCTGGTCCCGCGGTTGACGCTTCCGCCAAGGCTCCGTCAAGTCCGTACGGAGTCTTTTTCCGTGACCAATCAGACAATAGATATCTGCAAAATATCTGCGCTGTATCTTCAATCACACCTTTGCTTTGTTGCAAGAGTGTTTCCTCCGATTCTGGGGTTTCAGTGTCTGCCATTGTTATAGTCGAGTGAGAAGGAAACTTTGCGAGGGGAAACTCTGAGGTATGAACGAAACCTTGCCAAGGGAACTTTGAAAATATACTAGCCACCTGTTCATTTTCCAGTGGCCGTTGATACAGCGCAATGCAACCGAATTGTCACGAGGGCATGGCCTGGCCAATCACACATTCAGAATGCCTCACCGGTCGACATTTAACGAGGGACTGCGAGGGAGTTGTGGTTGCCTGGTTTAGTTGATGACAAGGCCAGAACCTTGCTAGTGCCAGGCTGATATATGTGATGCGCTGGCCCATGAGACCTTACGGAGTAGGCAAGAAGTATAAATTGTCAAAGAGAGGAGAGAGGAAAGAGACGGGGGATACTCATGAATTTCTCTCCTATGATTTCGTCATTCTGAGAAACCAGACACCAACTTTGACCACTCTCAGAAGTTACAATCTCGATTTACACTCCCGATAAGCTTCACTGTCCATTCAACCATCTGTGGAGAATTGGTTAGGGATGCACCGCCTCAATGAAAATTGTCCAGCTAATGATTATCGTTAGTGGTCTGCAACACACAACATGGAAGAAGAACGGAAAATCAAGCAAGACTTAGCCAGAGCTTTATCGGACCAGAAAACCATACAACAGCAGTCTTCTTCCGGTGACGCGGCTAAAGCGAAAAGAGCCCAGAATAAAAGAGAAAAGGAAGCAAGGGAAAAGGCTGAAAAGGAGAAAGCTAAGCAGGATCACAAATAGGACATAAAATGATAATCTCAGCCCTCCGACTTTAGATCTTCTTCGAAAGCTTGCCGTAATCGTAGATCGTACTCAAGCTTGTCCTCAACCCTTCTTCGGAGAATGTTCTCAGCGTCCGGATGCCAGTAACGAGCTGCAGTTTTTGTAATATCGGATGCAAACATCGGCTCAATATGATTCAAGAAGACGCCATACAGACCCGTTAAGGAATCCAAGGCCCGGAAATACCAGATGCGACCCGTTGCCCAGTTCTCGCGAAAATGATTGGCTACTGAAAATGAGCAAGGACGCATCGATCGCTTCTCCTCCTCTTCTAATATGAAGAAAAACTCGTCGAGCGCGAGCTTGAGATCTGTCAATTTTTCATCAACCAAACAATCAATTGCCTGACCGGTCAACCATAAAGGGGGCCTGAGCATCTCAATCGGTCTGGAACAGGCCCATTCCAGGTCGATGATTGACTTGATATGCCAATCGTCATCGACGAAGATATTGCTTTGATGGAGGTCCGTGAGAGTCAAATAAAACGGCCCAGAACGTGAATAGCGATTTACAAAATCAGGTAAACAAGCGCGCATCAAAGTCAAGGCTTCCATTTGGTCAACGGCATCGTCCTTTGAGATGACAGAATTGGGCTGATATCGAATTCGATTGTCGTGATATTGGAATAGGTCAAGAACATATGACTCGACCGTACTGTAAATGTAGCTGCGTTTCACAACAGGCGGGCAACTGTCGTTTTCTGCTTCTGGAATGATGATAGATAATGGTCGATTAGCAAGACTCACAACGCCTTCGTTGTCTATTGTCAACGAGCCTATGTGAGGTAATGGCCTTCTGGCCAAAGACAACAAGATCTGGGATAAATCTCGAAAGAAATTCGCTTTTCGCTTCGAATCACTAGAAAGTGTATCCCACGTTGTTGAAAGCATACGGCCTTCCTCCTCTTCGATAAAATCCATCAGTAAATAACCAACAGTAAATAGAAAGTCGAGTCCTTTACAACGAATATAGGAAGAGCGAATCGGTTGTCGAAATAGCAGTCGTAGGGTGTTCTGTATATTTGAGAGGCATCGCAAATACCATGGAGCGTTTTCACGCGCTGTGAACTGAACTCCCGCCGTTAGCATATTACTGAGCGTATACTGGAAGACTGCGCGCACATGTAGGTTATTACCAATTCCGAAACCCCACAAGTACGGGGTTGGTATTTCAGGGCAATTTTGTTGCATCCAGATATACGTTGCTGCTTCGGAACGCACCTTCTCATCCGTGTTTCCAGGGTTTGATGATTCTCCCAACTTGTATGGGAGTGGGAATCGAATCATGACCCGATTCTTTGGACGTCTATTCCAGTTACGTATATACACTGGAATACAGACGTTGAACGTCCCATGCCTCCATTCCGAAAAGTCACCTAATCGACAGGCTTGATTAGACTTTAGTCCCATGTGACGAGCGACAATTTCTTTAATTTCGTCTTGTTTCTGAAATAGTTGGAGGAAAAAGTCAATTCGTTTGGACGGATAGGACAGTTGTAAGAGGATGTTGCTTTCAGCTTCGCAAGCCGATGCATAGGAAATGGATTTGTGAAGAAGGTTCCTTTTCTGGGTAATTCGGGAGCTAATGTGAGATTCCATCTCATTGAAATGTATATAAGGATCGTCTGGAGATAATGAAGCTTCGGCGCCATCCAAGGGAAAAGAAAACGAGAACGCATGCTGGCGGAACTTTTTTTGCGCACTTGCACAGCAAGCACGTGACAAGCTATGACGGCGAATTTTCACGCTTATCTCTTTTTGTTTAGGCTAACGCCGGAGATCCTCCGTCACTTAGAGCACCAGGGCCGGCGGTGACATGTGAGATTACACGAAAGAGGATGGGTAAGCTCCCTGTTGCAGCTGTGCGCAGGCAAGCCATTGGGGGCCAAATACGGATTACTGTTCCCCCGAGTTTCACGCGTTGAGCCGACATCCAAAACGAGACACAAGCGCCTACGGAATGAGTACAGTAAATTTTACTCTTGCGACCCTGTGAGAGCACGTGAGTCTTCGGAGCAAATGTCGCCTGTTATCTTGCACCAACTTTCCAGGCCAGACTGGCTAATCACTCCCGGCAGCATCCAGGGCAGTATTGGCAACAATAACCGAGAGTGAGTCCGGGACTTGGACCTTCCGAATATGTGAAACACCGAAAACTGGGAACCCAGGGGCCAAGTTATGGTAACCTTTGCAGACTCAGGGCAGTGCTCACGCTACTCAGGAGTCGCCTCAGGGCTCACCAACTCTGGCTCAGGACTGCAGAGCCACAGCTCAGAGTGGCTTAGTCATGACTCCGGTCCAACGGCGAGATGCTCAGGTCTGGAAACGGAAATGGACTTAGGAGAGGTCAAGATTCGCCGCTGAGTATAGTGGTATAGGCTTATAGTCGAGGCCCAAAGGGCCCCCCGAGCCCGAACTGGCTTCTGAGGATGGGTCATCAGGCAGCGCTCCCTCCAGCTCGTCCGGTGCTCGGGCGCTCTCCCCTGGGCTCTGCCGTGGCTCCCGCGACGCTCTCCCTTGCTCGGTCAGGTGTCCTTCGATGCTCCGTCACGTGCCCGAGTAAAGCGGCCTTGCTCCCTTTCCTGAACGAACATGGTAAAGGATAAAGCACAGTTCGGGGCATATATAATATATATATATATAAAAAACTCCCCGCCTCAAAACAAGCCAACAAATCTCCCACATCCCACCCCTGTCGTCTCACCTCATCCTGCATTTCTAAATACTGTCTAGTACACACAGTACGGATAACTATTTACATACCTAGGAAAACGTTTGAATTTGTACACGTTCAAACAAACAAGACATGGTCACCCCTCGTATGTTTGTCATGGACGTACTTCGTCTTGATTCCATTTCAATCGTACAACATAGACTCACTGACCGACAAACGATGCATTCATTTCTGGTTTTCACTCACTGTTGCTACCTGATCAACAGACAAATACATCACACATCATGTCGCTCAAAAACCAAATCACACCACGATCGTTCTGGTCTATCAACAATATTTGCTCTTCTTTCACTACTCATCATCTCAACGTCAAACCTCCTTGGACCGAAACGGGTGTCCATTCCACCTGACTCGTATCTCCACTCCTTTTCCGCCCCCTCCTAAAATATGGTACCCTTGGTCTGTTGGACCTTCTTGAGGTTGATGTTCCTGATCACAAACATCCAGATCAAACTCAGACTCATCAAACCGGTCCCCACCGCCAACATCCTGGTTTGCGCGTATCCATAGGCCTTTTGGATACCCAGCCTCTCGGGGGTGTGAGGTGCGTAGCTGAGTTGGGTGTCCAGGCTGTTGTAGATGTCGGCGAGGTTGCCCAGCGCGTCTTCCGGCAGGTACCTCTCCAGGGCCTTTTCGAAAGTGTTTGTCCAGATGGCTCCGGAGATGGTGTTGCCGACGGCCCCGCCGACGTTGCCCACGACGTTGAGGAGTGCCAGCACGGCGGCGACGTGTTGATGGTCCGCCGCCGCGAGGATACTGACTTGCTGGATGATGATGAAGATGGCCCCGCCGATGCTGATGAAGATCTGACACATGACGATGTACCCGATGTCCTGGTTCGGGCGGCGAAAGTAGATCATCAGGCCCTGGGCGAAGATGTACAGCGGGACGGCGACGAACAACATCCACCGAAAGTACCCGGTCTTGCGGATCAGGATGCCCACGAGGAACAACTCGACACCGGAGACGACGTCGAACGTGCTGCTCACGTAACCCGCCTCCGCGACGGACAGATTGTTCACCACCTGCAGGAACGAGGTGAAGTAGCTGTTCCAGCAGTAGTAGCTGACTTGGTACGTGAAGTCCAAGAGACAGGCACCGATGACGGTGCGGTTGACGAGCAAGCCGATGTTCAAAAAGGGTGTGCGTGCGATGAAGGCTTCGTGTAGGGCGAACAAGCCGAGGACGATGAATCCCACGACAATCATCGCGATGATGTACCCCGTCGACCAGCCGTTGGGAGCAGTGTCGGCGAGGGTAAAGGGAAGGAGGAAGACTGTCAGTCCCGCAGCAAAGAGGAAGACGCCGGCAGCTGGACGACTGTTAGAAACCGCAACGAAAGGTTCGAGATGGGCAAGAAAATCATACCGTCAAATTCCTGAACGTAGTACCAGATGTTTTGCAACAATGTCCGGCCACTACGTTCCCGTCTGACGATACCGTGCTGCGCAGCCTTTCGTAGGTGCAACTTCAGGTTGAAATATAGAGGGGCAGCCACGAATGGGAGGATGATGGCGAAGCATCCGAACCCCCAGCGCCAACTGATGTGGGCGTTGAACTCGTCCGATGCTTTGGGCCCGGCGAACGCCGTGATCATGTACGGCGATGATGTAAACGCGTACGCTAGGCCTCGATTCTTCAATTGAGAAGCATCCGCCGTGATGACATCGATACTGTAAATCATGCCTCCGAAACCGATCGAGTAAAAGACCTGTTCATTCAGAAGAATCAGCTTCAGTGTCGGACCACTTGGGAGCACCCGGGTGTCCCCCCTACCTGTGCAGCACAGAATGTCGACAAACTGTCAACCGAAGCCATCAAAACCAGTCCCAAGGTGGCGAACGCTATCATGAGCAAGAACCCTTCGGCTCGACCCCACACGTCGAGTAGCTTTGCAAGAGGAATGTACACGGCGGCAGTCATGGCGTTGGCGACGATGTAAATGACCGTCAGCAGGGAGTGCGACTCGAAATCGCTGGTCGCGTACGGGACGAGATTGGTGAGGATCGAAGACTGGAATGCGTTGACAAAGTACAAGAACCACATGCTGTAATGGTCGTTAGCAACTCGTTCTTCGTCTCCGGCAGCAGCCGGTAGTTGAGGAGTCGATCGTACTTGATAAAGAGAGCAATGAGAGACTTCTTTGACCATGTCAGAGTGACAGCCTCGACGTTCTGAACACCTCTTTGTGCCTCTTCAACCGGCTTGTCCGGTGGTTGTCCTCCATCACTGTTGACGGTGTTTGGTGATATGTCATCGTTGGCAGTGGCCGGATTCTTCTCGTTATCCGTCACCGAGCTCATGGCGACAGTGTTAGCTGCATCCTCGGTCGCTGTTCGACGAAAGCCCGGCCGGAGTTTGGGAAGAATTGCCATGTTTGGTAGATCTGAAGGACACACACACACAAAGTGACGGTTACAAGGACCGAAGTAGAAGAGAAAAGGACAAACGAGATCGTCTTACACTTTTATCCCACGTCGTGCTAAGTAGCGCCACAGACTAGTTGACCACATGGTGTGCGGTCAAACGACGCCACGGGCGTCGTTGGCTGGTCCACTTGGGCGATCCATTTACAATGGAGACATGAACCAGAAGCGAGCAAGATTAACATGAGGGAGAGTTCATCCGATGTCGGGTACAACAGGGCAGTATGAGTGTACGCAGTTGCTGGCGGCAGAAAATCACGACCCTGAGAGAGAGAAGTGGAAGTTGTGGGAAGTTGATGGCCCATACCGACCAACCCCTGGACGAGGCTTATCAAGGCCTAAACCTCGATAAGATTAGATTTAAGTCCTTGACCAATCTTTCCCCGAGACCGGCCGCCAGCGGCTTTGATTTTTGACGGCTACCACGGCAGGCCAAGATGATCAAGGACCGGGGTCAAGCGTTTCGAAGAGCTTGATTCGCCTTGTCATATCCACCCGAGGTGAAAATTTTTATCTAATCTGATTGATTAGGTCTCGATCGGTGGGAACGTGGGCGAATATCGAGAGTTCCGGCAGAAGTCATCGGGTTCTGATGCCACAAGTCAATATCTAGCGTCATTGTTGGGTGGGTAGATGTGTTGAGCCCGAAAAATTTCCAAGCTCAAAGTATGGACACATATCTGGCGAATTGCCCTGGACAATGAAAGCACTTTGTTCTTTCTGAAGTCTTTATGACCAAAGCTAGAAAACCACGTCATATCGGCGACCATTATTGTATAGTACTTGGTGGTAGGATGACCGTCGACATCAGCGGAGAAATTCGCAAGATGTGGGTGAGTTGACCATGGTCGCATCGGCGTTGCTCCGATATAACCAGACTGCCCCACGTCGGCCTATGGTATTGCGTTGAGGCATCATGAGATAAAATTGCGCGTTGTATGATTGTGCTCCAGGCGGGTTTGTGGCAGGTATGCAACTGTTTGTGACTCCATGGAGGAAGCACATATGTGCTATGCATCTACACTCCCCCAAGTGAAGACTTCGGAAGATATATCTCGAAATGCTGTCAAGCAGAGGTATGGTTTGTGCGAATGTGGTAAGAAGACTTTCAGAGTCAGGAGCACCAAACGTAACCCTGACCCTTTCCTAAACTCCCAAGGTCACAATTGCCCTAAGACCAGATCAGATACCTTGTCGCAAGCGGCGTTCGTCCTCCTTGCCGAGTGGTGATGATGCAAACTTTCTTCCCAGATGCTTTGCGCGGGTTGACTGCACACATACTGCCACCACAGGTACTTGTAGAGAATCTCCTCTTCGACTTCTTGCCAGTGATGATCGAACAATGGCGCTAGCATTACGGCGAGGCGATCGATAAACCATGTGCGATCTGACAAAGAGGTCGAACTCATAGCTCCTAGCACCACGGCCCAGATGAGCAAGTCAGGACATCGTGAGAAGACCCTTTTGCCATTCGGGACGTGATCGGCGAGGGTCAGACAACCCCGGAGTTGCCTTGCGAGTCTATTGCCTACGCCAGATTTCGCGGGCAGGGGAAAGAGTATCATGTTCGAGATGATCAACAGTCCCAGGCGGCACACCTCGTACAACAAGGATTCCCGGCCAACGGTGGTCGTCAGATCCGCGACTGGTAGACAGAGCAAATGGTACTGAGCGGTATTCCTGGCGCGAAGGAGTTCTGGTTGGGAGCCTGGAGTATCTCCGTTTCTAACGTGCTGATCGAGCATCACCATTGCACCGCGCGTGTGCCGTACAGACTGATGAATGGTCTCGAGTTCATTGATATGGAGGAAACCCGTTCCCAGCTTTTGAAACAATGCCAGGGCAGTGGGATCCAGATTGAAGTCGACCGAAAGCTCGGATTGAATTGGTGAGTGTCGCAAGCCGAATTGCGGTCTGGTTCCTTCTCTGCTCGCGAAGCATAAATCAACACTACAGATGTCAGTATTCAGACAATGTGTCGCCCTCAGATCGCATGCGCCGACTCACACTTCGAGCACATCGGGCAACCCCTCCAACGAGATATTCTGCAGTCCCCCTTTGCACGCGACCAATGAGTACATTGCCTGGACGTGCGCGGCCTCCAAGAGACCGATTCCGTACACGTGGAGGTTCTGCGACCCAGCCAGAGGCGACGGTGGCACCGGGGGCGTCGTCTCCACTGAAAATTCCTCCATCTTTGTGTACGACTCACCGTGAGCAGCGAGAGCGGCAACCCCGATGATGACATTGTCACTGGCCTCAGAGACGCCCTCCTGGATGCGTTTCATTTCATCCTTGAGTCGAGCAAGACATCGAGCGTAATGCTCCAACGCCAGTATTGTTTCCGGGCCAGAACTGTCGCGGGCTATGAGCATCGTACGTAGCATGGCGTAGACGAGACCGTGAAGGGCTATGGGCGATTCCAATGCAGCTTCCATCCACGCCCGAGCCACCGGGTTGACGACTTTGAGAGGTGCGCCAGGCTTTACCCTTGGCCACTTGAACCGGGATGCTAAATCCGGACCCTGCGATCAGTAGACAGATCATGCCGTACGGTGAATGACCAAGCGGGCGTTGCCGGAATGAGTACTCACCGTCGTGAAGCACCGAGATAACGTAGCGCGGTAGATCGGGGACAGATATCTGGTTGAAGGGTTCGTCGTTTCCATTGTCCACCGCACTCCTCGTCCAAGGCCCAGGCGGCCGGTTGCTGCTTTGTGAAAAGGGACTATTAGGGGCGGCATTGACTCTGAATTGTTGCTGTTGTCTTGCTATGTTGGCCCTAGCGGAAGCGGAAGCAGAGACAGAACGTGCGTGTATTACCACCTCCCGTTGTTTCGGTTCCACTGCACCACCACCACCACCACCACCACCGGTGGGTGACAATGATGGCTCTGCACGGCGACTGGCATGGGATCTGCGCGCGGCATGTGCCCGAGCTCTCATGTCCTTGTCATACTGTTCCTTTCCGGACGGTCCGACAGAGGTCGACACGAGAAAGAGGAAACGGTCACCGTCCTTGTCCTTGTCCTTCTCACCCAACGAGCGCCTTGGCAGGGACGTTTTCTGCATGATATCGAACGCGTTCGCCTAGTCATTGATCGAGACGAGCCAAGCCATCTCGATCACAAGCAAAGTAAATATGCACGATCATCAACAGACTCGGATGCAGATCGCACGGCGATGACAGCTTGATGGATCAGCTAGCCATGGGTTATCATAACTTGTGAGTCAGGTAACAATCGCAAATGATGGATGGAATGCGGCGCCTGTTCCCAGTAACCGTTGATAGGACAATTGAAGGGACTCCTCGCTTGTAATCCGGTCCGAGACCTTGACCTTGGGAGTCGTGCAGTCCAGGTTTCTGCGGGGGTGTTCGAACTTGAAAGGGTCCCTCGGGGTCCAATGCGGTACCGAGTATGGAGGACTCGTACTTTGATTGGCAATTGACCTGTGCCTGTTTGAGGCAAAGTCTTTTTGTCACCCCCGGGGATTCAGCGGTGTTATTGTAATCCTTGTAATAAAAATAATTTCACCGGTGGTCCATGGCTGGGATGATTTCACCGGGTCTATAACCATAAAATACAAGTACCTGGATAGGCATATGGGCAACCTAGGCCTCACCTCCCGTAGGTCGGTATTAGTCACTGACTTAGTCAGTCGCTTGCGGTACTCGAGTGTAATAAGAAAAGGGTGGTCGTCGATGTACATAAATAGGCGGTGGAGGACGAGTCTAGATGGCTTTTGCATCTAGTTGGGCATCAGTCTTTCATTTTGACTACTACTCCGTACTGGTGAATTTGTACTGTACAGGCTTTTCGGTCTTCCGCAACCACCACCCCTGTCTCCCTTGTCCGGCCTGAAGAAGCTAAATCAGACAACAGCTTTGAGTCCTTTTGGGCTATACCCGATGTTAGCCGGTGCTCTCTTGTTTCAATTAACCTGGAATAAATTCATGGATTTGTTTTTGGGTCTGTGAGAAGCCTATTGCATACCTAGATAACTAGACCTGATGGGAGGGAGCTACTTCTATTAGTACACGCAGTCTCCCGTCGAGACCGACTCCCCCGTACGAGCGAGATTTTGATGCGAGCCAGTCCCATGATAGCAGAGAGCTTCGAAACCGGGTGACCGTATTCCTCCTAATCTGGGATCTATGGAACATGTACAGCACGCACATATAAAGCCTGCTCTCATCGGCCAGTGTAAAGTAGGTATCCCTTTAGCCAGGACCTGCGCATCCCCAAGAAGTCTGAATGGTACCACCTGGTCCAAAAACTTCCTTGAGACCTTGAATTGCAGCCCAACTTCCCATACCGGACGAAGCCAAACCTCCACATGCAAACAGAATGGCCGGAATGCTGTACCACCACGTCTTACGGAGCCCGCGGACATAGCGTTTGAATCCCGAATCAAGACGTGTAGTCTCGCCGGTGTAAGGGTCAAACCCTTCACCAGGGAGAGCCGCTCCCTTTTGAATGACGAACGTGACGTACATGATGGCGGGGATACTGTAGGTGAAGTTGAGGGAGAAGAGACCGCCGACGAGACCGGTGATACCGGCAAAGTTGGGTACCGACATGGAAAAGATCCACGCGATGATCCAGTACAAAGGTCCTAGAATCAACCAGAACATGTAGCCTCGCTTGCTGGTGATGGCTGGCATGTGGAGCATTTCTTCACAGATGTGAAGATATACAACCTTCATACCCACGTTGAAGTACATGAACACGGCGAGGAAGGCGGTAATCAATGCTAAGATGTTGCTGGCAACCTGGACCGACTCTGGTTTCACGACCTGCGAAATGGTCGAGACCGAGTATTGTCCGATGTAGGTATAGACCACAGCCCCGAAGATCAAGTAGACCACCATGATGAAGAGTTGAGCCAGCAGAGCACCCTTCCAGAAGTCCATGGGGTGGCGCATCTCGGAAAGGAAGGCGACGAACAAAAGTGCTCCAGAGTATGCGTAGACGATGGAGTCGATACCGTTAAACTGGGCGGCGAACAAGTCTCTGGTTTGTTGCTGGTATTCGGCTGGCGGGACCCCCCAGAATGTTTTGGCTGGTTCGGCCACCTTGAGGAGAGTCGTCTGCAACGCATACGTGGGGTCTGGTCCATATTTGGGCGCGCAGACCAGGATGATGATGAAACTGACAATGTTGATCCAGACGGCAAAGTTGGCCAAGAAACCGACCTCTTTGAGGGCACGGAGGCCGCATGAGGCGATGCCGATGATGACACTGATGATAGCAATGGCAATATAGCAAACGTGACCTCCGTTGACCTGAGACATGATCTGCGCATTGCCCTGAACGATGACAGCCACCGTACAGAACATCTGAAAGGCCTGCATGACGTTGATGACGTTGCGCGTTTTAGGGCCAAACAGTCGAAAGAAGGGGTCGCCAAAACTGAGGACGGGGAACCGGGAAGAATCGAGACCAAGGAAGACATGCCAGATCATGAGGGCGGAGCACATGGCGGCAATACCAAAGAGGACAAAAACTCCAATTGCTGCATTGTAGCCGGCGTTGGCGAAGACATAAGGCGTCTGACCCCAGCCCAGGATATCGGTCGTGATCAGATAGAAGACGGTGACCCAGCCGGAGGTTCGGAGGGCTCGTGCGGCCTGGCGCCATTCGGCATCGTAGTCGTGAGTCTGCGAGGGGCCAATAGGGCTCAAGGCCACATCTTTGCCCGGTTCTCCGGTCTTCTCAGTGGCAGTCTTCTCGGTGGTGGGCGCAGGGTCTTCGACTGCTGGAGTGGCCTCGATGGCGGCATTCTTATCCTTGGGAGCACCCAAAAAGTAGGCCTTGAAGCCGCCGAACCTGCCGTCGTTCTTGACGGATTCGACGTATTTTTTCTGTTCTTCGACCTCCATCTCGCGTTCGATCTTGGCCCAGAAGATGTACTCTTCAAAGGTGACGGTCGGGTCCATACGCGCTGCCAGGCCCCATAATCGTTGCCGCAGGCCGGGGTGCTTGCCGTCGACCGACATCTGTCGAAGCTTGTTTTGATCCTGCAACTCTTGTAGTTCAGGCGCATTGGTGCTGAGGCCAAGCTGGCCTGCCTTCATTGTGATGGACATGGTTGTCAGCTGCAAACCCTCGAGCAGGGAGCAAGTCTCGAGAAGATGGAGAATGCGCTGGTGAGGGTCATGGGTCAAGACTCGAGGTGGAAGCGAGCGGAGTTTATACCTGGAGCATCAGGTGCAGTGTCCCCGTTTCCCACGCGTTCGCACCTTCCTTTCACGGTTGGCAGCATCACCGACTTATCGCTCCAAATGCAGGAGGAGCCCACGCGTCCTGGGTGGAGGGTTGCATCTCTAAAATGGCACTATGGGCGAAGTTTGCCCCCCGACAAGGTCGCGATGATGGACGATCATCACCAAACTGGACAAATTGAAATCAGTTGATATTGACAACGGATGTAACGTTGGGCGACGTTTTTATCAATCCAAGGATTCCGAGTGGGAAAGGGAGTTTGATGGGTAAAAGGCTTTTGCGAACAAATAGAAGCTTCTAACAAGCTTCCAAATGTTGAGCTTGTATATGCTTGGACTCCGCTAGTCCTGATGCTGGCTAGAGCCTCGACAATCAGCCTGTTAGTCGTTCGGACTTGGGCCAGGATAGGAAGGTCTACAGGAGTGTGGGTGCCACCAGTGGTACTAGTGGTGTGACGAGACCTTGCTGTTACAGGGAAGGACACCGACGACGATGCACCAAACAATATGCAATCTACTGTACAGTACGCCGTTGCCGAGATCCGCAATTGTTGCTCGTATTGTGTTCCGTACCCCCATGAATCCACGAGTTTTTTTGGGAGATAAGAAGTACTACCCTCCCTCGCTTCGCTGGCGGGGCAGACTCTCCGCAATCAAAAAAAGTACAGTAGATAAGAGTGTTGTATCATGCTCGCGTGCAGGAGAGGAACGTGCATCGACTCCACGAGAGAGTGAATGCGTGCGCCGATACTCGTAGAGATTTCGTTGATGTAGTCAAAAAGATAAGCGACGAGCTTCGTGGGTAGATGCTTCGATTATTCCTCGTTCCTTTCCGTGCGAATAATGTCGAGGATCCGTCTGACCCGTTTCCGCCACAGTAGCGACGATTTCTCAAAACGTGATGGCGGATTCGGTGTCGTAGTTCGCGTGTATTGTACATTCTCCATACCCCATATGGAGTAAGGGGGTACCTCCAGGAAAAGCAATTTTACACATACTTCGGGTTGAGATACTTTCCAGCCCTGAGCCGTCGCCGAAGGTAGCCGTGAGACAGTAGAGGTCTAGAGAGTACGGATACAGGGCACTGACAACCGACTGCTACGGCGTCAGGAACCCATGACAATACCAGGACTGTCATTGGCGGAATGCTAGCAAGAGAAGGGTTGCGAGAGTGAGCAGGGTGAAGCGCTAAAATTTCAATCCTACCTGGAATGAGCAATGGCATCGTTCGAAAGAAAGTGCCTGACCAATTTCGATGCTGTTTGCATCTATGTGTTCCTTTGGCTCCTCTGAAATTAATTGTCGAGACCGAGTGAAGCAAAGACTATTCCCCTTCCCCTCCTCATACAGACAAGACTTGTGTAAGAGATTTTAAGCGATTCTAACCGATGATGCCGGATGCGTAGTCTTTGATGCTGGGGGACCGAATCTGTTCTGTTTCCATTGCCGCTCAGTTCGTTCAGCCGACCGGTATCAAATCATGACTTCAAATCTTCCGGAGTCAAGGTAAGCGACTCTGGAATCAATTTCTAAACGACAGCTTGACTTCCACCAGTCCTTGTTTTCCCCCGGCCAACTCTTTGAACAAGGCAACATCAGCCTGGGAGGAACAGAGTATCGAGAACGCATTGCTCTCCAGGCAAAAGGTTCGGAACGGAAAGGCATCATGAGACTGTAACGATGGAGCGTGATGGCGAAATGAGCATTGACTTTCTCGCCACGGACCCCCCTCCTTTCTCTACTGCACCCCAGCGGACACCACGTAGTGGAGGTGGGGAGTTCGATCGTCTCTACCAACCATAACGGAATCGAATCAAATCAAGCAGAGGCATCAGCAGTGTTTTCTTTGTCAAAGACGGTTCACCTGTCGTTATGTCACGCCTTTATCCTTAGATTGGTGGGTGCTGTTTTGCGCGGATAAATACTGTAGAGTCTTTTGAGCTTTTTTTGCGGTTGCGGAGATGAATGTTGGAGAAGGAAAAAAAAACAGGGAGAAAAGTTCGCCGCCAAGACAAAGAGTTTACAGTACAAGAAACTCCGAGATAGATTTATGCACGAGAAAAGAATGAATTGACCCGAATGACGTCGTCTCAATCCCGGATCCCCAAGTTCTCTATACATCGAGTTGGTCACCAGGAAAGGCTTGTCGTACTCCAGGACGATATGCGCTGAGCTTGAACTCCCGTTGACATTCTGCTCCGTACAATTACCAAAAAGTTCCTCGGTGGACTGGAACTCCTGACTTTCTCCTGGAATGGCGACGACGACGACGACCACCACCACCACTAAAGAAATACCCGACCAATCCGCATTATCAAACCTCATCTCCGCCTCCTCTTCTTCATCTTCATCAACATACCTCGGTGGTGCCAAATCAAAAGAAGCGTCATCATCCTCATCATCATCATCAGACTCTCTCTCCGTCGAGGTTCTACATAATCTTCAACATCAACATAATTGGGTTGACCTCAAATTACATACCATCAATCTCAATGTCACCCCCTCTGCCAATGTCAATGTCAATGACAACATCAACACTACCAACGACCCAGCAGCAGCAGTAGGAGGAGGAGGAGGAGGAGGATTAGGTATCGTCAATGTTGTTCCTTCACTTTCATCCACTTCCGGGGCCTCGACGACCTCGGATTCCTCGAAACCCGTCAATACGACCAACTATGCAATCACTTTGATATCGGGCCTACCGCCACGTCACAGTTACATCCACCCGGACCTTCAGAACCATCTCGTCAAACAAAAAGTCGAAGAAACTTCACTCCCGGTGCAGCGAGAATTCGTTCTCCCTTTATCCCTCAACGAAACTTGGACTCTGAGTCGGTTCTGTGGAGTTTTTGATCAATTACCTGACCGCCAGTGGATACTGGTCCCACCACCACCACCACCACCACCGTCCGGCAACAGCAGCGGCAGCAACGCCGCAAATACACGTACAAACACAACAACAACGACAAGGCAATCACGGAGTACAAGGACCAACACAAATGGCACCTCACCCGGCAGGTCCAGGGCATACGAGCACCGTGATCAGAAACGTGTCTTGTTGGGTATGAGGGCCAAAACTGGCGTCGGCGGTGACGGTACAATCGTATACTACATCATGCAGGAAGGAGAGGTGAAACCTCGACAAAACGGTTGAGGCGACCCTACACACGTTGCACATACATGCACGACCCTACCCCGGTTATCAGCTTCAAGACTTTCCAAATGATTATGAATTAAGGCTAGATAAGCCACGCCCTAGAGGCATTTTGACCACTTGTACTCAATGTGTCAAAGAACCAAGATGAAACCTACGCCAACGCTTCCAAAGGCTTTCACTATAACGGAAACACACACACATCAAACATCTCTGGGTCGTCAAGCAATGATCAGCAAACTCATTGTCGGGTAAACCACTGGTGCCCCTTTAATTTTTCAGACCGCACCACCTTGTGCGTCCCATGTTGACCGTGCCTGAAGTGATGGTGATTTTCGTGGCGTGCCAATTTTTTGGCCTCTTTCACCTCCTTCTTGGCCCCCTTCTTGTCCTCCTTGGCTTTGCGCTCCTGATAGTCTTCGATCGATTCCAAGACGTCGTACTCTTGGACGGGTATTCCTTCGGCACGCTTCACTTTGTTGCCCTCGATGAAGACGCAGATACCGGCGAAGATACCTGTGAGACATCCGAATGTAATCCAAACGCCAGTACCCCAAGAAGGCCGGTCAAATCTGTTCCAATGCCACATCCAAAAGCACAGCAAAACTTGACACCCGGTGTTGAGCATGTACATGTACACGACGAAGTCGAGTGTCCAGGATTTTGAGGGTTTGGCACGAAGGCCTGTCAACGGTGGCTCGGGCATGGATGTCGCAGGCAATGGGATCGCTGGGTTTTCTTCCAACTTGGCGATATCTTCTTCCAAATACGGTGGAGGCGATTCGGGGGTGCGTGGATTTTTCTTGTTGTACACCGGTGGTGGGCCGACGTCGTCTGGTAGCTGATCTGAGCCCGGCAGACGATACCACCCTCTGTAGATGCCGGCAAGCTTGCGATGGTATTTTTCACTTCCTCCGACCCGCCACCGCATGATGTAGTAAAAGTCTCGCGCTCGCCAAGGGAACAGCCCGAAAGCGGTGACACAGAATAAACCATTCAGAATTTGCGAGTCGATTTCGATCCACTTCTTGCGGGCGCTGTCGTCGGCATTGCAGCTTGGGTGGCACATTGCCGGTGCGGCGTTCAGGAGAACGAAGAAGATCATGGCACCCCAGCCGATGACGTTCAGACCGTACACGACGACGAGGAATCCAAAGGGGGTGAGAAAGAATTTCCACAGTGCTTGTAGGCCGATCATGGTGGACTGAGTCCAGGTATGCTTTTTGGGGAAACGATAACCGTTGGGATAGGTGCCTGTCTCGTCAGGGCCGCTTTGTATGGGGACGACCTGCCCCCCTTCGTCTTGTTGCGATGAGGCCATCGAGGCGTTTTGCTCTTGGGTCGCCGCTAATTGTTTCTCCTGCGGACTAAATTATACACAAAAGGGTTAATTGCGTCTGGTGGTGGGAGGAATAAGGACTGTATGCACTGGGAAAGCATCATTACCTCTGCGCCGGTTGGATTTCTTCCGACTGGCCATGAGTGGCAGCCGTGGCTGCTTCTTCGTGTAGCGTCTCCTGCAGCAACGTCGGGGCTCTCTTGGGAAAGAACTCATGCCTCTCCTCCAGTATCGCCACAGGCGCACCACCTGCGGCGGACCGTGAACTCTTTCTCGTCCTGGTACTGGCGGAACTCGTCCTCGCTATCCTCTGTCGGTGAATCTCATGAGGGTTGTTCCCTCGATGCTCCATCTGCCCTTCATGTGTCCACCCTTCGGCGTCAAAGGCTCCGTTCCGTATCTCTGGCAACGTGGGTATCTTCGAGCCGACCTCGCCGGTAGCCTGCCACATTCCCAGCGGAGGGTTGCTCTGTATGAAGGACTGAAGGAGGGAACTTGTGCGAGTACGAGTCTGCGCCGACAACCGCGAAGTGATGGAGCCTCTACGTCCAACCTCTGGTGCCCCGGCATCTTGAGACCGGCGAAACGGTACTTCTGTTTCTTCCTCGAAGGTAGGAAAAGCTTCTGTGTCCGTTGGCTTGTTGGCCATTTTCGGGGTCGGTGTGATTTGCACGTGCAAATGGAGGAAACGCAGAGTCGCACTGTTTACGTGTATACGAAGAGAGACAACATCAATGGACACAATGCGAAAGAGAATCGCAATTCATATCATCGACGGTAGTTTGCGGAAAGACAGGAAGGGAAGAGGAAGAAGGGAGAAAAGTGCGCAATTTGATCGTCGCACAGACAACGTTTATTGAGTTGCCTTGAAGTTATTTGGTGCACAAGGATCTGTACATTAGTTCATAGTCGCAGGTGGGATTCTGGACACAAAGAGGGCGGTGATGGTCCCGCCTGCAGAGATCGGAATTAGCTGTTCCCGGGGTGGCCCCTTTAGCGGCCACGGGTGCATTGAAGTGGGCATTAGTGCCCAATCCTTGGGGTTCTTAGGCGTTGTGAGGCCTCTGTTCGCCACCAAATGCTCGGATCTGGGCTTGGCCTTAACCCTGTCACCCCATGACCGTCTCTGTGATCTGCTGAGATGAGCATCTCCTTCGTTCGCCAACCAACTCGTTACTCGTATCAGCCCCTCTCGTTACCTGACTAAGGCCTGGAGTACTCGTGTAGTGTCATTGCACGAGCCCTTTTTGGTTCGGGGGGTTTGATGACTGTCGACTTACTCATCCACGCTTCCAATTCAAAAGCCCCTTGCTGAGCTTTTCTCGTTTTGAAAATGCCTGGATTGCTTACCCCCTAAGTCTTGTAATCTTTCTCGGTGCCCCCCTTGCTAGTCGGTGCGGAAACTACCCTTTTCCAGAAAGGCTCTGTTGTGGGATGTCAGTGAGATGGGGGAAGCTCAAATTCGGTAAAAGGGAAGCGGAAGCGCATCGAATTGACAACTTCACATGCTTCGGGGGAAAAAAACCGAGTTGCTAGGTAGGTAAAATTGTACAAAAACATTAACACTAAAGCTTCATGGTATCTCTTCTGACGTTGGCATTCCTCTTGCATACATCTAATCTCCTCAACAATCCTTTCCCATCACAATGGTCTACCGTCCTTGTCGACCTTGACTCGTGGATCGACCTTGTTCAACAAGTCCGAGTTGTGTGGTGGGTGAGTCGAAGTACCCGAATGGCCTGCGGCGCCGGCGGTCGATGACGACGACGTTCCCGTAAAGCCAGTGTTTGATGTGACTCCTCCAGTATGATGCCCCCCGTGCCCTGCACCTCCAGTGGTCACGGTATCATGGACGCCGGCAGCACCATGACCTTGACGACCGTATCCCGCGGTCTCTGTGGTCCCGTTCCCCCAGCTGCACCACTTGCGGTGTTGTGTCCGATGCCGGTGGCACCGTGTCCCTGCTGGCCATAGCCAGATGCCTGTGAAGTCTCGTACCCTCCGACGCCGCCCGCAGGGGTGTGGCTCGAGTGCATGGTGTTACCAGTGCCCATCGCAGGTGTGACGCCAGCGCCTTGACCATGACCGGAAACTGTCTGTGAATTACCGTAACCTCCAACGTTGCTTGCGGGGTTGGCACGATGATCACGGTCGCTGTCGACCCTCGGGTCTAGTTTGTTGGCTAGATTACTCGAGTGCATGGTGTTACCGGTTCCTGTCATTCCAGTACCTCCTGCAGCACCAGAGCCATGCTGGCCTCCGTACCCGGAGGTGGTCTGAGAGGTGGCGTAACCTCCAACGCCGCTCGCAGGGTTGGCACGATGGTCGAAATCACTGTCAACCCGTGGGTCGGCTTTGTTCGCGAGTTTGCTTGAATGCATGGTATTCCCGGTGTTGGACGTTGGCGCAGTGCCGTAGCCGGTGCTTGTACCACCATAGCCAGCACCGGCGCCATAGCCTTCTGTCTGAATGTTTCCTCGACCGCCTACGTTGCTCGTAGGATCATTCCTGTGGTCGAGATCTGAATCAACTCTGGGATCCATTTTGTTGGACATATTGCTATTGTGTCTGACACCCTGTAAGCGAAAGCTAAACAGATCCCTGGTATTAAACTTACGGTCCAGCATTGTGTGAATTTGGGTTATCATGTTGATTGCCTGTCAAGGCTTCCTTCGCCTTGTTGATGAGACTCGACATAATGAATGCTCTTAGATTGGCTTTTCTCTCTTGAAGGGTCTAGCAGTAAGCTTGAAAATAGATTCATAAATGATACTTTCCCAGCCCTGGTAACTGCACCACTCGTGGTTTATATAGATCTTGGACGGGTCAGAGGTACGCGCTCCTTGCCATCCGCCATGGCCATTTACTTCCCCTCCATCGCACGATTGCATCAGAAGTGGGGCTGGGATGGAACGCCCAGACCATCCATACTCGAACTTGTCTCATGGTCGATGGCCATATCTTGGTCTTCCCTGGGCATCGAGGTATCGAGAAGGCTGATCATGAACTCTACGAGGCGGAAGAGGGTAAGGTATCTGTGGCTGACGGGATGTAATTGGCCTTCGTGGGGATAACAGCCACACTGCCCTTTTCTTAGAGTGTCATAAATGCGTCATACCCTGGTCTGTTTGTCGCATTCCTTGGAAGTGGATTGTGGCGCTGGTCTTCTCATTCGTCGATCGGATCTGTCGTGCTTTGACGGAAATCCGGGGACACTCGGCTGACGTCGCCAAAATCCCCGTCACTTCGTAAAAAGTTCCTGTCAAGGCACTATGAGTTTCAAAATACCAGTTCTCTTCCTCGCAGCACGTAATAAAACACTTGTATATCCAATAATAATACCTGTGACGCTCTCGATGCGGTGTGGGGCGATCTGTGCGTTCAGGCCGACCGTTCACTTTTTACCCTCTGCCGCCATTATTCACGACATACTTCGTCACCGCGGTCTTCAAAATAGCAATTTGTTGGCTGGTCTTGAAAAACACTTCACGATATTGGTCTAGACTCTCTTGCACAACATCAGAGCGAGTCCGCTGACCGTCACAAATCGCCTTCATTTTGAGTTCCATCTCTTTCCGAAGAAAAGGTTTGCTGACGCTGACATCAAGTCCTATGTTGTCATAGCCCTCAATCAGGGCGACGCCAAGTGTAGTTGGAATGAATTCCTGCACGGCGTTACGTCCACCCCCAGAGCGTGGCCGGGTATCGACGTATAGTCGTTCCTGGATTTTGGCAATGTGTTCAGCCATCGTAGCATCGGTGCCAATTCCGTTAGCGTCCATCAATGAAATTAGCTCCGGCTCAGTCAAATATCCTGGAGCAGTGGTTCTGCCATCTGCCAGGGTTGCTTCGGTCGGTTCGAAGGTCTCGCCCATGGTATAAACAGGCAACTGCTGACTGCTTTCCCACTTGTCGTAGACGTAAACATCGAGATAGTTGCGCTGCAGAACAAGAAGTCCGTGAGTATGGAAGAATTCTGACCCCCACTGGACCTCAATATCTGTGGCTTCACCTTTGGCATCTTCCGAGCAACAAGCAAGAAACCGTCGTACAACAAACTCGTATACCTTCTTTTGGTCTTGGTCAAGCGCGGAAGCTGCCACGTAATTGACAGGGTGGATTGGAGGATGTGCCTGATCGTTGTGGCTTCCTGATCGAGGTGTTCGAAATCCTCCGTCGAGAAGAGCTTGCGCAAACTGGCCCCAATTGTTATCTTGTACCTGACGCTGAATGATGGGATCGAAGCCAAAGTCTCGCGGAAATTGATCGGTTTCAGTGCGGGGATAACTGACGAAGCCTTTCTGGTACAGCTTTTCCGCGGCTGACATGACCTGCTGACTCGTCATGTGAAGGAAGCGACTGCCCTGCTTCTGCAGTTCTACCGTGGTGAGAGGAAGAGGACGCCATTTCGAAGTGGGCTTCTTTTGCACTTTGGTGACCGTCGCCTTCTTTTCATCCAAGCATGACTCGAATATAATGGTAACGGCGGCCCGGTCGAACAAATGACCCCTTCTCCAATTGAACATGACTTTAACTTTGTCCCGAACATGTGTCAATTTGATACACCAAAATGTTTCTGGTTTAAAATTCCTAACACGATGGTAGCGGTCGACGACAAAGCCAAGCGTGGGGAATTGACATGATCCGTAGCTTAGTGGTTGACTTAGACTCTCACTCAGGGACTGGAGCTGTAAAGTCTGGAGTCTCGTGAAGGACGCTCCAATCCGCAAGTCAAGTTCGATTCTGGCTATTACTGCATTGACTAGACGCTCGTCCATATCAATGGGAGAATTTGCAGCCTGAATAACATGGCTATTTGAAGTCAGTCTCCCTCTTACAGCCTGATGGTCGGGAAGTGGAACATACGCTCTTTCGGTATTACTGAACCTTGCACGTTTGACGGTGATATTGGGATTCCCCTTCTTTGCTTGATCACGTACTTCGCCACCGATGTGCTCGCCTTCGCGATCGCAATCGGTCCAAATAAAGAGAATTCTGGCATACCGGGCTTGTTGCTTGATGTTCTCTGCGACCGCTTTTTTGTCACTAGCAATGGTGGTCACAGTTTCTGCATCGAACAGTTGGCCAGGCTGACATGACTTCCAGCTTTTATATTGTGGATCAAAATCTAGACCTGTCAAGTGACCAAGTACACTGGTCATGGTCACTGAACAGTTGCCCCATTGTCGAAAATTAAAATCAAACTCGTAATTCTTGACATATTGATTCCCTCGTATAGGATGCTATGTGAAGGATGAGAAATGGACAGAGTCGGGAAACTGTGAGAATTGCCTACCGTGGAGACTCTGCCGCCAGCGAGATGCTGTGCAACTGCCTTGGCTATCGCAGGTTTCTCTGCAACGCAAAGAATTTTTTGACCAGGCATGATTCATATTTGCATGAAGTCAAGGTCATGGTTAGTCAGTTGTTCGAAATGTATGGCATCTAGGGTCATGCTAACTGAGAGTTACTGAATGTCATCAAAGTGTAACTCTAGGCAGGGATATAAATCTAAGAAGCTGCCAGTACGTGTATCAGAAAAGGCCGTGGTGGCCCTGGCGATGATGGGTGGTTATTGGGCAGACGAGTAAAATCGCGTCAGCCTTGGCAGTTACTAACAAGTACGCGACGCGTTAATTGAGCTCAACGGTGGCGCATAGAGCAAAAAGTGATTGCATCATAGCCATGACTCGTACATTACATACTTTGTGCTCCTGGCGCTACAAAAAGATACATGTAGCTAGTACCGATCTCTCCCTGAGGTACCTTTCTACTCATATTCCATGGGATTTGTCTTTCATACCTTGAGACCTTGTTGACTCTGGTGATTTCCTCGCTCCTGCATCTCTTTGCCTGTGTCTCTCAACACTTGAACTCAAATCACTCCTTTTCACTGATTGCAAGATTCAATCTTTACTCAGGTACAAGAACATCTTCACGCGCTCCAAGATGGCATTACCTGTGGTGAGAAGTCTTGTGGAATGTGCCGACTATAGTAACACCCTCGCTCCGTATACCTACCAACTACGGGCGCTACCCGAGGTGTTCGTTCAAGCCCTGACCAACGTTGCCGCACTGAAACAGCTGTATCTCGACACGAACCCTCTTGTTTCAGCGATTGCATTCTCGGTTGCTATCTCTCCCATCTTCTTGGTCGTCTCAGAATTCAACAAGAACTATTCACAAGTCGATCGAGTCTGGTCCATCCTCCCGACCATCTATAACCTCCACTATGCCATCTATGCACACTTGGCTGGAATTGACGCCACTAGGATTGGCCTTGTGGCTGGGATCAGCGCAATATGGAGTGTAAGTAATCGTCTTATGTACACGGCCCTCACTTACACACTCTAGACGAGATTGACGTACAACTACTATCGCAAAGGAGGCTACTCGATCGGTAGCGAGGACTATCGTTGGGCCATTGTTAAGAAACAAGTCGGATCTGGGCTCTTTTTCCTCTTCAATGTTGCTTTCATCTCGCTCGGACAATCACTTCTGTTGGCCACTGTTACTACCCCGACCTATGTGCTGCTCCTTGCCTCGAGACTTGCGACGTATAGTTCCGAGGTGCCAGGTCTGGGCCTCGAAGATATGGTTGCAGCTAGCATCATGCTGAGTGCAATTGCGGTATCTTTCATCGCCGATCAACAACAATGGGACTTTCAGACAGCCAAGTCCAATTATCGAAGTAATGCAAAAGTTCCTGCTGGTTACGATCAAGAAGATTTGGATCGCGGCTTTCTCACAAAGGGACTGTTTGCATATTCCCGACACCCGAATTTTGCTGCGGAACAGACTGTGTGGGTCAGCCTCTACATTTGGTCCTGTCTCGTGACGCGAACATGGCATAACTGGACCGGCATTGGTGCATTGTCATACTTGTCGCTCTTCCAGGCCAGTACATGGCTTACGGAACTGCTCTCTGCACAAAAGTATCCGGAGTACAAAGTCTATCAGCAGAGGGTAGGGAAGTTTCTACCCTCTCCAACCTCAGCTGGTTCGGTTTTCCCAAAGAAACAGATCAAAGATGTTGGTAACGCTCAAACCAAGCATATTGAGGCCGTTAAGGCTAGGGAAAGATATGATCTGAGGTGAAATACACACATCATCCGTGCGGGTTAGTCGTTTGAATCCCTGAGCAATATGTTTTATTCAACACCCTTGGGCTGTGTCGTCGATCACTGTTTGTTGGTTGACTAAGAAGTCTCGGCTCGAAACGAGGCCCAAACTACTGTACGTACTAAAGGGCGTAGATCTCCAAGCGCTGATATGTATGATTCCTGATAAGACGTAGCGTTATGCATGGAATGGTTTTGCCCTCCGGTATCAAGATTTGATCGAGTATCACGCGAGCACTCACCCAAGTCTGACGAAAGATGCCCTCATCTTTTTTACTCATTAGTCATTGTCCAGACTTCGTGTATTTCTGCATGCTCGTAGTTCGCTACCATGAGTGAACTTCGCAGACTCGAAGGCATGTGGGTGAAATACATTTGGCTCTGGCCGCTCGTTGCCAGCGCATCGTGGTTTCTTACGCTCTCCATCCTCCTCATTCATTGGCTTGCAGAGGGCCGTCCAGTGAATCCGGGCCAAAGTAATCCCTACGTCGCGTACTAAGCAGGAGTTGCTCCCAATCTAGCAGAGCGGCGTCTCTAACGAGTAGCGAGCAGGTTCATCTCGGACATTGCAGCATTCGAATACAAACCCGTCTTCATCACGGGCTGCACGGTAACGGCCATATTTTTCGCATTGACTGTGTGGGCCGTTCACTATGCTCGCTACTCTGACCGTTGCTACGGACTCACGAGGGATGCTGGATGGAAGAAGACCATTTCAGGTTTGGCGCTCGTCAGTGGGTTGTGGGCCGCGGTCTCGTTGCTTCTGCTCACCGTCTTCGATACCTATCGAGCTCATGAAAGACACCAGTATCTGCTGCTGTCCTGCCTTGGTGGTCTCGGGATCTCCATGTTGACAACATCCACCGTGTGGTTCGACCAGACCTGGAAGGTCACGCAATGGAAGGGCCTAGGACGATGGTGTGGGCCCTAGATTCTCGAGATTTCTATGAGACGGGGAGTTTATTGATGTTAACCACTGTTGCAGGTGTTTGGCCAGTAATGCCTGTGTCGCGATCGAGATAGGGCTGGTAATCGCATTGGTCCTATCCCTCTTCAACGGTCTTCTGCGTACCTCTGGCTGCCTCGAGTGGTCACTGACCTACGTTGGAACATTCTGGCTGCTGACATTCGTTGGATATCTGAAGTACTCGTTGTACCGTTGTTGTATTTTACAGGTCGTCGACTGACCGTCCAGGGACGCCCACAACATCTCGATAAATGGAGGTTCTGAGGACCGCCCTCTGTTGTCTCCAGGGATTGAATTTGTAAGTGACTAACATTGGTGGAATAAGGACCGAGTCGTGGCAGCACGGAGCGAAATGGGTACAAGTGATGGTGAGCGTTCAGGAAAGATGATAGGCTCCGTTCGTGGGCTGTCAAGCCTGGAAATGCAGCCCAAAGAGTGAGAGATTGGCACCTAAACAGCACACGTTCCAGGCGGGAATCGCCGCCTGATGAGTTGTCTCGGTACCTCAGGCACCTAACAACGCACATCACCACCATGAAAGGGCGAGTTGCGTACTGCCACTGCCGCTGCCGCTGCCGCCGCCTGGGCCCGTAGGGAGAGCGGCAGCTTGTCCATAGTTGTGCTGTATTTACCTACTGTACGGATACTCCCTAGGCCAAAGCGCCCAGTCAAACACATGTTGTTCTGTAACAGTAAATAAAAAGTATTCCTTCACTCCCAATCATGGTAAACTCGTCAAAGTCGTGACAACAACACCGACAAACATGTCCAACAATCATCGCAACCAACCTGGCACTGACGTATTCAGTAGGTGGCGCACTTCATGTGGCCCTGTCATGAACCCTGCAGGAATAACTTGTCATGATGTATTCCACTGTTTCCGTCACTTGCATATCCTGGGATCCTCCCAGACCTCACCTCACTCCATCAGACCACTCGATCAATATCATCAGTTCTTCGGCCATGGCCGGGTCAAACACTGATCACCATACAATGTTGATTTGATTTGCTCCTGTCTTTGTGTCGATTTCTTTTCTTCTTGTGTTTAATGAGCTCCTTTTGGTTTACTGATTGTACGAATACTGTGACCGTTGTTTGGGGTGCCCCTCCGGAGTGACGATGGACCTGGAAAGGATTAAGCAGAATCTACGCATACGGTCAGGCAGGGCAAAGAAACCACGAAAACTTCCTGCAGAGAATCCTTCCGTCACTCCAGCAAAAGTTTCCAAAGTTGTTGAGCAACCACCGGTGAAAGCAAATGATACCGCCAAATCGCCTCGCGTCCCAAGTAAACCTGCGACTCCTCCTTCTAAGGAGGGGATTCCATCTCGCCCTCGGGGCATTCTAACCCCCCTTCCTGTTGTCGAGTCAGCAAACATCTCGAAACCACGGCCAGGACTCCCACACGCTGTAACAGGCTCCAATTTTAACCTAAAACTTCCGGAGCATTGGCCTCGATATGGACGATCAGGCATCGAAAGGCCTCAAAGGAGCCCTGTACTCGATAAGTCCTCGAAGGGACAATCCATACGACGGACTGTCTCGGACAATGACACTACGGATGTCCTTGATTTTGACCTGCGGCCCCCTCCTCCCAGGGTCAAACCACCGTCTATCGAGTCCTTGGCCGAGTTGTTGTTTTCGGCTCGCCACCTCAACGTTCTCGTCTACAAGCCTCAATATCTGGCTGCTTTCACTACTTTCATCCGGCGCTATCGACCTCAATACCACGACGTAATCGTCGGGTACATCGAGTCACAAAAAGCTATAAAAGCGGTCGAGTATGCGAACGCTGTTGCACACAGCATCACTTCCGAAGCCACTAAAGTCACAAGACCGACACAAGTAGCAACACTGGACAAAATTTTCGAAGACTGGAACAGATCTTGTTTCTCCACCTTAATCGACACCGCTCTTCCAATGTACATCACTTACAACTTGGTTAAAGTGGTAACAGAATGTCTAGTCAACGAGATCACGGGTAGACAAACACCGCTGATGAGGGATCTGGTGGGCGGATTATCAGAAGTTTTCTGCTTGACAGATCCCAATCAACCAGACAACCCCATCATCTATGCGAGTGAAGAGTTCTTCCGACTTACAGGATACGGCGTGGATGACGTTATCGGACATAACTGTCGATTCCTCCAAGGTGTGAAGACCAACAGAGAGTCGGTAAAACGATTGCGAGATGACGTTAGGAGGGGCGAAGAAACTTGCGAAACCCTACTCAACTACCGCAGGGATGGCAGGGCATTTATAAATTTACTCATGACTGCGCCTCTACACGACGACCAGGGCAACGTTAAATACAATATTGGCGCCCAAATTGACGTCACTGGATTGGTTGAACGTGGTAAAGGCTTAGACGGCTTTGGATCTTTACTGATCAACCGAGGGCTCGAACAACCGGCACATAAGGCTGACGGCAACCCTTCTTATGGTAATGAACAAACAGTCAAGAAGGCCCATGCTCTGGGCAAACTGAAAGAGCTAAGTGAAATGTTTGATCTTGAGGAGTCAGTTGCAGTGAACTCCCGTAGCAGATCATTGTCAAGGTCAACAGACGATGACGAGCACAGCATTGGGAGGAGACCTCGACGCATCTATGGGAACTATTCCTCATCAGAAGATCATGACGGTGTATCAGGCGACGACGAGGATGCGACGTGGAAATTGGCAGAGTCTGGTCGATCTGGCTTGTCTGGAAAACTTCCGGGGGTCTACGACAGCTATATGCTCATCAGAGCAGCTCCGTCCTTACGGATAGTGTTTGTCTCTCCCAGACTACGCAGACGATTCGGTAATATCGTCCAGCATCCTTTTCTAGCACACATTGGGGCTTCACCAGTTACTTTGGCAGGGCTCAGGGAAAGCTTGGGAACTGGCATTCCTGTTTCTGCCAAAGTCAACTTTATGGTCAACGCTGGAGAACGCCGTGATGGTATCAGTATCCCTGCCGGATCAAAACCAGGCAACCTGGGGCACCACCGAGTCTCCTGGATTTCTGCAACACCCTTGATCGGCAGCGATGGCAAAGTTGGCGTTTGGATGATCGTCGTGGTTGAAAGAGCAAAAGTGCCGAGGGATACAAAGAATGATGCCGCCAGGGAGCCAACAAACACTATACAACCGCTCACTACACGTCGACTTGAAATGCTGGAGATTCAGACACGAGACGTCCCTGACTATACGCAGCAGTATCGATCCAAAAGCCCCGGACGAAAAGAACGGCCGATCGAAGACATGCCAATAAAGCCGAAGAGGTTGACCGACGAAATCATCGAGGCGCCTCCTGGACAAGTACATCGATCTTATGATATGGTACCTCAGCGGGTCGGCAGTGACAAAGACGAGTCTAATGCAAGCAAAACACCTACTGAGCAAACTGGGGTTGTAACTCCCACTCGACCCATCGCATCCGATGGACAGCAAAAAGCAATCAATGTTGAGACTGTCAAGACCACAGATGAGGCGGTTGATGAAGGAAATAGACCTGGCCCTGAACCCGAACCAGTCAAGGTCACAAGTTCAGAGAAAGAATCCCAGGAACCAGAACAAGTTGTTGATATTCAGCCTGAGACTAATCCCGAACCTGTCAAGATTACTTGTCCAGAGAAGGAGAGTCAGTATTCAGAGGACGTTGATATCAAGCTCGAGAATGAACAACCCAAACCTCATACCTTGATCATTTCAAAGGTGGACAGTGCGTTGATGCGATCATTGTCCGCGGATCAATTGGACTCTGCGAAGATCGGTTCGGAGCCTCCTTCTCCGAACGACAGTGGGTTCCAGGAAGTGCCGAAACACTCTCATCACCACTATTCTTCAGAGGATGAGGACACTCCTAGAAGGCCACAAGCGCGTCCAGGAATCTTCGAGCGCACTCCGCCACAATCGCGGCCCGGGACTAGTAGTGGACACGATGCGAGCAAATCGACTCCCAAGCACTACATGGATTACATCCGACATCATGGGAGCAGGCCTTCATCCGACTACAATCGAGCCATGTCTGGTGGCATGCTTTCGTCGTCCATGTATCATGAGTATCATGACTTTGTGGAAAAGGATGAACAAGGGGATGAAGAGGAAGAAGACGAGGAATGTGCTCGAACCCCATATAGTGTTGATTAGTTTATTGACTTAGTAGGACAAATATGGTAAAAGTTTGCAGAACCGTAGTACCTATCATGGATATTTGGTAGTGTTTTCAATCATTGATGCGACGGTATTTAACATGCGGAATCGTATGTACGGTACGAGGCTCTAGTCACTTTCTTTCTGGCCGCAGCCTCGTCGACCTATTGTATTTAATTTCAGCCTCGTCGGATTCTGCCGCCAAGGTGAAATCAACAAGTCACTTTTCATTGGCTGCCTTGTGAGAGAAACATTTTCATTCTCCTGCATCATTCAGTTCAAGTTCGTTTTATAATCTCCCGACAGTTATTTTCGTTTACAAAAACATTGATTTTCAGGTGGTTACAATCTTTGAATCTTGAAAATTACTAGAGATCAAGTTTGGTGATTTCTTGTTGGTTCAGAGGCTTTTTCACCACCAGAAAGCAAAAAATTAAAAGGAAAAAAAAAAGAACAACCTCTGAGAAAATTACTTGAACAGAAAAATGTCCGTGGAAATCGAAACCGAACCGATACCTTCGGTCAAAGACCTGGCCAGTTCTGAACCGTCGACTCGAAGAGCTTGTTTGAAAACCATCACGACACATTTGGAGGAGCGGTCACCTTCGAACCCATTGACGCCCACACAGTGTCTCCAACTCTGGAGAGGTTTGTACGTGGCACTCTACATGCACGACAGTAAGAATGCAGTTTCGGTACAGAACCTGGCGTCGGAACTTTCCAAAACCGTCCAAACCATGGCTTCCAAGGATGATGAGTTACGAACCGGCCAATCAGACCCGTCGTGGCTACAAAGTTGGTCACTTGCATTCTGGGAAACCATCTGCCGGGAATGGTCTTCTATCGATCAGTGGAGGATGAACAAGATCTTGATGCTCGTCCGGTTTGTCGTGAGGGAAACGTTCAACGTTTCATTGTCACGAGCCGCGTCAGAACTGGATGACGACACCTCAACCTCTCCTTCCAGTCTGTCAATCACCTCCCAACAGACGAAGATTTTCGAGACTTGGCCATTGAGTCCCAGAGAACGACAAGTGCCGGACGGATTGAGATTACACGTTCTAGACGTATGGGTCGACGAGTTGTCCGGTCAAGTCGACGCTGTGCAAAAGGGTCTCGATGAAGGGTCCGGCGAAACAAGTGCAGAGAAGAAATCGACCTTGATCGACGGAGCGGCCAAGAGATTCATGGTACCCGTGGAAAAAATCAGCAAAGAAGCCATCAGCAGGGGTGTCAAGATGAGGGCCAAGGATGCATTGAAAAGATGGCAAGAATCGTTTTCGTCTTGAGAAATGAGACAATTGGGAGAATGAAGATTAGTATTCGCCGGACATCCTGACAAAAACGTCGATCTACTTAACCAAGCGCCGCCCCAGTCGGATTTAATGGCGGTCTCAATAGCACCTTGTCCGAACGATCGAGAGTTTTCTTTACAAAGCAGAAACCCGGCATCACCAATGGAGAGACGAAAATGGTCAAGCGGTTCAAAAGATGACAATCATGAACATCAAACGTCCCTCTTGATTCCCACATCGTCAAAACTCGAAAGATCTAGACTTTGTCATTATTCAGATCTCGACAAAGTATTTGACTTTTTGTCGTTCACGTCCAATGCTCATGAAGTTCATTGGATGATGGGCGGCCCGGTGGACTTTTTCTTCGTCGACAACCTGAAGCATCCCATACCGGTCCGGGAATCGGATGTGTCCTCTCCAGAACCGGATGGGGTTTCGCTCGACTCGAGCTTTATCAAATTCCCAAACACCAAACAAGTGACGACCTAATGGGTCCGATGACGAGTCAAGCCGTCGTACTCTGTTACCCCCCGGAAACTACGAGCATTCCGAGTACATTGGTGGTCTCATCATAATGGGGGAGCTCGTACTTGCATAGAATACTCTCCCGGCTCCTGATGTCCAGTACATGGAACTCGGTATCCCCGTCGAGGTCCTCCCATGTACCCCGGCCGACCAAAAATGAATGACTTACATGGTTACTTACTCCCTTACGGAGGATGAGAAGCACACCCTGTCGGGATCTCGGGAGGATAAGAATAAAAAGGTTCCTTGAAGATACCGTCACAGACAGCCTAGGAGAATTTGGGCATTCTCAAGATATCATCGATACCCAAACCAAGGTTGGCTACTACCTAGATTGACATGAACACAATGTCCATGGTGCCGTACAGGTGTGACTCGGGCAAAGGCGTGAAAAAAGAAACCCCAAAAAGACATGACAAAATCAAGTAACCATTAATATTCCCAAACAGATATCACTCATTGGATGTAATATATATACATATATACATCCTGATTTAAAGCAAGAGCCCATCTGAAGACATGATAAAAGCTCACATGTTTCAGTTCTTTTTACACGGTGAGCTCGGAAGAAGGGCAAAATGATGCTCAATTGTCACAAAAGGATATCATCCATTTAAAAAACGACAGAAGAGGATAAACTCGCCCCTTATACAGAGTACTTGTATACACATCGCTCGCTCCGATCGCTCGCTTCCTGCGCGCTGGGAAATTTGGTTGGAGTGAATTAGCCAAACAGAAAAATAAGGAAAACCACATCTGAAATATATCAATCCGTACTCGGCAATATCCCGTTGTAATGGGAAGATTCGACTTCATTCGTCAAACATCCAGTTATTAACGACAAAGGGGTATTCATCCTTCTTCGTAAAAACCATAACCACAACACGGAAACCATTCTCCCTGCCAAACCATCGTTGTTGAACAAGAAAAGAAGTCAGATGTTGGGAAAAACAAAAAACCACCTTCAACCGATGTCACTGGTCAGTTCAGTCAGTCAGTCACACGCACGCCATCACCACTCGATTCGCTAAGTCGAGAATATCGCAGGCTGCCACCAACTGCCTCGGTGATCTTTCTTGTCGTCTTGTTCGTCCTTTTTGATCTCATCTTCTTTCTGATCACCTACCACTCCACTGTGGTCCTTTGAATCCACAGAGACATTCCCCGAAACTGCTTCGCTAGAGTCTATGATACCACAACCAAAATCATCAGTGGCAATCTTGAGAATTTTCAAAAGTATACATATAGTTTTGTCGTGGACAAATACATTATATTAGGTCTTTATGAAGAAAATGACATACCAAGTCCCTTCTCCCCATCGGTCTCGACTTCAGGTAATTGTGGTGCCGGACCTTCACTGTTGTCGACTCCGTCCTTGGTGGGAACTGCCGGCGGTACAGGTGATGTTCCATCCTCGGGCGACTGGCCGCTCTCTTCCTTTGCATCTTGAAATGCCGCTTCGCCTTCTTGAGAGGTGTCATTTTCCGATTCTTGCGTGGTGCCGTTGGTTTCGGCAGCAGCGGCAGCCGCTGCCATCGCTGCCGCCGCTTCGGCCCTCTTCTTCTCTAGTTCCGCTGCTCTTGCTTGTTGACGTTCCCAGTTCTCCTTACGAGCCTGCTCATCTTTCAACTTTCTCCTTCTCTCGACTTCGTCCATTCCACCCGTCTTCTTCAGCTTGCCTTCTTCTACAAACGACTCAACCTCGCGCTGGAATTCACCGACTTTGCGACTCTCAAGCTCACGCTGTCGGACCTTTTCAGCCCGCTCGATAGCCTCAAGCCGACTTTCATGGTTAGGCTGAAGGGCTCGAACTTCATCCAGCATTCCACTCTTCGCCTCGTGGGGATCAATGTCCGTCTCGAAAGCCAGATTTTTCGACGCTTGGCGGCCAGGTGCGGCGGTGTTCTGGATATTTTGTTGCTTGGTAGCTTCCTCCACAAGTTTGAATACATTTGTAATATCTTCAAGATCGCCGTCGAGATCATTCATCAATTCATCTTGCTGAGTGAGATCGTCTCGTTCTGTCATCACTACCTGCAACTCTTGCTCCCAAATCTTGGTCCAGATAGGCTTCTCACGCTTGACGAAATCTTTGACCTTTGTTAGTTGTTTAGCGGCAGCACTGATCTCCTTGCTAATGTCTTCAAGTTGACGTGGCAGCGGTCTGACTCCTCTAGTCACAACATCCTTACGAAGCTCTTCAACAATGTCTGACAAATCATCCACACGGTTGACGAGAGCCTCCGAGTCATCGGACAGTGCCTTCTTTCCTTGGTTAATATGGGCACGCCCAGCATCTCCTTTGTAGGAAGAATTCGCCGCTTCGGCAGCAGCCGACTTGACATTGGCTGCTTTGGATTTGATGTCAGTCATGGCCGCACTAAAATCTGAGGACATGGTCGAGTATGTCTGTCGAAGCACGGCGATTTCCTTTCGTAGGTTCTGGATTTCCTGGATCGTAGAAGCCGATGCTCCTGATGGTGGTGGAAAAGAGCCAGAAGCCAACACCGGAGTTCGCGACGTTGACGTCGGTACAGCAGACATTCGAGCCATTTCCTTCGAAGTTTCGAGTTGTCGGTCCGAAAATCGCTGCATGAGGGTACCATGTCCTTCTAATAATGACCGCACGCCTTCAAGGCTTTTCTGAAGACCTCCGAGTCCTTCGTCAATATGCTTCTTTACTTCATCAAGTTGCTCCACATTCAAGACAAGGACACTTCGATCTTTAACATCTGAAAGATCCTCCAGCTCATGTCTCACCCCAGATACTGGATCCTGTACGTATATTTCTGGAAGTTCTCCACCATCATGTTGTGTATTCCAAGCAAATTTCTCGATAAATGCAAGTTGTAGTCGTGGAATCGTCAACTCCTCATAACCATCGACCAGCACGAACTTCTTGATCTTGCTCCTGTACTGCAGGAACAGTGTCAATTCCTTGCCCTGGGCAGGGGACGACTCGAAAGGTGGCCTTTGCGTTTGGGTAGACGTAACATCCGCTCGTGGCTTTTGCTGCACCGTTTCCGCACTACTTACAGCACCTTCTTCGAAGGACGTCCCATCTTCTGGCGGAGGTGGCACGGGATGAGAGGCGATCGGCGATGTGTTTTGCAGTTCTTCAGGAGCTGGTCCCAGAGGCCCATTGATGGTAGCACCAAGAGACAACTTGTCTGAGCTTCCAGTATCTTGTCGTGGAGGTGGTGGTTGGTGATATTCTTCAGGAGTCTTCACAGTTGGGCTATCAATGTTGAGCTGGTCTTCAGGTGCCTTCATCTGAGGCATTGAGTCCAGCGAGAGAATCGGCGTTTCTTCTCGCTCTTCTGATATACGTTGTGGTGCCCTGACCGTGCCACTTCTACTAGGCGAAACATCTCCTTGACGCATGGACCGCGATCTAGACTGCTGATAAGAGCTTCGGGAACGAACAGCCGTCAATGACTCTTGCGCCTCCTTCCCTCGATTTGGGATTGGCGAGTTTTGAGCCGCAGGTATCACGGGCACTCCATTGGGAGATGCTCCAAGGTGCTTTTGGATTTGGTAAGCCGAGAATCTCCTTGAAGCTCGTCTTTCCAGATCTCCACCACGCTGTAGCCTGGTGAGAGCATCGGTCTGCTTTGGAGGCGGTGGCGGAGGATGAGGGAAATTGATATGAGGAGCTGGACTGGATTGTTCTACCTCTTGATAGGGGGCCGTCACCGGTAGGTTCTGGGCCGTTGTCGAGGACATGCTGGAAGTGGTATCGGATTGCGGTATTTGCGCTGGCACATCGCGGCGCATCGACTGTCTATTTATAGGAGCCTTGGGGGTATGGGAGTGTTCAGGCGAAGTAATAGTGTCCTGCTGAGAAGTTTGCCCACGGAGGCTGGAAGTGGCACTCGAGACATCGTCCAGCATATGCGTTAATCCCGTCTCATTGCTTCCAGTTGTCGATACGCTGGCTTGTCGTGCCTGGCCACCAGGAGGTCGTGCTTGGGGTGTAGCTGCATTGTCCTTCGTGCCTCTTCCACGTAACCGGCTTTGCTTTCTCTTCAGGCCATGCAATAAGTTTATGATGATATCTCGTATTCGGGGCAGATAGTTGTCGAGGGCTTGAGGAGAGGCAGGCTGACTCAGAGTGTCCTCGAGAATACTTCGTAGGAGATCGGGCACAGGACCTAGGTCGGATGTCTCGACACCTATTGAGTTGAAAGCACGGCATGCCAAGTTGAATTCGTATCCCAAGCGCACGTAGACATCTGAAACCTCCTCTTCTTGTGCTTGCCCACGCGACCATTGTGTGAGAGTCTCGAGGAGTTGTTTCGTGGCGACGAGGAGATGGGTGACACTCTTCTCGATCTGGGAGATTTGCTTGTCGGGCTGGACAGTCAGTCTCTTGAACATGGGTGGTTTTGAGGTTGAACACACATTGGTACTACGTTGCGCCCGACCGGAGCCAGAGGAAGAGCGCACATGGGATCCTCCACCATAAGGGGCATTCATGGATGGCGCCGACGTTTGCATCCTGTTGCGGAGGCGTCTTTGGCTGCGCTGCAACTGGTGCTAGACCCGATGTTGGTGTTGGCGATGGCGCAGGGGACACTGCCTGGATCTACCTGGACAGTGCAGCATCGAAAACGAAAGACATGATTTAGTCGAAAGTAGTCATTTCCACCAAGATGACTACATTGATCGGGGTTCAATGGGTTTGTTCGTGGATGTAAAAGAAACTGGCTGATTCTTGGGGCAGGAGAAGGGGAGTTCAGGACGCTTTTGGCGAGGCGAGGCAAGTGGCACTCTAGTTCGATCTGTTTAGTTGGTGGCTCTTTTCGCTAAGTCAGACACTCAAACAGTACGGAGTACAACCATCTATCTCATCGTCGTTGACCGAGGCAGAATAAAATGCAGTATCGTTGATCAGCTAGAGTTTTGAACAATGCCGACTGTCATGTGTGATTCATCTATAACAGACTATGAACCAAAAGCCGCGTTCAGGGCTCGAGCCATTTTGCCTGCGGTCCATCCCCCACGACAATCACCTCTGTTTATTAGCCGAGAATGATCACCTGGACAAACATTCCTTCACGTGGACTATTGGCATCATACATGGATTGGTTTATTTGCTGGAACAACTTGTAAGCTGAGGCTAGACTGATTGCTTCATTTGCCACTGAGACCATCGAAGTCACTATAAAGAAAGTATACCCGAAAAGGTGTCTGATCCCAAGACACACATGCAAACTCTGAACCATCTGTCGAGGAGTGCTCGTGAGTGGTAACGCCATCCCGCTAATACCAAAACCTGGGGAGTTGGACGCCGATGTATCCATCCAAGCTCACCCGAAAGGCCAAACACCTGGCGCCTACGCTGAACTCGATGCCACCACCCTGATATTCTGCCACATGTCAATGATTCCGACCTCAGTTGGGATATTGATGTAAGCCTTCGTATTCCTTCAGTTTCCTTTGTACCATTTCCAGAGCCTGCTTCTTCACCGTCTCTTTATCATCTCTTACATCCACTGGCAGGACATCCCACTCCTCATCCAACTCGGGCTCCTCCAGTGTCGCCATTTGACTGTGGACCATTCCCTCCTTCATGTAGTGGCCGACTCGAGCAGCCACACGCTTTTGCAAGGTGGATTCGTCGACTTTGAGGTATACGAAATGGACCTGCACGGATGGATGCTCATAGTTGGCCACTCTGATCACATCCCGGTACTTGTGCTTGAGGGCGGAACAGGTGACAATGACACCGTTGGAATGCTGCAGCTGCTTGAGAGCCTCGTTTCTGAGTGTTATCAACCAGTCCCAGCGATCGGCGTCTGTGAGGGGAATTCCTGAGGCCATCTTCTGCTTGTTGGCAACGGGATGAAACTGCAGTCACATGTTAGCCACGTTGAAGGGCTGCCAGGGGTTGCAACATACATCGTCGCCCTCTATATATGGGAGGGAGAGTTCCTTGGCCAGATGTTGAGCGACCGTGGTCTTCCCACAACCAGCAGGCCCTGTGATGATCCAAATATGCTCTATGTGGTCGTCGTCTTCGGCGGCCATTTTGCTTACCGAGATTTCGAGAGCGGGCTTGGTAGTACGGATGTGATTTTGGAAGGGTTGCAGTCTCGTGGTTCGTTCTGCCGACAACATGATGGCGACGTTAGTGGCGGTATGAGAGTTGACCAATGATGTCACTTGGGATTGAGGCTAGGCTGAAGAGCAAAAGCCACACAAGAAGAAAGACTCGAAGACGACAAGCGTGGGGTATATGAGGCTGAAAATAAGGGAATGTGTAGAATCAAATAGCGAAGCGTTCGAGGTAGCGGTAGCAGTAGTAGTAGCAGTAGCGAGAGGGGGACTACGAGGGTAGTATATAAGATTGCATACCTATGGAGACTCCTTACCGATAGAGACTGTACCAGAGTTGATGGGACTTGCAGAAAATTGCTATTTGTGGCCACCGAGGAGTTGACGGTTCGACAAGTAAGAAAGAATCGAAAAAAGGTGCTTCCGGCGTGGTCAACGGCAGCGTTTCCTGCGCTGTGAATTTCTGAATTCAGGGCGACTGTTGCCCTGCAAACCCCACAGGCGTCACCACATTGTGCCCATCAATGCCGGATAATTGTGCGATAAGTTGTTGGGTACGAGTAAAGTGAAGGCCCCAATCACCTCTAGTCAGGCACCGGGTTGTGGGAATCCATGGACCACCGACGAGGAAAAGATCAATGGTGAATGGATAAAAAAGCACAGGCGTCATATCCAGATTCCAGAGCGGCGGATGAGGCGCCTTCAACCCGCGGGGGAACGACAAAGGGACCCCGGGTAGTACAAAAGCCTAGGCACCAATTAAGAGCACCGTATTGGTACCTGCCTACCTTACCCAGGAGAGGTCTTTAGGGTCACAAAGAACCGCCAAGGTTAAGGTACTGTACAGGCAGGACGTACGGAGTAAGGTCCCCCGAAGGTACGGCGTACAAACCGTAAGGCGCAACTTCGGCAATTGGCGATTGAACGGACTGGCATCTCCAGCTCCAGCAATACCCGATGACCCCGGAATATGCTGACAGCCACCTTGCCACATGCGACGCCTCTCGGTGTCAACAATGATCCGAGGAACAATGCCTCACAACAACTCAAATTCACATGCAGATGGTCGTTTGATTAGACCGGGCTGATCAGGGTTCTTGTAGCGGACCCGCGTGAATGGCAACTTCCAACGTCGGCGCGGGTGACGTTGGACCAGGCATTGGATTAGCTAGTCGGTGTTACATAGATACAATGGTGATAAAAGTGTATGTCGATTTGCACATGACTGCACCAACATGATCGCGCACATGAGTTCTTTCTCAAACTCCGTAACAGTTACAGTAGGTAAGGTACCTAAGACATGGAGGAGGTAGGGGTTACAGGTCAGATACTCAGAATCTCTAGGCTTTACGGATAAGGTGATGCCTATCAGGACTGCCCTACTAGGCTCTAAAGCGGCAAGCGTCTATCATCACCTACTGCGACTATTACGGAGGTGACTGCGGAAGACACCACCACCATGCAGGCTCCCTCAAGATCATTACAGAAAGTGTTAGACTCACCACACAGTCTCATCTGGTGCTGCTGCATGACATTGGTCCACATTCTTTGAACGCCGCCCTTCCTTTTTGTACGGCTGTCTGCAATGTCGTCCTTCTTCTTCTCTACACCGGTCGACATCGACATCGTACTTGACAATGCCGATGATCGCCAGACAGTCGATGTCAAGCTTGACAAGAGCCGACGCGAAAAGGCGCCCCTCTATTTCGATGGCGAGTCCGTCAAGGGTGCGGTCACAATCAGACCCAAGGATGGGAAGCGCTTGGAGCATACGGGCATCAAGGTTCAGTTCGTGGGTTTAATAGGTATGCCTGCTCCGGATTCGATCCCAACCCCAGCTACAAACGCTGGGTGGAGAGTACTCCGGTCAACAGGATTAACGCTGCATAGAAATGTTCTTCGATCGCGGAAACCACTATGAATTCCTTTCTCTCGGCCAAGAGCTCGCGGCTCCTGGCGAACTACAACATCCTCAGACTTTCCCCTTCAACTTCAAGAACGTCGAGAAGCAATACGAATCATACAATGGCATCAATGTCAAGCTTCGCTACTTTATCCGCGTCACTGTGTCGAGAAGAATGGCCGATGTGATACGAGAGAAGGACATTTGGGTATACACATACCGGATACCTCCCGAGACAAACAGCTCGATCAAGATGGACGTTGGCATCGAGGACTGTCTGCACATTGAATTCGAATATTCCAAGAGCAAATACCACCTGAAAGATGTGATCGTCGGCAGAATATACTTCTTGCTGGTCAGATTAAAGATCAAGCACATGGAATTGTCCATTATTCGGCGGGAGACGACGGGTGTCGCTCCAAACCAGTACAACGAAAGTGAAACGTTGGTACGATTCGAGGTATGCAGGCAGCGCTCATTGTGAAATTTGGTCCCTTGCTAACATCATAAGATCATGGATGGGTCTCCATCAAGAGGTACGCGAACAACTGCATCTTCCCCCGAAGCGCAACACGCTCCACGGGCGTCGTGAAGCCCTTTGAGACGATTCAATATCAGCTTGCGATACTGATAATGAGTACAGGAGAAACGATACCAATACGATTGTTCCTCGGTGGCTTCGATCTTACGCCAACGTTCCGAGATGTCAACAAGAAGTTCTCCACCAGATACTACCTGAGCCTGGTTTTGATTGATGAAGGTACGTTACATCTCAACCCGTTGCTGGGCATCAATGTCCTGTCATTATCGACGGGCTCCTGTGGCTGTCACTTTGCATCTCACGAACCGCTGCATGGGCATCAAAAAGCAAAAACCCCATGCGTCTATGGAGTAGCATCCGCCATTGAACAGCAACTCTCGGGTCTTGCTTCCGCCACCTTGGGCACTTCTCGATGCGAAAGCCCTGCTTGTTCTCTCCCAGGGACAAACCCCTCCATCATGTTGCCGAGAGATTACGTGCTAACAAAATCCATGTCGTACAGATGCGCGACGATACTTTAAGCAATCCGAAATCGTGCTATTTCGACAGGCACCCGAGCTCGCTCCCCAACTAGCGCTCGATAATCCAGGCATTGGTGGCAAACTTCCCGATCCAGTCCCGCCGGTACCTGCTTGATTTGATTCATCCGGAGACGGAATCTTGGTTTTTACTTCACCGCCATTACACATCACATATCATCTGTCCAGGCCTGGAACCTGGAGAAAAAGGTCACCTGGATGACAATGACATTCGACCCTTGCATGCATGTAGCTGTTGGGGCCTCAGCTGTATCTATCTGCACGGTGTGATCGGGAATCCCAAACATGCCATCATTACTGGGGGGCGTGCCGAGGGCCTCGTGATCAGGCCGAAAAGGGCCATGGCTAGCTGGGGCGTTGCTTTACCGCCATTTTGATACCCCTCGACCTTTGGGCCTATGTAGGCATCCCATCAGGCAGGGATGCATTGGGTCTCCTGCGCCCGAAAGACGTTGCTGCCCCGTAGTCTACCTAGTGAATGGCACGGGGAGATTTTCTAGTTTAGACGAACACTGGGGAAAAAAGCGCAACTTTGCAACCCTGGAGGTGTGATTGAACCTTGTTTTTTCTTCAACGTGGCTTGCAAATATTGATAATTTCTTGCTTGATACTTTCTACTGTAGACCCCAGCCCGTGCCGATGCTCCTCTCCCACTGCTCGAGCGCCCGTTCTATCCCTTGGCCCGGGTCACCGGTCTGCCACGCCCCTGGTCCTTTCAGTCTCGGCAGCGTACGCCAGAACTTGTGCACGCGCAGCATGAATGAGTACAGAAGCCGCAGGTGCTCCTTGCCGTCTCCTCCCACGCCGGGGTTGGTGCCGTCCGGTTGCTTCTCAGGTCCTCCCGAGACCACCTCTCGCACCACGGCGTCGTGACTTCGGAGCTCGACGAAATTGGCCAGCACAATCTCCAACTCGGCCTGCTGGGGTGGAGGTGGCGGCGTGAGACCTCTGAGTCGTTGGTCGGCGAGGAACGTCTTGAGCGGATGCACCACTCGTAAAAGCAGGTACGGACAGGCTGCGCGTGCCAGCTTGTCCGAGTCGTCGCCGCCATCACCGTCACTCTCGTCTTCGTCCCCGTCGCCACCGTCGCCGTCGTCGTGTCCAGGACGTTGCGCCAGTTCAAACAGAGCGGCCATCGCGGTGTAGCAGGTCTGTCGTCGGACCACAAACACGGGCCTGTGTAGACTCCCTGGTCGGACGACCAGCAGGTCTGTCAGGGGCTCCCCGACAAGATCGTCGGGGAGGTCGTGGAACCACGGTTTAGCCAAGAGCGACGCCTGGAACAGAGTGACCGCGTACGCTCGACACGAATCTTGCGGAATGTCGTCGTGCTTAAAGACCGACACCAGCGCCTTGTGGAACAGTCGGAAATGCTCAATGTCGAACTTCTCGTCTTCGAAGAGCACCTCATCCTTGTGCTTGGATGGGTAAGAGCCGCCCAATCCTCCAGGGCCTAGGATGCTCGAAGCGGTGGAAGATATCGCATCCGCCAAGCTCTTCGCCCGTGGTAGGGACCTTTGCCTCGAACCTTGCTTCACGTGCTTCTGGAGGGCCTCCAGCAGTACCACCGCAGTGACGGTTGCACTGCGCCAAAGAGGAGCTTGGTTGTTCGTGGCTAGCTCCGTGTATTTGGTCTTGATCAGCGCAAACAATATCTGAAAGGAGTCTCCCATGGACAAGGTGTGGATCAGGTTCTCGTCCTTGGCCTCTTCAAGTATCAGCATCTTGTATGCTTCCACACAAGCAGACGCAAACGCGACAAAAGTTGGCCTTTGTACAGCCTTGTGAATTGCAGACCTTTTGTGCTGAAGGCCAACTCTGCCGTCTTGAATATTTAGGCTAAGCCGCACGAGGCGAAGTAGATAGCGCGAATAGCGTCCAACATCATCTCGCAGGAGCTCCTTCACGATGCCCAACCCTTCCGAGGCCTCCTTTTGCTCCGGTTCTAAAGCCTTCACGTCATTCGTGTATGGAGGATGGGTGCACTGCAAGACAGCCTTCTCTATCGCGTCCATTATCAGAGCTGTGGTGTCGTGCTGATCAAACTCGAATTTCGTTACAGCAACATTGCTAACTTTGTGAGCTTCGACGAACACATGCATATGTGCGGCTAACGCTGATTGATTCGGTTGCTCATCACTCTGGATCCGCACGGGAGAATGCATGGCCCACAGTCGCAACGCAGGCACGACCAATCTCTCGTCAGCTTGTTGTAGAGATCGAAGAGTGCTCAATAACCTGGAGAGATTTGAAAAAGCCAGAGAAGCAGCTTGCAGCGACTGCAGTCTTAATATGGCTTCAATGGTTCCCATCACTCGAAGCCAGGTATCACCAAAGCTTGCATGTCGCATGATGACCGTCACGTTGTCGCATATGAGCTGAATGGTACCATCCGTCAATTGCGAGGCCGAAGCCAGCCACTCTGACCGGGCAGGAACGTCAGAGGTATACTGTTCTATGCACGCCTGGATAGCTTTCAATGGGCCATGCATAAGCGCGACAGACCACGCTCCTGGGGAAAGGCTTTCGGCGGAGGCGTCTAGCATCTTCAATAATACTCTGATTGCCGCGTTGCGAACATCTGTGCGTGGATCTTTGGATAGTTCAACTAGCTGAAGCAAGGTAACACTCCACAGAGCGGCCGACTTTGAACCATCCTCAAGGATGACATCCATTGTTGTCATTGCCTCGAGTTCAATGGTATCAATGTTTGCCATTATGTGCGATGCGAGGCTCCAGAGTAGTGTTGTGCTTGTCAGTGCCACATTGAGATCGTAGAACTGTGAGCCATATTTGCGGAGGAGATGCGATAGTGTCGACATCGAACTCGCCGAAAGTACATTCAAAAAGTCGGACGCAATCAACTGTATTGATCTGAATGAGACTCGGAGGATCTGCGCGTTCTGCTCACCGCCCTCTTCCTCCTCAAGCAGTGCTTCATTAATCTTCGGACGACGTTGGCCGCTCTTGTAAAATGTTGTAGATAGAACATCAAAGGCTATCGGCCATGCGTCACCAAATGAGTCACCATTATGGCTAAGCATGCTTTCCAGCGCTTCAAGAAGCCTCCTATGCATTTCGTACTGGACATCGCCAGAGGACTCTTCAGATCCAAGGGAGTCAAGCTGCTCAAGCAGGGTTTGCAAGCATCTTAGTCTAATAGCATTGGCGTCCTCGGCATCCAGATTAGGGCTGTCCAGGAGCTTCATAGTTTCCATGGCGATTAGGTCGAGTATACTAGCTGCTTGGAGGCGATGACCATCCGAAAATTCAGCATCCCGAGTAACTCTCAGAAGACGCTTTCCTATCAAATCCCATGAACAGGACTGTTCAGATGTCGTAGAGAAGCGCTGAAGATTCACCCGCGATATGTCGCTGATCTTGTTAAGGACGAAGCCAATCTCTCGATCGAGGGATCTCGATTTGGTCCACAGGCCGGACACACTACGCGAGAGGCGATGTGGACGTCGTCCAGGTGTAAGCCTTGTCGGAGATGACACAGGAGACGACATGGGCGCCTCTTCAATTAGTGGTGCATCTCCATCCACCCCGTCTTGACCGAAGAGACGGAAGAAAGCCTGCACAAGGATGGAGAAGGATTCTTGAGTGTAGCTCTTGGTACTTTCCAACATTCTTTTGGTTGCCGCCTGTACAGAAGCGATCTCGCCTGCCAGGGTAGCCTGGCCGTCGCTGCTTGAAGTACCAATTCGGGGACTACCAAATTGCGTGGTTGCCGACATTGTAGATGGTATTGCAATCAAAGCCTCAACTGTCTGCATGGTTTCAATCAAGATATACCAGGCATCCTGTTCAAGCGTTGGTCCTAGGGCGATCCCAAGGTTTAAAAGGGCTCGAAGGCACAACAGATGACGAACGTTGAGTGGTTGAGCTTGCGCCTGCGAAGTAGGCGTAGGGGGCGGTTCGATTGGGGATCTAATGTCATTATTGGTAGTATCCTGGTCAGGCGGTCCTGACCGAGTTGAAGGTCTGGTGTTCTGGGAATTTGAGATTATGCTCGTCGCATTGGTCGGGATCGAGGATTTCGCCAAGGTAGTGAGCAGTGCATCTCTTGGTGTCGATAGCTCCAGCACGCCGGACACTTGAGCAAGCTTCTGCACAGATCTGATTAAGATGTGATAGAACTCAGAATCCAAAGCCGAATTCAAAAAGGTTGAACAAGTGGCAAGCCCAGCGGGCCAGCATGTCTCAATAATCGAAGCGCATGTTCGGATCGCTGGCAATTGCGGATGCTGAGATAGACTTAACGGGTTGACAAGTCGTTGGTACTTGCTAGATACAGTCGCAGGCCGACTCTGTCTGCGCAGGCCTCCGTCTTCCGCAGCGTCCACAGCAAGGCCATTCCGTGGGGTATCTTCTGCAGAGTCTCGGTGTGTAGATCGGCTCGGAACGCTGAGTGGCATCACAAACTTCGACAAGCCATCACATAAAGATGCAATGCAGCCCAAGACCAGAGCGTAAATGTAAGTGCTAGGGAGCGCAGGAGGGCTCTGTTTTTCGGGCTGATCCATAAGTGGAACGCTGAGGACACTCCAATTCATGCTGATACCAATTGTGCTTGAGTCTCCCGTGGAAACAGATGTGATAGCACCACCGAGACCCTGAGCTTCGATAGACGCTGCCTCTTCGCTCTCGGCGTCATTGGTCCGTTGCACTGGTATTGTCGATTGACGGCCCAGACCAATCAACGAAGGATCTTCTGCTGCGATGCGAACCAAAGCAGACATGAAAGGCCCCACAAACTTCTCTTGCTTATCGTCGTTGTCGAACAGATCAAAGATATTTCTGAAGAGTGTAAAGTCTGAGCAGATGCTGCGGAAGAACTCAAGACACAATGTTCGCTTCCATGTTGGGTTGCCTTCTTTCTCAAGAGCATTTAGAATAGATGGAAAGAGATGTGTTATATGGGATTGCATGATCTCGGCAAATTCTTGCAAGATCAGCAGGATGAGGGAGAAGGCTTGCACAACATGACCGAACGCTTCCTTGCGTCCTATGACTCGGGACAGACCGTTGACTAGATGTCCCCAGCAATCATCTAACTGATCCGAGTCTAAGGTCAAAAATGTTCTGTGTGCTGAGAATACCGTGTGAAGCGTCTCAAGGAGGAAAGTAGAAGGCAAGCTCTCAACCTTTAGAAATTGTGACTTTTCTTGGTCAAGCAATAGACAGAGGTCGCGGAACAAATTAACAGCGTCCTTGAAGCAGGCATCAGATAATTCTAGACGCGATGGCGAGACATCCTCGTTTTGGTCGTCATGAATACTGGTTCCCTTCTTCTGCCAGGCTTGCTCAAAGACAGTCGAGACGAGTTGTTCGAATGTCGCAGTTGCTGTATGGCTGACGATGACCGTCTTACTGGACTGCAAAGCAGCGCAAATCTCCAGCGTGCGAGCCAGAAGGTCTTCTCTCAAGTCATCTCCGTACAATTGAAGGAGTGAAGGTAGCGTTTGCAGGATCTTCAGCTGGGGGTCATAGCCAGAACTAACTCCATCATGGAATGCATCAAGAACATCGGGTAGTCTAGACCGAGGAACAGCTCTGCTTGCCGTCAGCCTTTGCAGACAAACCGTCCCCGTAGTTGCTAGTTTGGAGTTTTTGGTCTTGCATGCTAGGACGAAAGGGTCGATGAACTGGGCTCGTCGTAGCAGGTCGCCTGCTAGCTGAGTTTCTGATGTGAAGGAGATGGCTTTGAGATCGGCGAGCGACTGCTCAGCGGCAGTGCGTACATCATTGCTTTTCCGTTTGGAATCGGATATCAAGTTGGTCAATTCTGACTGTAGAAATGCATGCGTCATCCCTGCCACTCCACTTCATGTTGGTGACACCACCACAACGATTGTATCAGATAATATAAAACATGAGTGATTCAATGTGACTTTAGTCGAGGGTAGTCGCGTCTGTTTGAAGGTGATACAAACAACAAGAGTGTCCTGACGAGGCTGGCTGATTTGCCAAGGCGTGTCTCACCCCGGATTGGGAAATACGGTGATGCCGCCCTTGCTCGCCCTCGACGACGTCGATCGCCCATTCACTCACTACGCTGAAGATAATGCCAAATTGTACGAAATACCTGTAGCTTCGATACTCATTGCATCCATCTATCACTGCTTGATCCAGCAAGTCCGTGACAGGTGGCTTCCAAGACTCGCTATTCTCTCAGCAGTATCTATCCGCTTCTATCGATTCTATAAGTACCGAACCGAACCCTCTTAATCCCAGCATTTGCATAGTGCGGATTATCTTTCCTAAATGCCTCATCGTCAACGAACTCGAATTCCGTCCGCCACCGAGTCCCTGTCGCCTCCCCGACTTCCTCCCACAGCCTCGCCCAGCTCGCGGCGTTATGCATAAACAACTTAGATTGTCCCGGTCCATGTATATCACCAGGCTCCTCCCTTCCGATCATTCCTCCAAACACCATCACATTGTGTACGTCCGGATTCATGAACTCCACACACCGCTTCGCGGCCTTGATTTGCAGCGACCAGTTGAAAAGATGGAAGAAACTGCTAGCATGGATGATGGTCATTTTGCCCATAAAAAGATCTAGGCGCGGATCCCGCGGCTCCAGCAGCATATCACCCGCAACGAAGTGTGAGCGGTCCAATTTGCTACTGTCGCGGAACAAGTCGAAGCCAAGGTCAAGATACGCCTGCTCCAGATCCGTGCCATATAGCCTCGCCGGGTCTGCGCCGTTGAAGGCGAGGGCGCGCACGATCTGGCCCACGAAACAGCCCACGTCGAGCAAGGCATCTGTAGAGCCTTCATGCCGAAGACGCGTGAGTGTGGCCTGGTATCGTGGGTCTGTGATTGTACGCTCCAGCTCTAGGAAGCGGAACTGGCCTATACAAGGGAAGGGCAGGATGGCCCAACCTTGATCTCGCTAAAGATGTGCGCAGAGATGGTTAGGTAGGCTGTGCGAAGTCGGGCCGTGGAGCGAAGCTTACAATTCTCAAAACATGTTTATTTACCTCGTCGGCCGGTATCCCGCTATATTGTTCTAGGATCTGCTTAGCAGCTTCAAACCTCTCTGGTAGGTGTGGCGAGTAGAACTGCTTCTTGAACCTTGCACGCTGATCGTCTGTGACACGACTCTTTGTATCTTGTGCCCCCATCGACTGCAAAAGTACCGAACTGGTATGTATCCCCGCCGGTCGAGCCAAGACTGCTGAAGTGAAGAGGTGTGATGGACCGCCAATAAAGCGTCTGCTGCGCAGGGATTTCATTGAGAATTCAAATGGGGAAGACAGCTCGCGAACTGATATTAGGACGCATGCAATCACTGGCAGGGGGTTTCGGCGTGCTAACTTACCTAGGAGATATCAGGACAGGAAGCCGAGACAGGCCGTTGCCACGACTGTGTCTTCCGAAAGGCGCGACTCTTGCCCCATTGGGGACTAGCCTGTTGTACTTGTTGATTCCGTCCATTTCCCACAAGTGCTCGAGACATTTCTGCACGGCTTTTGCCCTCCCACAATGCTCGAGCAGACTATTTGTCGACGCTGACTGTAGCTAAGTCCAACAGACAAACTATGCATGTTGCTGTTTCAGTTTTGGTCATCTGCATTGTGTTTCGTATCTGAGTATGGTATGCTGCCCAGTAAGATAAGACCTGAAACTGCCTGGTAACTCCCCCATGGGCCGAACTACTTGTTGGATACAAGATAGTGTTTATCATGGCTCGGCAGGCGTCGCAATTACAGCTACTAGAGCAGACGGTGAGAGTTTCGAAACAGCGAACTAGAGTCCGTTTATACCACACTCTTGTACGGAGTAGAACTTATTGATCGAAGCTTTTGCACTCGAATTCTCCACCTTTGGTTCCGGTCACCGGTTGTCGCTCTATTGACCTCGCCTTGCTTGCCTTTTCTCACGCCAACTGCTCTGCACCGGGTCGAATCTACACGGACAAGGTTATAAGAATGAGTTGTTCACATACCGCCCAGGAGGGTCAGCGGCAGCCAGCATTGTTCCCTCCCCCCGGTCACACAGCATGAGCGCCTTGCAAAGTCCCGAGGGTCAGGCGACAACTGAATTGCCTTTGCCGTATACTTTTACATACAAGCACGTTGATGGCTTGCAAATCGAAGCAGACGTACATGTCCCGCTGGTGCCAGTTCTCAATGGCTCGGTGGTTCTCTATTTACACGGCGGTGCGTGGCTAGGCGGGATCCGTACCGACTACCCTCGGGCTCTGTTCCACGAGTTCCTCCACCGCGGATACACGGTCGTCTCGGCCGACTACAGACTGGTGCCTGAAGTCGGCTTCCAAGAGCAGCTGGACGACATTCGCTCGATCGGGCTCTGGATCCAGAACGATCTAGATGCCGCCTTACAAGACCGGGGACTCTCCAACACCACCCTCGACACCGCCACCGTGATCGTGGCCGGGTCTTCGGCCGGTTCTTTGCTCGCAGCGTTCACGGTAAGGCTCTTTTCTTCCTTTCGATGGCTCTCTGCCAAGCTGGTACTCACCACGCCTTAGTCCCTGTCGTGGCCGATCAAACCACGGGCACTGCTCCTGATAGCCGGGCCAACGGACCTGGTCAACGTGAGACCATTGAACCAGCCGTTGCGAGAACCGTTGAAGTCGATAGCCGCGCACATTCCCAACCACGTGTCGCACGACTTCATCGAATCGGCCCTTTCGCAGCACGTCAGACCCAACGTGCCCCCTCCTCGGAGCCTGCAAGACTTTCTGCAGCCTCGAGCACTCCTGGGCCTCTCCTTGCTCAAGACAGGTGTCTGGCCTGCATTCCTCGCTCGCGGATTGGTCGACGGGTGTCTCCCAGATGCTAAAAGCGTCCCAACCACCGATCTCGAAGCACTCAGTACGACCACCCCCCTTTGTGTCTGCTCTCGTCTACAGACAAGAACGACCACGTCGAGATACGCTAACGGGTGACGTTCTAGGTCCGGTGCATTTTGATCTGACCGGGTTCCCGCCGACTGTGCAGGTCATCGGGGACTGCGACGAGGCCTTCGAGCTCTCGCAGGTGTCGGGTTTCCACGACAAACTCCAGCAGGCTGACGTCAAATCTGCCATGCTTGTTGTGCCTGGCGCGAGCCACGGTTTCGAAAGCATGTCTCGAGTGGGCGACCGCGTCCACAACCGCTTTCTCACCACAGCATGCGACATTGTTGAGGAGTTTGCAATGATCAGTTTCATGTAGTTTCTATCTAGATGGTAAATATTGATGGCATGTTCTTCAAACAACCTCTCCTCAGAGCTGTCGGGTTTTAAAGATAGAAGTTTCGATGCTCTGATTCGTTCTGTCATTTACGCCCCATGCTCTTCTGGATGTAAAATGTATGCAACCTTTGGGGGTGGACTCATCGCCACCCATTGATCTTGATTCATCTGTCCGCTACGATCTATAGTCCGACTTTATACCGAGTATGCCAGCATGGTTTCCCCATTACGACTAGACGACTTCAACGGCCAGTACTTTGCAAACCCACAGCCACCTCTCCAAGCCCATCAGCGCCTTCACTTTTGTCGGGACGTTGCCCCCGTGCCCGAGGTCCTGGATGATTCTCAGATGCACGACCGACTGTGTACTCTCGACCGCCCGGTCACGGTCCTCCTCCCGGCCAGCCGCACCAGGGCCCAAGGACGCAACATGCTTCATGGCAGCGGTGAACTTGCAACTGTGCGCACAGCTGACCAGTTTGTCGGCGGATCCCGACGTCAAGAGGACCGGCGGATAGCGCGTCCCGGGCCTCAGGCGCTCGAGCGGCGCCCACTCGTACATGGCGTCGAAGTCGTCGGGGACCTTCTCGTCGCCGACGTCGACGACGCCGTAGAGGCCGAGGCCCAGCTCGCCCCGGCGCAGCACGTCCAGGACGCCCGCGTTGAGGATGACGGCGTCGAACAGCTGCGGCCGCTGGACCATGGCCGCCGCCGCGTTCAGGCCGCCCATGCTCTCGCCCATGAGGACGACCTTCCGCGCCCCGACCACGTCCCTCAGGTACCGTGCCGCGGCGTGGACGTCGTCGAACAGACGTTGTCGCTTCCCCCCGCAAGCCGCCGCGTACCATGCGTGCCCGTACTCTCCACCGCCGCGCACGTTGGCTACGGCGAGCGTCCCGCCGACCACGTCCATGAACATGGAGAAGTCGGGGCGAAAGTGCGGGATCACCGAGAGCCCGAACCCGCCGTAGATGTAGAGAAGGACAGGCGCTGCCGCGGCGGAGTCGGGATTGACGTCCGGCTCACGCGACGTGAGAAACATCGGGATCTTGGTCCTGTCGGCCGACTCGTAGAAGACTTGTCTCGTCTGCAAGGAGGGCGTCAGGCCGTCCTCGTCGCGAGCGTGTGGGAACAACTGGGCGTTTCGGAAGTCTGCAATCTCGGGGCGGGATCCCGGAGGGTCGGAAATGACCCTGGCGCTCCAGAGCTGCGGAGGACGACAGAATGAGCTGTCCAGGACAAAGACGGCGGCTGCGTCGGCATCGTAACTGAGGTCGACGATCGTCGAGAATGGCAGGCGGTCGAGGGTCTGTACGGGTTCTCCCGTCGGGGAGAGTACTCGGATTTGGTGCTGGACATCCACCGAGTACACCACGGCGATATAGCCCTCGTGGATGACCTTGGCCGTGACCATGGTCAGTTCCGGACTCGACGGGACGAGCGGCTTGAGCTCTGCCGTTTCTGGAGTATAGCTCATGACTTTCCCATTGTCCTGGGAAGTCCAGAAGATGTGGGCCGCCCCAGAACCCTGGTCGTCCTGTTGAATCCCGATATAACTGCCCGTCACGTCAGTGGGGTGTTGTCAATGGCAGAACTGGGTGGATGCTACATACTCCCATTCGGCTTCTACACCACACGATACTCTTGTGCTGAACTGCAGATTGAGCTTGTCCGAGGGCTCTGTGGCGCCATTGACAGGGGCTGCCGACACAGTTCCGGATCTGCTTTTGTCGTAGATGTCGAGAAATACGTACTCTCCATCGAGAGAGACCTCGGCCTTGAAGGTCTGAAGTGGCTGGCTGGGGTCTCGATAGACAGCTTCATCGGCCCCTTGCTTCGCTCCGATGCGATGGAATCGCAGTGTTGGCGGCACTGGTGTGCCGTCGTCTTCTGCGAAATCTCGAGGACAGTGCAGGTAGAAAACCCCCTGGTCACCCAGCCAGTTGATTATCGAGCTCGGCTTGTGTGCCAATTTGACGTCAACAAGCTCATCTTCGAGGATGTTGCCCGAGTTGACATCCTTGAAACGAACGACGCCCCAATCCGAGCCGTCGGTGCTGGTCAAGAAAGCCCAATACCTGCTGGTTTTGCTCAGCGAAGACGCCATGATCGCGCCACCACCGGACAGCTCGTCGAAGAAGATGGCAGGGTCGTGCTCTGGAGTCTTGCAATTGACGATGGCGTCCGTGTTAGTCTGATATGACCGCGGGTGCTCGCTCGCTCGCCCTGCCACCCGGACGATGTAGTCACCATTGGGAAGCCGCTTCGGTAGCTCCCTGACAGCAGAAAGCTCCCACATTGAGAGCAACTTTTGTTGGAGGCGACGTCTGGTTGCTTCTAGCTTGGGATCATCCAAGTACTCAGTTGTCGCCTCGCTTTCTGCCTCGATGAACGCCTGAGTCTCTGGACTGGTCACATCCGTCATCCAGTGATAAGGGTCTGCGAGCGACACGGATCCATGGCGAGCACTTTTGAACACAGTAGCGTGGTTGGATCGATGAGCTTGGTGTCCTGCCATTGTCTCGGGCGCCGTGTTTGGGATTATGCCTCTCGCCGTCTGGTAGGGATGGGTCGCGATGTTCCCCCATCGTTCTTTGCATGGGGCCTTTATACCTTAGTCAGGGTACAGCTTCATCGTGGACGCGTTGCGCCGATACCAAATTCCTTTCGCCTCCATTTCTCATTGAAGTGACTGAGTTCCAAGTGACCGAGTTCGCTGGACAGAGACAAACTCTCCATCCCACGCCATATCTGACAGTTGGTCCAAGAGCCAACTTTCCCTTGACCGGTGACCGGTGACCGGACAACTCCACAGGGGGGTGTCAGCGCGCCACTTGGGCTGCTGCCGGCCGTCTGAGTTTCCACAAACGGAAGGTGACCCTGTCCCCTCGGCTCGTTCGTCTCTCTTCTTCCTTCTTCCTCAGAGACGACCACCACAATCAAAGTTGCACAACGTTCTGCTGCAATAGCCGTTGAGACTCCTTTTCCTTTCCCCTCTTCCCCATGCGTGTTACATGAAAATTAGGTACATCTAGATCTCGTAACATGGCTGGGGGATTGGTGGGGCGGTGGGATGTGTTGGTTCATCGAGCGTTTCTGGCAGAGGAACAGGCACGAGTCAAGTCCAGTCGTGGCTCGATAGTGCCTTGGAAAGATTCTAGTGATCAGGCTTTGCCCAGAATTTGAAATGAAGATTGACACGAGATAGTCATTGGAGTCGCATGCCCCCAAAAAGGCCTTTTCCCGTTCCTATCTTGCACATCTACTATGTACGCACTCTACTTTTCTGCCATACCACCACAACCTACCCACCCCATCTGTATTATATACGCTGCTTCCCATGCCTCTGTATGATATATGCTGCTTCGACCTTCCCCACAGTCTGTCCATGAACACGAAGCAGAGCCCCGTGTCATCGCCGTGTCAAGTCATGTATTGGAAGATGGGATTCTCCTTATCTGTCAGATCAGCAAGCGCAATGCTAGGATCTGTGATGTATTCTGGATGCGCTTCTCTCAATTGAGCCTTCTTCAAATTCTCGCGGTGATAAAATAGCCTAATCCTTGGATTAAAATCGAGGGACGCCAGACAGATGAAAATAGACTTACCTCAACACCACGAAGCCTGCGGCACTTGCACACAGAAGAGAAAGAGTCGTAATCTGGCCGGTGGGATATCCTCGGGTGGCCTCATCACTTTTATAGGCCCAGGGTCCTGCAAACGCACCGCAATTGGCAAAGACGAATATCGTGGCGTTGACGACGGTCTTCTTGGAGTACCCAGCCACGTTGGAGGCCAGCAGCGCGAACATTTGCACGAGAGCACCGTACACCATCACCGACTAGAGGTAAGACATCGTCAGTGAAAAGAAGAGAAGGGAAAACTGTCGGCAGAGATAAAAAGCGCATACAATGTAGAGCCCTCCGAGAAGAGCGGCCTTGTTGGATCGGTCGCTTTTCCACAATAGTATATTGCCAACCATGGCAGGGATTAGATATGAGATTGCTATGACTAGCCTTTGGGTCGGAAAACGAGAGCCGAGGTAGCTGGGCAGCACAATTGTCAGCTTGTGACACCGTCCATTGATCAAAGAGTGTAGATCAGCTCTTACCCAGATGTAATCAGGCAGACTACGGCTATGGCGCTCCCTGGCATGCTCAGCACAATCGACTGCTTGCTCGAGTAGCCAAAGGAAGTGACCAAGAAGCCACCGAAGCTAAAGTTCAGAACCCCATTAGATGATGGCCCTAGGCGAACAGGAGGCATCGGGCATCTTACCTGCCAATGGAGAGATTGACAAAGGCGAACGTGAAGCTGTAAATAGACAGCACGTAAAGTTGGGGATCAAGATAAGCTTCACGAAGATGTGCCCACTTCCATTTGCGAGTCTTCATGCCGGTATTGTTTTGCAGGAGTCGTCCGACGGCGATCTCTCGCTCTCGCGCAGTGAGAAACCAAGCATTCATTGGCGAGGCTGGAAACAATGCCACCACAACAAAGCCGAACGCGATGGTGATGGGGCCGAGAATGATGTAAATCCACTTCCAGGGACTCGCCGCATACGCGCCTTTGATGTTGACTGCACCAAGATCGACTCCCTGCCCGACGAGGGCGCCGAGGGCAGTGCCCGAGATGTAAACGCCCGCTCGAAGTGGCTGCTCTTGACTCTTCCACCACATGGAGGTGACCAGGATGGAGAGTGGCTGCGTGACAACAGAAAGTCCGGTAAAGAATCTCAAGGCCATGATGTCGGCAAAGTCTTTGCAGGTGATGGTGAGCAGGGTCAGAACGCCCGTGAAGATCGTCACTATCCCGAAGAAACGGCCGATGTGGAGGTGCTGAACTAACAGAAGGAGGGGGTACTGGCCTGCTACGGCGCCCAGAGTTGGGATGGCCGCCGTAAACTGATACCGTGACATGTCGAGGATAACCTGGCCATCCTGGAACTTGGGCACAGCAAGTTTCAGGTCTTGAACGAGCCCAAAGAGGGCTGCGAATCCATAGACTTGACTGTCCGAGTATCCAATGATGGCTCCAAAGAACAGCTGCGGGGTGTGTCAGTGCTGTCGCTGTTGGACCGCTTGCAGCTTGCCAAATCGAGAGAACATACGAGGGGTAGGATGACAAGATCAATCTTCCTCAGCACCTTTGCCTCCTCTTCCCTGGTCCAAGCAACGTTTTCATGGTCGGTGACAAAAGCCAGCGCGTCGTCTGCATGTTGTATACTGGGCTTGCCTTCGTTGAGATTTCCCTCGGTGGTTTCAGTGTGCAGCGACGTGGCTGGCCCGATAGGCATAGTTTGATGCTCTTCGATTCCCATCGTTTCTATTTTCTAGGTAGAGTGTATGATGTGGAATTCAGGAGAGGGCTCCTCGAACAACACCAAGGTAGAGCGCAATATTCTGTGACTTTATATCCTCGTCGTGATCACCGAAGGCTCCTTTTTTTTGCAACGCTCCTTTGCGGAGAAAGCTCTGTGCTGGGGCCCCAGAAAGTGAGTGATACTAGAGTTTGCACCAGCGACTTTGAGATCAGCCCCCTCACCAATAAGACTTGCTCAATTCTCAAGAAAACCACTAGGTGTCTCAATCGACAGAAGCCTAAGAGGGAGCCCGGCCACCGGACGTGGGTCGCCGACGTGCGACCCATGTCCGGTGGCCGGGTGGGCCCATGTGAACTTCTCCAGGTATCTAAGCCTCGATGGCCGCGAGGAGATCAGCGAGGCATCGGCAGTCGGCAGCAGGTGAAGGTGAGGCAGTGGGAGGGTCTTGTCACACAGGCAGAGCTACCAAGGAGAGGATAAAACGTCGATATGCCCAGGTAGCATATGACCCTTTCGCGACGCAACGCCGTAGTTTACGAGGTAGCCACTCTCGCAACAGTGCTGCAATCATACGCCATGCTTCGCAAAGTCATAGACCTCAGCAGCGACTGGCGGTACCGGTCTGCTCTTGATTCACCAGGATCACCAGCGACCGCCACGAGTATTTGGCGCGCGTGTCGCTCGCTTCCCACCGAGATCCATCTGGACCTTCTCAACGACAAACTCATCCCCGACCCGTTCGTTGGAAAGAATGAAGAAGCTTTACAATGGGTGGGGGAGATGAAGTGGGAATACGAGACCTCCCTCAGCATCCCCATCGAAGCATTCCAATCCGACGCTCGCGCGGTCCTGGTGATGGAAGGACTCGACACATTTGCCACGGTGACGTTGAATGAGAAAACCATCTTGGAATCCGCCAATGCGTTCATCGCCCATAGACTTGAGCTCACGCGTGCAATGTTCGACACAGCCGATGACAATGGCTTCCAGAGCAGTAGCAACAGCGACGATGCAGCCTCCGTCGTCACAGGCAGCCTACGTATCGTCTTCGACAATGCTGAGCGACGTGGCCTTGAGATCAAGGAACAGCATCCTGAGCACGATTGGTTCACGTTTGGTAGCGGCACCACGCGTCTGGCCACGAGAAAGCCGCAATATCATTATGGCTGGGACTGGGGCCCAAAGCTCATGACCTGTGGCCCTTGGAAGCCAATCTACCTGGAATACTTCACGTCCCGAATCGCTGATGTGGCGATAAGTTCGTCCCTGAGCACTGATCTTCAAGACGCAGTGGTGACTGTATCAGTGGAGGTTGATGGTCCCGCCGAGCAGGTTGCGGTCGACCTGCTATTGCATGGCAACGTGATTCATCATGAAGTCACCACTGTTCGTGAGAAGGTCGGACTCGTTCAGATCAAAGTTGCCGGGCCGGAGCTGTGGTGGCCTCACAATCTCGGACCAGCAACGATGTACTCTATTCGGGTGTTTTTATCTACCGCCCAAGCAAACGACTTGCTTCACGTCGACCAACTGGAAAAGTCATTCGGCATTCGCAAGATTGAGCTGGTCCAGCGTAAACTGGAAGATCAAGATGGCACCTCTTTCTTTTTCAAGGTCAACAACATTCCCGTTTTTGCTGCTGGGTCGTGCTGGATCCCGGCCGACTCGTTCGTTTCCCGCATCAGCCAACGTCGCTATGAAGAGTGGATTCAGCTGGCGCGAGACTGCAACCAGAACATGATTCGAGTCTGGGGAGGCGGCGTGTATGAAAGTCCTGCCTTTTACGATGCATGCGACCAGCAGGGAATGCTGGTATGGCAAGACTTCATGTTTGCGTGCGGCAACTTTCCTGCCCATCCCGAATTCCGCGCGCAGATTGCTGTTGAGGCTGAGCAGAACGTCCGCCGCTTGAGACACCACCCATCGATTGTGCTCTGGTGTGGCAACAACGAAGACTACGTCATCTATCCCCTTCGTAGAATCCAGTACGACGCGACTGAGACGAGCCCCGAAGCGATCTTAAAGTCGATATTTCCTGCCCGCTACTTCTACGAGCACGCCCTGCCCAATATCTGCGCAGATCTGACCCCGGACACGCCTTACTGGCCGGGGTCTCCTTTTGGAGGAGACATGGTGAACTCGCAACTCGAAGGCGACATTCACCAGTGGCACGTCTGGCATCTCGACATGTTTCCTTACCAAGACTATCCGCGGCTGAGTGGGCGTTTCGTCAGCGAGTTCGGCATGCAATCTCTCCCGTGCCTGGAAACCACCATGGAGTTCTTCCCCGCCGACGCCACCTCTGCGACCCTTGAGAACAATGTCTTGGAGAACACTTTTCTGAACTGGCACAACAAAATGCCAGACGGTCACGACAGGATATGCCATTACGGACGAGCGAACATCTCCTTTGGGGCCTCGTCGTTGGCCGAGGTCATTTACAACACCCAATTAATCCAGGCCGAAACCGTGGCCACGGCGTACCGATCCTGGCGACGTCTGTGGCAAGGGCCTAGGAAGGAGTACTGTGGGGGAGCTCTGGTCTGGCAACTCAACGACTGTTGGCCTGTCACTTCGTGGGCAATTGCAGACTACTACCTACGGCCGAAAATGGCCTACTGGGCCATGAAACGTGAATGCGCCGCCGTTACCGGCGGCCTGAGCAGAATCGTCAAGGATGGCGCCGAACGGACCCTCGAGTATTGGGCGGCGAATATGACTCAGACCGGAGTCACGGTCGATATCACCATCCGGGCGTGGCTGGTAACGACTGGTGAGCGAATTCTGGAAAGAAAGCTCCACAATAGAATGTCTCTTGCGCCGAATCGAAGCATCGATCTTGGATCTCTTGCCATCGATGACATGAATTTACCAAGAACTCAGCAGCATCGAGACATTGCATTCGCGCTTTCACTCGACTTCCAAGACAGCAGTAATGATACTCCAAAGTCGGTGCAAGCGATCAACTTCCATGAGCCTCTTCGTGAGGTTCCTTTCCCAAGTGACAAGACCAAGGTAGATCTGAGAATATCGCAATCCGCCATGGGAATCTCGGTGCAGGCCAAGGCTGCAGTCCCGATCAAAGGTCTATTGATCGAGGTGGACGGCGATTCAACGGCCAAATGGGATGATAATGGCATCGATCTCATGCCGGGTCAGGTGGCCGAGCTGAGGTATTTAGGTCAAAGTCTGAGACCAGGCCAGGAGGACAGACTTCGAGCAAGATGGTTGGGCGGTTATTTGGACCAGTCTTCTGATCTGAGAGCATCGTTGTAAATATCTGTGACACCTAACTGGCTTACAAGGATAGTTGTCGCCGTAGAGGATGGCACTTCGCTGTGGACGGGCATCAGGTAAAGGAAGACTCGCATAGGATTCGATGCAACTCGTAGTTGATCGGTGGCAAGGTGAAGTCACCAACGTTGGAAAAACCCGTTGGAAAAACCCGTTGGAAAAACCTTTTAAATAAGGGTGATCTTGTTGCTGCTTCGATCTTGACGGGACTGGAAGTTGTACACGTAGTACCAAGTGGTCAATAGATACAGCAACTTCAGATCCAAAAAGAACTTCTCGGAGATTTGCTGCTTCTTTCTAAATATTGACAGTCCTAGAGTACTGCTCATCTAAATCAACAGACTCCCTGTCATCGTCGTGGTCGCTGTCGCTGTTCAACAAAACATGTGGCGCATGTGTAGCGAGCCTTCTGTGGCGTGCTGGGGCTCGGACAGGGCGTCGTGCAACCACGTCTGTATGCTGTCCGTCACCTGCTCAGATCCCGGACGTGGCGACGTCCTCATTGACCTTAAACTGTCAAGAAGTATTGCACCGTACCGGGGCGGGTTGGTACTGTTCGCAATGCCCATCTCTTGCAAGAAGATTGCGGTGTCGTGCACAATGTCAAGGTAAGCAGCATGCTCGGCGATGGACGCTCCAAAAAGGTCGATAGCGTTGAGAATGTAGAGACAGCAAAAGGCTATCAGAGCAAATGCGTAGTCCGGCATGTATCTAAGTTTTTCGCGCCGCAAGGGAGACATGTTTAAGTAGGGTTGGAAGACATCACAGGCATTCTGAATTGTCGACAACAACGACTTGAGAGCAACGTCGGTCAACTCAAATTGCATGGCCTTGTGTGCATTCGTGATTCGGCGCAGGTTCCAGCGGGTAATGAAACTGCCAATAGTGAAGCGTGTGGCTCGCAAATGGAACTCGACTGTTGCATTTCTGGTGACATCGAGGTCGGAAACGGTTGCAAAAGCCTCGCCACGGATCCCCCACCTTTGAGACCACAACTCGAGCGCAGCAGCGATATCTTCATAGATGTCGCTGATGTTGACGATGTCGGTCGCGAAAGAAGGTGTGCACCACCACTCGGCAAGCTCAGGTACATATCGACCGGCATGGCTCCACAGCATATAAAGATCAATTTCTGCCACAATGCGGGTCACTCGAGAAGGCTTGGGAATTTCGCTCAGCAGTTCGGTGGCTGTGGTTATGGTTAAATCGGCTCTTATCGACGGAGGCGTTCTCGTCATCAGAGAAAAGTGGTGAGACATGGTGAACAGCCACAACCAGTATATGTAATGCTGGAATGGGCTGCTACCAGCCATGCTGCTAGTCGCATTTTCTCGCAGGAGCGGGCGAACACGCTCGATAGATCGATGTAGTCCGGCCCGGAATGCGAATGACTCGACAAAGGACTTGAGTTCCCAATGGCTTAGCTCATCTTTGTGTAATTCTGGAAGATAAAAAATGTCCGTTGCGGGTTGATAGGCGTAGAGGATCGCAAAGGCCTGAAGCTCTGTCCACAGCTGATCCTGATCGGCCGGAATCCGCCGCTTAGCAAGGACGATGAATTCGGTCACGCGAGCAAGGAGTGGCGCGCGCAACCTTGCACATCCAACGGCAAATCGGCTGGCAACGTAACTGGCGCAGTATGCCAGACACTGTCTGTTGCGCACCACTGCCACGGGCTCATCGAAATCAGAATCGTCGATGACTGGAACACAGTACTTGAGGTTCACACGAAAACTACAGTCCCGAGTTTAGCATCCGGATCATCGTCCTCAGAAGGAAACTCACAAGTGAAGCAGCTCAACCAAGGTTTGCTCGGTAATGTTGGACCGCGGCAACGGCTGGTGGTGGGGATGTACAGAGGCATCCACGTTGCTGCTTGAGCTGAGCTGAGTCACTGGAAACGTCTCACCGACGGCGGAGCCTAGAGCGTCAAAGGGTGATTGTGCCAACGGTAAGAAAGGACTGGAGCCAAGTCCTCCAGGTGTGACCATGTCATTATGAGACGCGGGCTGGGGCCCATCATCGTGGACCTGTGACGCCGGCGACCTGATCATGGGTTCAACGGCGTTGAAGACACTGTCGCGTGGCTCCTCGGCATTCGATGTCCTGATACTTTGGGGTCTAGCGCCTCTCCGTGAAGCCCTGACTACACATGATTTGCCTGCCTTTTCACACCGACGACACGGGGGATTGGCAGCGCCCAGACATCGCATCTAGAATTCGTCAGATCTGAGGTGGTCAGGTCCTACAAAACACCCTGAGCACCTACTTTCAAGCGCCGACACTCAATGCAAGCCACCGCAGCCGACCCAGCGGGGTCATTATGAGATGTTCGGGGCATTGGGGCTTGCTGTAGCTGTCGGATTTGGAAGAAACCCAAGAACCATGACCCTTGCGTTCGACGGGAAAGGATAGCAGTCCTTCACAGACCACCAAGTACCGCACTTGGACAATGTACGTAGAGCAGACCGAAAAGAGCCATGTTTCGAAGAGGAGCACAAGAGGCTTGACGACTTGAGGGTTTAGAAGTGGTCTTTAAGTCTCGGGCAACGAGGAGTAAATGGAAGTTATAGTCATGTGCCAAGGCTGTCAATCAATCGGCGACGAGGCTGCGGTGTTGCCCACTTCCACTTTGCACTTCACAAGTTCAAGATTCCTCGTGCCCCTCCAGTCGCTTCTCCAACATCGCCATCCATTCCACAATTCCACCATTACACGACTCTTGCAATTCGACCATCCTCCCTAACGATCTTGACTCACCCGATATTACACGATGGGCGCCAAAGTACCACGCAACTTCCGATTGCTGGAAGAACTGGAAAAGGGCGAGAAAGGCCTCGGCGCAGGTGAATACTCTCTCAGCCGCCTGACTCTGAAGAAGAGGCCGAGCACTGACTGGAATGACAGAGGCATGCTCGTACGGTTTAGCCGATGGCGATGACCTGATGATGTCAAATTGGAATGGCACAATCCTCGGACCTCCTCACGTACGCAACGAAAACACCTCTACTTGATCGTCGTCCTCGAAACTGACCAACAACTATACAGAGTGCCCATGAAAACCGAATCTACAGTGTAAACATCCATTGCGGAGAGCAATACCCAGACGTGCCTCCCACGATCCAATTCGTCTCGAGAGTAAACTTGCCTTGCGTTGATCAAAAGACTGGAAAGGTACGGGCATGAGAAGAGATGAAAGCGTCATTGCGACTGACATTGAGGATTTAACCCAGGTCGACCCTTCAAAGCTACCATGTCTAGCGAACTGGAAACGAGACTTTACAATGGAAACTATCCTCATCGAATTAAGAAGGTAAGTCGTGTGCCAGTGTTACTGAACTATGGCTGAACGTATTCCCAGATATATGGCTCTTCCACAGCACAAAAAGCTTCCACAGCCACCTGAGGGAAGCACTTTCTAAAGCTTTGATTTTGCGGCATGGGATTGCGGAGTTCGTTCTTGCGGATACAGCGATGATTGAGTGATGCTTGACGAATGCATGGTCCGGCGTCTGGATGTTTGGTTGTAATTCGTAAATGGAAGCATGGATTACTCGACGCTGCAGTCATGTTTAGACAGAGCAAGTCTTCTTTCCGTTCTACTGTTGATTTCTTCTGCCTTGTATGCGCTCATTCCTCAATCCTCATCGAGGCTTCCCTTCCACGTGATGCCAATTTATACTGGTTCGGCAAAGTTGCCGTTGCACTCAACAGTAACGAAGTTGTCCTAGACTCGGATCCATTGATTGCATCTTGTATTGCACTTCATGTCAACAGATTAGAGATGTGCGGATGCCGCGTCAATTCGCTCCGAAAAAGTCAGGAGTGCATCTTTTAGCATGCCTGTCATTGTACCGAGCACTCCTTAGAGAGTGTGGAAAGTTCTCTAGAGCAGTCACCTTTAAGCAGCAGCAGCAGCAGCAGCACCATCCCGCCGCCGCAGTTCACCACCACCACCACCACCCGATCAAAGGCACGCTGCGGTCGATCGTGAGATGGCGGTTTGACAAGGACCGGGACATCCTGTCTCCTCCTCAAGTGGCCAACGGTCTCGCGGCTGGCTATGGGTTTCTGGATCTGTTGCGGTCCTGCACGGCGGGTTCCACGCAGTCCCTCGTCCGACTCACTCAGACTCTCGAGACCATGAGCACACGAGCCGAGGAGACGGCGACGCGACGGGCCAAGTTCGCCTCCTCGTGGAAACCACCGCCGGCGCACCACCGCCGAAGGCTGGAACATTTCCGGAAGATCAAAGACCCGGCCAACTACGAGCACGACCCTTCGGACCCCCGGATCTTCCACCACCCTGCCCCCCTGGCCTCGATCAAGTCCGGGGTCCGCAAGGTCCCCAACCTCATCGTCACCCAGGGCATCCCCGTCCTCAAGTACCCCGGTCCCCAGCCCGTGTTGATCAACCGGGTCATCAAGAACAAGGTGAAATGGGGGGTGAAGAAATTCAACCAGCACAAGATGTTGGAGGATTTGAGGGACATCGCAGAGTGTGAGGACGAATGGGATGACATTGTGAGGAATCGCCATGGCGTCGACAAGAGAGGTCGTGAAGGGGAGGAAAAGTGGGTGCAGAGTATTCGTGAAGCCGACTCTCACTTGGAAAGGAGACTGGCGGAACAAATGAAGAAGAATACAGAGTTGAGTGGAAAGTTTCATGAGATTGTCCTCGCGGAAAGAGAATTGAAGGAAAAGGAACGAAGAGAGGCCAGGCACCAACGGCGCATGGCTAGGAAGAAGAGAGCAGTAGAGGAAAGTGGTGCTGTCGAGACTACTACTGTACCTGCACAAGGAGAACACAAGTCTCCCGACCACGGCAAAACACGATGAGAGATGTGCGTCTTGTTAATACCCCGGTGCGTGGGTTCGAGATACTGTAAAATAATGCTGCCACATTATCAACACTCGAACATTGTATCATTATTGTAATAAAACACAGAGGAAACATTGAAGTAATAATGGAACAAACAAAAGTATTTTGTCTGATTTAGTCTGCCTGTCTGCCTGATCTATTCTAGAGCATCAGTGGACCTCGAATCTTTCAGCCTGGCCATGCTTTCCTGAACGCCCCAGCCATACTTGAGCAAATCTCCGACCTGTTCTAAACCCAAGCCCATGGTCTCGGGGTATATGCGGTAGATGGCGACATATCCCAACGCGCAAATCAGAGCATAAGTGACAAAAGTCCACTGTGGGGTCAAAAGGTCCATCATGGGTAAAAAGGTCAGACCAACCACCGTGTTGCACCCCCAATTCGTCGCGGTCGCCAGGCTCGACCCCAAAGAGCGGACGCTCAAGGGAAACAGTTCCGACTGTTGCCAGGGGACGGGACCGAGGCCCATGGCGTAACTCGACACGTAGAGTAGCATGGCGACCAGGATGCCGATCGCAGGCAAGGGGCCACCGCGACCGTCACCGTCGGCGTCCTCCGGACCCCCCGTCCCTGGAGGAGGAGCCCGGCCTTCAGCTTCTCTTCCTCCCACCGAGGGGGCGGGAGGGGGGGAAGAAGGCACGAAGGAATAGGCAGCCGCGCAGAGTGAGAGGGACAAAATCATGACGGGGATGGTCGTCAACAGGATACGCCTCCTCCCGACCCTGTCGATGAGATTGAACGCCGCTATCGTGAACAGAAAGTTGGTCCCCGCGACGCTCAACGACGTCAAGGTCGGCGAAGAAAACCCCAGGCGCTGGAAGATGGTGGCGGAAAAGTACATGAGGCTGTTGAACCCGCAGAGTTGCTGCAGGCCCTGTAGCGTACATGTGACGACGAGTGCTCTGGCGTGAGGTGGGTGCAGTAAGAGTGACTGTAGAGTAGGTGGGAGGAACGACGACGACGATCCAGTACGATCGGTGCCGCTTTTCATCCGAATGTGAGCCTCCTCCTCCTCGAGGATTTCCTTTTTGATTGCCAAGATGGTTCCGTCGACCAGCCGGTGCGAGTCGGACGACATCCCTCGGTACACCTTTGTGAGTACAGTTCTTGCGGCCCCCTCCTTTTGGGCTTTCACCAAATAACGAGGAGTCTCGGGCATAAACGCCAGCATGGCCATTTGTGCCAGGGCGGGTGCCGACCCTAACCCGACCATCCAACGCCAACCTCCCGGGGTGGTCGAGAAAGCCCAACCAACCAGGTACGCGATGACTTGACCACCGGTGATGAACAACAAACTGGTGGTCACCAGTCTGCCTCGCAGGTGACTCGGCGAGAGTTCAGAGATGTACAAGGGTACAATCAGACTCGCCCCGCCTATCGCCAACCCAACGACCGACCGACCCCAGATCATCCCCCACACCGAACTCGTGAAGGCCTGCCACAGTGCCCCGAGGGCGAAGAGAGCATCCGCGACCAGTATGACGTTTTTTCTGCCCATCTTGTCCGCCAGTATTCCCGCAAGGGGACTCGCGACGAGAGCGAAGAAGCTCGTGCAAGACGTGATGACCCCCTTGTCGAGGTTCGTCAAAGGCCTCGAAGAGAGGTCGGTACCGATCGAGACCAGGGTACTGGAAATCACCCCCGTGTCGTAACCAAACAAAAGCCCCGACACGCAAGCGGAGGCCGTCAGAGCCCATATGAACGCGTTGCCGCCCGAATTTCGGTGGACTGTCGTCGTAGTCGTCGTCGTCGTCGTCACCGCATCAGTAGACTCGTCAACGTCGTCTGCGTTGTCTCGTCGTCGGTTGCGGTCGATGAGGGGGGCATTGATTTCGGTGTCTTCGGTGTCGTCGTGGTGGTGGCCCGGTGCCATGGCTGAGAGTTCCACGGCCTCCTCTTCAAGGCCGCTTGCTTCACTCCTGAACAATTCATGATCTGGCATCAAGAAGGGGTCGACATTATATCAGGGAACAAACAACAACTTGTCCGTGGCTATTGATTAGCGTCGTGTGACCTTTGAGTACCTGACATATTACTTCCATACAGCCCGACAAACTCCGGCGCATCCTCGGATAATACTAAATCCGCCAGCCTTGTGCGGCCTCGCTTCACTACTGCATGTATGGGAATCCAGCCTCATCGTTCACTGATTACGGGGTCTCCAAGTGGCGCCGTTCCTGTCTTACTTGTAGCTGATTGTAGATACATACTCAACGTTCACCACAAAGGCTCATTCCAAGCATTGAGCATGACCACGCTTCTACAGTGGCACAATGCGTTTCGGATCGGCGAGCTCCAGATGAGCAACAGTGGTTGCTGGATACGCTCTTGTGCTGGTCAACTCAATATCACTATCACCGGCCACATTTTCATAACCGGAAAATCTCCGCAAGAGATTGTTCGACCCTCCTGTATTCCCTCGAGTGGTTTCGCGGACGCTGATTCGGCCGTGGTCCTTGGACGTTGCTGGCTCGGAATCAATCCCTCCACAAGGCTGATTGACAAGGCCGTACTTGACAGCTTTCCCTCCAATTTGTCCAAGCAGTACCTTTGCCGGTGCGCTCGAATCGGCGTCTCTCAAGATCGGTGCATTGAAAGCCTTTGCCGTTTCGACGGGGCTCATCGAGACCTTTCTGCCTATTCTCCAAAACCCATTGAAGGTCAGCAAGACCGAGATGATGGCCAACGCCGAGGCTAAAGTTGCTAAGCTCAGAAATAAATAGCTGGTTCTGTATACCGTGTGATCCCTGGATGTATCGGCGACGACAGATTGCAGGTCGCTGCTGTTTGCCGTGGCGATTGCCGTTCGGAAGATTAGCTCGCGGGTTCCCTGCAAGAAATCTGCAAGCGGATCTGTGAAGAATACATCACAGCTCGGAACTTGTTCCACACCACGAGCGTAGGCGATGGATGACTCGCTCTGTGCACCGATGAATTCCCATCCGATCGCCCCGGAGAACTGAAGTTGAAGGTCGGTAGTGTATTGATTAGAAAGCGCCAGGAAGATGCCTCCGTAAGTGCTCACTTCGGTAAGATGCGTTTCGCTGCTCAAAGCATCGGTACCTCCCACCACCGTGTCGTCCCAGATGGTGGTACCTGGGTCGAGGCTGACCGTCCCAGCGTCCCCATCTATAACTATCGGGTAATCCACCGTCCCAGCAGTCAGGGTACAATTGGTCACGGCCAGATTTCCAGTACAGCCAGCCTCGGGCTTGGTCTGGACATCGAGGTTGAATGACACCGGGTTGTCGTGAACGTCATAGTCGACCCAAGCGCCAAACACTGTCGGACTGTCAAAGCTAAGGCCAGTCACGTTGTACGGGGCTTCATACGACGAGCAGTTGACGTGGAAGCCTGCCCCTAACACCCTCGTCCTGCAGCTACCTTTGCAATTGGACTCGTAAGAGATGGGTGATCTGGCATAGTATGCCCTCGCGGTGGCTGAGAAGTTACTAGTCAGCATATTGACCTGGTCACCCCGACCGGTGATTATGCCCGTGTATCCTCTGGGGACGAGTTGTTTGGCGGCAATGTCAAGGGGCTGTTGGCTCGTGATCGTCGCATTGCCAAAGGTCGAGGCACGTTGAAGAAGAGGACCGTTGATGGGGCTCAGGGCGACAAACATGCTTGCGATTGCGACCACATTGATGTTGCGACCGGAGATGATAGCTGCCAGGACGCTGTTGCCACAAGCCCAGACACTATGGAGGTCGCCAATGGTTGTGCCATCCTTCAATGCTTTGTGCCACCAGGCAATGGTAAGTCCCTCAAACAAGGCGTACACCACCGTGACATTGGTGACGGTAGAGGCTATGGAGAGATAGACTGTAGGCTGAAATTTCCAGGAGTTGATGTCGTCCCCGTTCGACACCAGCAAGATGATGACTGAGACGATGGTTCCGGCTGAGGCGAGTAACAATGCGCCGAACCCACTCAGAGGATAATGGGAAGAGTTTGGTTGCCATAATGTCCTTGTAGAGCCAACGGAGGAATAGATCGTGCGCGTGGCTTTCTTGGAAACCATAGTTGGTGATGTCGCGAGATTCTGCAAAGTTGAAATCCTAGTCGCCGGATCTCAAACGAGTGTGGTTGGAGGTTACGTTCAGTGCGTCCACATGTTTTCAACCTCCGTGACGAAAGAATGAATAGATACTCGGTGTTTTCCTGAGTCGAGAGTGCTAAGAGGCCATGTCTGTTGCACACAAGTGGAATCGCTCGATCTTCATCACGGCCGTTGTGAAGAAGCATCATGTTCGCAATAAACCGAGTCAAGCGCCATCGTCGGTATATGACGGTGACAGCCAAGTGAAGATCCCCTCCACTAGAGATCTAGGCCAGCAGGATGCTTGAATTAGATGAATTAGCTGCAGGAAAATACTAGTAAACATGGTCTGCTGGCAGTGACTATTTAGTTAGGGGTCGGCGGCCTGAAACATTTTGTGTTTGGCCCCAGGCATTTCAATACAATACCATCGTCTTTGATACCTAGCCATAAGATGGGTAGACGTTTCATTTTTGTTGAGCATAGTTGACTAGTGGGATGCTTCGGCAATGTGTGTGCAGTGCTTACAAGTGTGATGGTGCTGTGATTGTTACAGTAGCAAGAAGAGATGAAGAAGATGGGAGAGACGATGGCTTTGGGAATTGGAATTTGGGGTGCGCCGTAACAAGCTGCGGATTACGGATAAACCTGAACTCCGTATATTAAAATAGCCCTGGCAAAAGAGAGAAATAAGGAGTGACTGGACATTTAATTCCTGCTTTTTAGAATTCCATGTTTCACCATTGATGGTTCCAGCCCAACTCGATTACTCCTGTATCGTATGAGCAGACTAACCCATACTTCGTAGGTCGTGTATTTACTAGCGAGGCCATCACTTGATATACGCCACAGATATTGGCCCCCTTTATGGTACCAGGTAGGGTATAGTATCCTGACCTCTGCCCCGTACAGTGATATCCTTCAGTGTCTGCTTGCCTTGTTATGTCTTGTCATCGCCCCGAACCACATATTCGCTCTCTTTTCAAGTCATTAGTGTACATACATCGTACAGTATACGGAGTACCCTTGTCAAGATTTCTTCCATCGATATCAAGGAGGACACTGGGTATTTGACGCCCTAGCTCCGAGGCCTTTCTCTTACCATCACAACCTGATCACAGCACGACCTTGAGGCAGACCGACACCAGATGTTGAGAAGGTGCACCAAACATAGCGACTCTTGAAATGGCGAGTTCGTGGAATAAATTCCTTCTCGCCTTCATTGCAGTAGCTAAGCCCAGCCATGGACACCTGCATGATTTGTTGTCTTTCTGGGTCGGCAGTTCACACACATCTCAACTCGACTCATCCCCAGCAGCACAAATCACACCACCTCCACCACCACCGGTCCAAGATCTACGACGGCGACAACAAGATTCCAACGCACAAATCACCGTCGTCGACGGCCCTTATACAATGATTGATCAAGTCGGGTCGTTGTGCGGGTACATAACCCAAGACGTCCGTAAGTATAGTGATACATTACCTCAGTCTCAATCTCCTCATCCCAAGGCCATGGCCAGACTACTCGTATGCTCAGTACTATGTCAATGTCATCAATGCTAATAACTGTGCCTCCAGATGCTCCAATATACTGTGACCAAGGACTGTTTTGTTTCACCACCGACAAATTCTTACAATGTTGTTCCAGCACCGTCGACAGCACCACCACGACAAATTACGTCTACACCATGGTCACCACGGACCGAGACGTCGGCGGCACCTCGACGTCACTATCGACGGACGAAGACCCGTCGCCGTTGACGTCGACGTACGGCACCTCGTGTGCCGCCCCGACCACGACGTGCTACCATTACAACCACACGGCGAGCGCGACCGCCGGCGCCTTGGTTTGCACAAACTCCAACTTCCCCTACTGTGCCTCTCTCTACGCCGCCACCGATGACGGCGAGGATGAAGCCACAGGCGTCGTCTCAAAGACCGGCGTGACCTATCGTTGCGACACGGCCGAGTACGGTCTCGAGTACTACGCCGGCGGTTACTCGCCGTCCGTAACGAGCACTTTTACGCCCCAAGTCACCAGCTCCGGTGTCCCCTTTACCCCTTCCGTCGTCCCTTACAGCAGGACGCAAGCGTCGAGACCGGGGTCGTCATCGGCGGTGGAGGCGAGGGAGACAGCCACGAGCGTTCCATCATCGGTTTCGGCGTCGGCGGGATTGTCCATGTTCAGAGACGTGCCACGTTCAATCATCTGGACGATTTCGTTTTGGCTGGTCATGGCGTCTCTAAACGTCCTTTTGTACCTGTTGTATGAATATCTCTACGCGGAGAAGGCGGATTGATGGGTCGATAGATGAGTTCTTGAGCCTCGAGAGTGATCCCAACAATGGACAAACAAAAAGTAAAAATAGCATCCCGACGAGAACAGTCCGAATTTATGTTGTCGTGAAAGCCGCCCTCCCGTCGGCTTTAGTAAATCCAAACATTGCACGTCCACCATCTATCTACCCAGAGCACTTTTTGAAAGGATACACCTTCCTACATCTCTCACGTTGCAGATTATAAACGGCTGTCCGAGAATCTTGGATGCATGAATTTAGTTTGCTTGTTTTTTGGTAGGCCGTCAATGTTATCCCTCTAGGTAGATACGGCATACATGAATTATATCCACTTATTGTCCGTCAATTTTTGTTGAGAAGACATAACAAATGGTATTGGAACAAACAAAAACATCATCCTGTCTTTCGATAAAGATGACATATGTCTCGTTTCGTCACGCCACATTCGGACACAACCCAAAGTAAAAGAGCAAAAAAACTCCGATGTTAGATATCTAAGATATCTACGCGGAGAGTATGCAGCCGTCCACGCTCATTTCAAGAGCTCGCCAGCCTCAGACTTGATCAGGTCGACCACCTTGTCCGACAATCCTTCTTGCTTTTCCGAAATGACCTTCTTCAGCTGCGCCTTGTATTCGGACAGTACATCCAAGCCAGGTCGGAGCTTGTTGATGGCCAACAGACATTTCGTGGCCAAGAGGTATTTTTCCCGCCGCAGGTACACCTCGAAACCCACACACTGGGCCTCGACGAGTTGTGGGGAGTATTCAAGCAAGGGCCCCAAAAACTTCATGGCATCCTTCAGTGGCTCCTTGGTCTCGACGAGAGTCTTTCCAAACGGATCCACGTCCTCCTTTTTGGGATCGGGATCTTCACTCTTCGGTAAGGGTTTGGACGCCTTCAGGGCCGCCCTTTTTTCTGCCTCGGCCTTTTCCATCTTCTCCTGCTCACGCTTGGCCTTTTTGAGTGCCTTCTTGCGGTCCGCGGCGCTCATTTCACTCTTGCCGGTACCGTTCATGTCCATAATGGGACCGTGCACGAGGTCGGGGTTGTCGGACAACAAAAGATATGCCTTGACCGCGCTGATGGCCATGTTCGAATAAAACGGGTGCTCGCGCAGTCGGTCCTCCCACCGTAACATGTCCACGTACGCTCGAATCATGCCCTTTCTCAGTGAGAAATTGTGGAAGTCGAACTGGTCATCTTGCCAGACATCAAAAATCGCAAACACCTGGTGGAATCGTTTGAGGGCCAGGCCGAGTTTCCGTTGCCGCAGATAGGATTGGCCGTCTTCGGTCAAGTACCACACGGCTTGCATGTCGATGAGGTCGCCTAATGGTCCGCCGGTCCTGTTCTGTGTGAATTTGCTGGCGATTTCCAGTGCCTTTTCATTTTGGTCAGCCCGTAAAAAGTACTTGGCCGACTTGGTGTTGATGGCTCGATCCTTCTCGTCCAGAGCTCGTGCTTGATCCATGGTATCGGCCGCTTTGGCAACATCCCCTTTGTGCTTGTAAGTCCTGGCTTTGACGGAATGATAATCGACTGATTTTGGGTCCAACTCGATGCATTTGTCCGCATACTCCAAAGCCTTGTCAAGATTCCGGCTGAGCTTGTAGTTGTAATGCTGCGCGAGGAAGTATAGTACTGAAGACTCGAATCGTGACTGGTCTTTACTGTCACTGTTCGTTGCACCGTTCGTCTGTGAGTCTGCCTTTCCTGCGGCATAGCCTTCAACCAATTCTTGTATGACGTCTCGCTTGGAGGAATTCGTATACAGCTGCTTGATATTGGCAAACGTTGACGGGATACCTCTCCGCAGCATTCTCTGCAAGTACGAGTCCGCGGCCTGTTTGAATTCTTCCCCAGAGAGGACATCCAACGGTCTTCGGACAGGGAGATCTGCTCTGGGGAATTTCGTCGCTAATTCGTCGTAGGCCTTCTTGATGTCGGAAGCAGAGCCATCTTTCAGTCCTTTGACTTCTATCCAGCCATCATAGTAATTTGAGTCGTCTGGGTTTCGGTCCAGTAAAGCGGCATAGGCTGCCTCGGCTTCACCCTTCCGCCCCAAACGTGCCAGGTAAGCCGCTCGCATCTCCATCACTCCTAGTACGTCCGGACTTTTCTTTCCAACGGCTTCCAAGTGATCGAGCGCCTTTTCCACCTCCCCGGACTCCGCGATGATGTAATTCTTGTACAGTACCGCCTCCCAATGCTCCAGATCGGCCCGGTTGGGTTTTGTCTTGAGCGTTTCTTCGTACGTGGTGAGAACATTTTCGGCGTCTTCGTAGTTTCCGGCGAGATGATGTGCGATTGCCAGAGCAGTCCAATTTTGCCTGAAACCTGGTTTCTGTTGAAGCATATTTTTCCTACTCGAAATATACCCTTCAAAATCCCGCATCTGTATCTGAAGATGGGCCAAGTCTCTCTGTATCGGTGCCGAGTCTGGGTCTAGTCTCAGGGCGAACTTGTATGCTTTGATGGCCTCGTCAAAGTTCTTCTCTTGCCGGTACAACAGACCGTACACGTGCCAGCAGACATGGGACTTCATGTTGTTGTTCAGGGCGATCTTGGCGAGGGCAAAGGCTTCCTCGATGTGCCCTTGAGACCCCAGTATCAGGGCCTTCATGGCCTGCGTATCAGCATGATTGGGAGCCTTTCGGAGGATCTGCTCGGCAGCTTTCAGACCTGGCGGAAGATGTCAGCATTCTGGCAATCAGAGAGTGGTCAGTGGCGCTACCTTTTTTGTATTGCTTGTTCTCGAAGTGACGGACAAGCTGTCTGAATAATGCATTGTCTTTATTGCTCAACACGGGTTGAGCTTGTGCCATGATGGATGAGTGCGGCGGGCTGAGACTCGCTTTTGTTCGCAAGAAATGTTGCGCAGATGGCGGCTCCGGAGCAATCAAGAAAACGAAAAGGCAAACGGAAGGCTAAAGAATGTCCAGAACGAAGTGAAGTACTCTACAGACAATCACACCTGCAGTAAATCCCTCCCCGGCCGCAAATTCAATGTCGAGGTTACGAAGGACTCGTACTGGAAATCCAATGAATGCTTCGGCCGATTGAACAGCCTGACCAGCCTTGCGCAGTCTTGGCAGCACAAGCAATGGTCGAACTCAGAAGGCGCCGCTTTTAAGACGACCTGCTCACCACTCACCCTCCCCTCACTTTTCTTCTAATTAACCCTTCTACTCACGGCTCTCACACGAACCCTCGCGGTGACAGTCTAATATCTACTATAGCCTTTCTAGTATGTCTCGTCTCAAGATAAGTTTCATGATTAATGACAATTAAGAGAGACTTCATTTGTAAATCCTCACAAAGAGATCTTAACTTTCAGGCCTAGAGTCTTAGCTAGTGCTCCCTTTCTCTCTTGTTAACTCACCAAGCCGAAATATAAAATGGTGTCTCTCTCATCTCTAAGTGTTTACAGTATAATTTTCTAAGCCGTCTGGGCCGATTGGTAAAGGACATCCATTATTGTTATTGGTGGTGCGACTGGATTGTCAAAACTGACTGGGAGCCGCACTGTCCATCAAATCAGCCTTAGGCGAAGGTTAAGTCTGTAGACATGTTGGATGCTCCTGTGCCTGGAGATTGTTGTTTTAGAGGGCGAAAAGAACAAGAGCAGTATGAGACATCTCCGACGGGGCCACTATTGCCTTGAAGCCATCCACGTCAAGGAGAAAACGCGTCTTTCCGCTTATCGATACATTCCTTTGGTCGTGTAAAAAGGTGGTGCGATATACGAAAAGTGGCATTGTGCATCGCAGCAGCAACCCCAATCCAAATCTGCTGTTTGCCCAGCTATCAATGGTACCTTTGGTGCCTATCCACGCTCAGCAGGTGCATGTCGCCTTTCATGATGTGCTTTATGCTTTTGCCCTTTCGGTCGATACCTCTGGGATCTAGAAAGCTGAGCTCGAGCGAAAACGGAGTTCGGAAGGTCAAACACAAGTCAACTGATGGCCGGAGCTAGCTGCTCTCCCACAGCAATCCACAGACAGGTAGGTGCAATGGGGGCACAGGATCGAAGGTACAACTATACAATGCATTGGGAGCCACGGGCCAACCATGGATCTTTGGCGGTGAAACAATGTATTGCCCCCTCGCCGTGAGAACGACCACTTCTGGCAGGCTCAATCCTTGTTCCACTGATCACCCACCGGCCGTGTGATACCCCATTCAGCATCCGAATTCTTCGAGTCTCTTCAGGTCTGCTGTGTTTTCCAATGAGAACGGCCTTGCTGTTTGACCGCGGTGAGCTCGCCATCACGAGTCTTCTACTCATACCATTTGTACATTGCTAGACAATCGAAGTGCAGTTCTTCGATTCCACCCTATCACGCCTCCTCAACTCTGTTCCTCTCCGTAACCATGGCTCGAACCACAGAAAGCAGCTTTGTACTAAATTTTCCTTGGTCAGGCCTGAAGTTCCCGTAGGTCCCGAAATCAGGATTGCCATCAGGCGCGGAAGTCTCCGTGAATCGAGGTTCTCACTCTCCCTGACTCGTCCTGCGCCGTTGCATTGATGGACAAATCTGGCCGCAGTCAAATACAGCATTACATTTAGTGATCCAATTGCCATTTTCCGACCTCGCGAAAATTGCGACGATTCTTTTGTGAGTTGCAAAGTATATTGATGCTTAGTAACTTAAGCCAAAAGCAATTCAACCTGAACTTCCAATTGTTCGCGATGGAGCAACTGAACGAGCTCAAGCAATTCAGCTCTTGTGATGTACGTACACCAGGGATGAGAGTGAATCCTGCGTTGGGAGGGTCCTGACAGATTTTCAGGTCGCTGATGCTTTGGTCAATCTCGGCGTACATTACGGAGGGTATCTGCATGGCTTGAGAATGTTCTCGCCCTGTGAGCATGCTGGGCCCACAAAAATCTGCGGCCCTGTCATGACTAAGTATCAGCTTGTCTGAGGCCCCGAGCTTCTTGATTCTTGCGGATGAACAACTACTTATAAAGTTACGTCTTGCGTATGCAGGCTCGAATGGTGGATGTAGCGGACGCGACAGCGCCCCGACCAGAACCACATTTTGTTGATTGTGTGCAGCCAGGCCAAGCCGTATTTGTATCTCAGCCTCGTGGGTATTATGCAGCCTGCTGGGGTGGACTGATGAGCACACGATCCAAGCGACTAGGAGCTCAGGGGGTGGTTATTGATGGCAACTTCCGTGACATTCTGGAGCACAAGGAGCTTGAATTCCCGGTACAGTAAAGATTCCATGAGCCCCTGGAGCTGACTAACGAGACATTAGTTGTTCGCCCGAGCGACCGCTGCAGGAGGCTCAGCCTCTTTCACCCGTTGTGCCGGCATAAACGTGCCAGTCCATTTCACTTCTGCCGAGCAGGTTCGACCTCTAATCATTCATCCGGGGGATTATGTATTGGCAGACGCTGATGGGGTGGTTATAATCCCCCCCGCATACGCTGCCCAATGCCTGGAGTTGGTGAAAACGCGATATGAGATCGACCAGAAAACCCTCAGTGCACTGCAAAGTGGAGAACCCATGGGCCCAACAATCGCACGATTGCGGAACTAGGGGTACCTTCAGAGATATGCACATGTTTTTATCGTGGGGGCTACCAATTTCAATATTTAGTGTTCCTGGTCGTGCCTGACCTCAGAAAGTCTCTCAGCACGGAAAGCCTCGAGAGGATGTCAGATCCACCGGCTCCAAAAACTCGAAAGGGCCTCCTTCCAATCAGAGCCTGGCGGAAGATTCCAGGGTCTCTATCGACATTGAACCTTTCCGTGTGCAAGATCTCATGACCAATCACCGACTTTCGGCAGGATTATACAAGTAAGAACGACCCTTCCAGCTTTTCAAATATTCCATTCGAAGTGAAAAGCGAAAGACGCTATTCAGGAGCGACAATGGGCTCTTTTACCCCAAGTTCATTTTTTGAGCACCTCAGTCCCGTCCCTCTAGATGCTGTCTACTCACTTAAGGAGGGATTTTCGGCAGTTAACAGTGAAAGCAAGCTCATTCTTGGCTCTGGGGTCTACCGAGATGAGGAATTACAGCCGTGGGTCTTGCCATCGGTGAAAAAGGTGAGGTGTACCAGCTGGACGCCTTTGATTCTCCTGATATGAGCGAGGAACTAACTCAGAACCACAGGCCGACGAGATAGTGGCGCGATCTCAAGGGTCTGACCGCTTCGAGTATCTACCTATTCGCGGCTATTCGCCTTTTTACACTGCCGCACGTGATCTTCTCTTTGGAAGTTTGGGCCTCAAGGAAAATCGAACTGTGTCGGTACATACCGTGGCCGGTACAGGCGCCAACAGCCTCGGAGCACGCTTTCTCAAAGAGACCATCAGCCCATCGGCTGTTTGGGTGCCTGATCCGACCTGGGTCAATCATCATAACATCTGGAGCCTTGCAGGAGTTGAGGTCAAGACGTATCCCTATTGGGACTCTTCTAAGAGGTCGCTCAAGTTTGAGAGACTACTGCAGACTCTCGAGAATGAGGCTGAACCCTGAACGAGGCGACGTTATCGTCTTGCACGCCTGCGCCCACAACCCGACCGGTGTTGACCCTACCAAGGAGCAGTGGAGGATGATTGCGAGCTTGTGCGAGTCCAAAGGGCTTTTTCCATTCTTCGATTGTGCCTAGTAAGTTCCACGCCTCGATAAAATACCATCAACTAATCCAGGGCAGCCTCGGATTTGCTAGTGATGACCCTGATGCCGAAGCTTGGGCGATAAGATATTTTGCGTCTAGAGACACTTTGGAGTTCGCCATTGTTCAATCATTCTCTAAGAATATGGGCCTATATGGCGAGCGAGTCGGTGCTCTACATTTTCTTGCTGCAACGGCCGACGTCGCCTTGACAATTAAAGGCCATCTCAGTCGCTTGCAGCGCGGCAACATTTCCCAGCCACCGACTCGAGGCGCCATGATTGCCACAACCATTCTCAAATCCCCCGACCTATATCGTGAGTGGTTGTTGGACTTGAAGAAGGTGAGTACTCGAATTCGGAACATGCGCAAGTTGATGTACGACGAATTGATACGTCTAAAGACTCCTGGTAGCTGGGAACATCTTCGAACTCAGGTAAAGTTATCTTGCGCACAGATAAGCCAATATCGGCGGAAGTCCTGACTAACTTCGTCTTACAAGATTGGCATGTTTTCATATACCGGTCTCACCGCGGACCAAGTGGCGACGATCCGCACCGACAGTCATATCTATTTACTGGAGTCTGGACGCATCAACGTAGTCGGATGTAAGTACTGGCGACCTGCCCAATCTTCTCCTTCTCAAGGATTGCTAAAGTACCTTGTAGTGAACATCAAGAATGCTGCATATATGGCACGAGCAATGGACGCCGCCGTGAGAAAATCAGCGTGAAAGTTGATTCTCGATTTGCATGCTTGGAACGCATCCCCTGGTAGGCTCATACCAGAAATAATCTAGGCACGCTACTAAGATCGAGAAGCGCAAGTACAGGAGACCACAGTCTCGGCATTCTGGAGGAGAGGTCGACAGCGTGACACAGTCTCATCAGCCACCAGGTGGCGGTACTTCCCTTCAAGTTCCAATGAGCGGATATGTTTGTACCAACCACATAGAAAACAAGACTATTGTCATTGTAAGAAGAGAAAAAATATGGCCGCAGATTGAATGACTAGCGTACTCGTGATGGTCTCGAGCAAGTACTACAAATTCCCCGATCAGGTCAACGGAGCATTCTTCAAGCCTCGTGAACGCAATGTATAAGCCTGAAACGCCCCATGAGGCTTTTTTGTTCTGCGTGTCGACACATTGCTGAGTGCGCATGATGCTGCAGTGTTGGAGACTTTGAAAGCAAGGATTGGTCCCTTGAAGTTGTGAGAGAAGCTATGGCGGCGGCGACCGTCATCGGGTGACGCCAACGAGAGCAGAATCCCTGAATGTGCACCTCTCGTATGCCCAGCGCTTGACCTCATTCTACAATTCAAGGAGGTGACCCCGGCCAATTTGCCAACCTAAATGTGAGGTCTCCTGTGGGACAAGATCACCTTGTCCGTCGAGCGCGGCCTGATCTGATGCATAACGATTCACGGAACGGTACGACGCATATATGGGGAGAATAAGTGCGAGTTCGAGTGACAAGGACGCCATCTGAGGCCCTCCCTTCCTACAAGATGGAAACTTGATATATCTGGTCATAGTCAATCTGGCTACGAGGGAGGAATTGGGAGCGGGTGATGCAAGAGCTCGAACGGAAAAACTGACAAGAGTGACGATTTATGATATTGGTGCTCTAGCCTTCAAGTATGAACGCGAGCAAGCATCGCCGTGTGGAATGATACAACGTCGTTGCTAGCCTTCACTTTCGTGTACACGGACAATATGCCATGCCATCAGTCTGCAGCGACAGAAACCGTAGAGTTGGCGAGGGTCAGAGAAGCTGGTTTGGGAACTTACCAAACCAGCTTCGCCGCCCTGTCGTCCGCGTTTCAGGCGACGTCACATGTAACCATTGTCTGGGCGCTCAAGTTCCAGCCGCAGCAGCAAAAGTACATGAGGTCGCCCATTCTTGTTCTCCCTCAATTCGAGCAATCGTGGCGCGACAAGATAGTGTAACCGCTCACAAGACCAGAAGACGTTGGATCTCTTAGCGTCCCCGCCAGGACCCGATGAGTCAAGGGTGATCACTCACGCGGCGCGCGCGAGTCGAGGGGTGAGCAAGGGCGGCACCACCCTGCGCAGTTCCCTCATCGGGGCGGGAGTCGTGAGCAAGTTCGATCGACCATACTTTGGCGGATGATGCCGCTTTCAAGGCAACGACTCGCTCTGTCTTCTCACCATGACATACTGAAAGGGCTCTACGGAAATGACCAAGCGACCGAAGGTCCTGTATTTGGTTGATTAAAGAGCAGAGATGGGGACTTGGAAGAAGTTCTGGAATGCTAGCTAGTAGAGTCTCAACGATCTACTACCTCGGGCGCGCGCTTACGCACTGCCTTTCTCTAATCCATGTCGACCAAACCCTTCACCTTTACAGCCCGTCTCCAGTAACCACCTTTCCAAAACACCAACAAGCTGCAGGCATAGAAGAATGCCATGAGGATGGCTTCAATGCCGAATCCGAGCCCATATCCCACCTTTTCACCTAGATTGGGGCTCCAGAAAGGGACGGTAAAGGAGATGATCTGGCGGATGGCGTTGATCAACTGCAGCACCGATCCCGAGTGCGACGGGTAGCAGTCCATACAGTAAGTCTTGAGCGGCGTCGTCACCAGCTGCAGTCCAAAGTTTGAGAGCGCGAAGCCAATACAAGGCGCGATCCAAGGGCAGTGGTTCTCCAGCGTGACGCCAAAGATGATGACGCCCAACGGTGCCAAAGAATAACCTGGCAGACCGGCCACCAGGCGGGCCTCCAGACGCACATCGCGACCAGTGCTCGCGGCTCGGCCACGTTCGCGATACATGAGCCAGTCACTGGCTGGTCCGGCAATCAACTCGCCAAGTAGGACCCCCACCAACGGCCCGATGAAGAACAAGCCTTGGGCGACCGCGCTGAAGTTGTAGAATTGTCCCGTTGCCAGCGGGACGATGACCGAGATACCGGGCGATGTGATAGCAAAGGTCACACCGTATGCGAACGCAACGAGCGTGACGTGCGGAGACTGCAGGAGCAAGATAGGTTCAATGAACGAGCGCACTCCAAGCCGACCCGGCATCTTCTTTGGTAATATGAACAGTTCCGAGAACCGGTATTTGCCCAGTCCTGAAAGCTGTCGGTGGGCGTAGGAAGTCTCGGGACAGGTAAACAGGTAGGCCAGAAACTGGAGACCGTTGCAGATGGCGATCAGCCACATGACCCAACGCCAGCCGATGTAGTAAACCACCGGACCGCCAACGATGCCGCCCACAGGAGCGCCCAGAGAGACCATCTGTGTCCAGATGCCGTTCTTGCGGCCTCGCTCCTCCTTGGTGAAGATGTCGACGACAACAGCCCCGGACACGACCAAACCGGATGAGATGCCGATTGATTGGAAGACGCGGGCGGTCATCAAGGTGCCGTAGGATTGGGCAAACCCACCGCCCAAGGCCGCGACGCAGGATAGGAGCATGGTGACGACCAGCACCGGCCTGCGCCCGAACGCGCTCATCAGGGGATTCCACAGGAACGGAGCCACTCCCAGAAAGAGGACGTGGACGGCCGTGAGATACGACGCCTTTTGAGGCGTGATGCCAAACTTTTCAGCCAAGGGCACAGTGGCAGGAATCAGTAGAGCACTCGTGAAGCCTGGGCCGGCGGCGTGGAAAGCGCACTGCAGCAGGATCAGGTGTTTGCGTAACCACGGCCAGTTCTACTCCAAACCAGTCAGTCTTTGCAGTTGATTCTCCTATAGATAGGGGAACGCTGACTCACCATCGGCGAGTGTTCGACCAACATTCGGTCATGTGGGACAGCTTCAACCGCGCGAGTCTCTTGTTGGCTGACTTCCAGCTTGTCATCGTCCATGTTGTGCGGGGGTTTCAAGTTTGGCGCCCGACGGGTGTTTTCAGTTATCTAGAATACTTCTTCGTCGTGAACTCTTATGTTCTACAGAAATTGGAGGAAGCCCAATGGATTGCAGTGGCCGGGGGAGAAGAGGGCGCAGGATCCTCGGGGATTGTATTCGCACTTATACCTGTCGTTGAGTACCGCAGGAAGACCCGGTGAAGGGCGTAAAGACGACTTACGTAGAACGGAACCTCCGCGTCGGCCTCCACAATGGTCTGTTCAGAGTGAAGTCTATAAAGGTTACCCGGCGGCACACATGTCCGTGATCAATTGTCCCGAATATGGCAGAAATTGCCCACCAGCAGCGAGGGAGTCGGGCCTCAAAACGATCGGTCACATCGGGTGTAAATACTGGCCCCAGACGCCGTGAACCTACGTGAATGGGTTGACACGGGGTAGAGACCCTTGCGTTTGGTCATGGAGGAGAAGAGGGTGTCCCGAGGGTGTTCCCCTTCAGAGGCAAACCACCAATCCAACACATCATCCCATGGACCTACAAGACGGCACGGAGAAAGTTTGTACTTTGGAATGTCGCTGAGTCAATGTTGAAGGACAATGTCGGCAATCAACCGACGATCAGGAGCTCGTCATTGGCTATCAATATCCGACTGGCACTTATCAAGGTGGTGCGGAAGCATCTCCGTTCAACAGAAGAGCTACTGTACTCGTACGAGCACGGAACTTCCGCTCAAGAGATCGACTGCCCTTTGACTTCTCATTGTTGTAGGAACCGAACGCGTCATCCCGGGACGAAGTGAGTTATAAGGGAATGTTACGGAGTACATTTGTCTGGGACTAGTGGTTCTGCTCCGCGACCTTTTCCTTTAGTCAATTTCACCGTTTGTCGCTTCCGAAACACCAAGAAAGACCCCCAATACAATCTCAACCCACCTCAGTCCTACTGTTGAGAGTCTTGTGCCTCGGCGATGAGCTCCTTCAACGCGTCGGCGCTCTTGACCAAGAGATCCCTCTCCTCCTTGTTAAGTGGCATGCTGAGGGAACGGACAATGCCCTTGCGGCCCAGGATGACCGGCAGACTCAAACAACACCCGAGGTCCTCAATCCAATGAGAAATAGGTCTGACAATACGCTGATCGAACAATATCGACTTGCAAATGGCCGCGCTCAGTGCTCCGATGCCATATGCGGTCGCTCCTTTGGCTTCAATGATCTTGGCTGCCTTGTCTTTTGTTTCCAACGCGATTGCCTTGCGGTCGATGTCGGTTCCTGGAGGCAGGCAGCGATCCAGCGGCATGGCACCGACAGTGACACAGGACCAAGCCACCTTCACCCACTGTCAACAAGATACAGATCAGGTGGAATATCGGCATCACTCACCATCTGACTCTCACCGTGTTCTCCAAGCACGTAAGCATCGACACTGCTAGCATCGACGCCAACCTTTTCTGCGAGGATACCCCGTAGTCGTGCGGTGTCGAGAAAGGTGCCACTTCCAATGACTTGTTGTTGCGGGAGACCGGAAAACTTCTGACAGAAGTAGGTCAAGATGTCGACTGGATTGGCCACGAGCAGAATGACCGTGTGCTTTGAGAAGGGTTTCATGTCGTTGGTGGCGGATTTCAAGATGGCAAGGTTACGACCCAGCAAAGCCGTTCGTGTTTCACCTGGGGATTGTCAAGACGAGGTACCGCTGTTAGAAAAAATGGGAGACTGACCATGTCTCTGTTTCGCACCGGCACTGATGACCACAATGTCGCACTGGCCAGCTTCCTTGTGAGTTCCTGCACGGATTCGAACGCCTCCGCCACTGTAGGGTGGTTAGTCTGCGTGTAAAAGATACAGAGTGGTGATCGTACCCGACTGCACCGTGGTAAGTCGTGGCGTCTTCGAGGTCTTTGACTTGGGCATCTCGTTGTGCGGTGTTTGGGTCGACAAGCAAGACTTCGCTGGCCACCGGGTTCAGGATGAGGCACAGGGCGATGGCACTGCCGACACTACCAGCACCCAGGATAGCAATACGAGATCTGGAGGTCGCAACCTCCGGGTCCATCGGTGGAGGCTCCATTTGGACTAGATGATGTAATGAGGAAATGCAGGGCTGTAGGAGAATGTCGACAGAACCACTTCTCAACAGAGCGTCCTATGTCTAGGAACGAAGAATATATGAGCTAGAGTAGAAGGCGAATCGCTGGTAGAAGAGGGTATGATAAGAGAGTGAACAATGCCATTGTGACGTTTGAATAGGGTCGAAGCAAGCTGAAGCCAAGATGCGTAATACGAGTGCTAACCCTAACCCTACAAATGGCATGTGAAAGCTTGACCTCGTGTGGCCAGTGCTCGCAATAAAACTAAATAGCATGGGAGTATAAAATGGACAGTCTAGGGCAGTCTAGGGCAGTTTCTGAGGACATGGAATCTGTTGGCGACATCACGGAAACAATCATGCCTCTGTAGTTTGGCAATGTACACTGTGTTGTCATTCGTCTTGACTGTCTTGAGATGTGCAAGCACTTCAGAAATCTATGTAGAGCAAATGAATATTTTGCTAAGCCGAGCACAGCAAATGGAGTCGATGGTGCCCGGAAAATCTCTCCCCCGGCAGCCGAAGCAGCCTCCTCGTACTCGTACTCGTACTCGTACCGATTTACCCTGGAAATTCACGTTGATTGTATCGACGGAAATGCCATCATCATTTTCCCATATCTCGTCCATGACGTCCATATGCCTGTTGAATTAGTTTCAAGTGCTGTTGATACGCAGGTACAGAGTATTTATTTTGCCATATACTCCATGCTCATTCTAGGTCCATCGTCATGCGATCACTTTCCAGATTCTGCAGGTCTGAAATAGTTCCACCTTATTTCTTCTTCACGAGCTGATGATTTTTGTAATCCCTTTGTTGTTGTCGTTTTCGATATACGGAATAATCGTACCTTGGAGTTGAATTGGCAGAGGCAGTCATGCCGTCCGGTCTTCTTCAGGCCTTCCTGGGTGCTTTACAAGCTTGCCTGTCGATCCTGCTGGTCATAAGCTACGGTGTAATAGCAAGCCAATTCAGGTTGCTAGATGGCCCTTCGTCCAAAAAGATCTCCAAGATCTGTGTGCGCATGTTCCTCCCTGCACTACTTATTACCAAAGTTGGAAGTGAATTGCACGCTGGCACAGGAACCAGATATCTTCCCATCCTGGGTAGGTGCTTGGTACTGGCCTGCATGGTCTCTTGAGATGGGGCAGAACTGACGGTCTAGTCTGGGCTCTTGTATACATCCTCGTCTCAATGGGAATCGGTGTCCTGGCGGTCAAATTCCTCAAGTTTCCTTCTTGGGTCACGCCTGCTCTGGCATTCAACAACACGACAAGCTTGCCTCTCCTGCTCATCCAGTCTTTACAATCCACCGGCATTCTCGATAAGCTGATCGTTGACGACGACGATGTCTCCTCGGCCATCGCCAGGGCCGAATCGTACTTTCTCGTCTGTGCTATCGTGTCAAACTGTCTCACCTTTGCCGTGGGCCCGCGCTTGGTCGATGCCGAGAACGCACCTGACGAGCCGGAAGACGACAAGCAAGACGATGAAGACGCCGACCGTGAACAGAATCAGGACGGCAACGGTGACGTCGAACAGGGACATGGTGGTCAGGACGAGTTGACCTCCCTGCTGCCCCATCGTATCCGCACTGGGAAGGACGCTGCACACAAGACAGCGTTCCACGTCGGCAAGAAGCACTGGGATAAATTGTCTCCTCGCACTCAAGACACCTTGAGCTTTCTCTCCGATTTTCTCAACGCGCCGCTGATTGGAGCACTCATTGGCGCCGTCATCGGTTTGACGCCTCCTTTGCACAGAGTTTTTTTCAACGAGAGCTTGGACGGAGGGATCTTCAACGCCTGGATCACCGAATCGCTGAAGAAGATCGGACAACTGTTTGTCACGTTGCAGGTCGTGGTCGTCGGTGTGTCGCTGTCTTCCTCTCTGAGAAAGATGAAGCGAGGCGAACAGAAGTCGCTTCCATGGGCGCCTACGGCCTTCATCCTGCTCATCAGATTGATCATTTGGCCTGTGTTGTCCATCGCCATCATCTGGGGACTGTCCACCAAGACGAAGATTCTGTCCACGGATCCCATCCTTTGGTTCACCATGATGATTGTAGGTTTTTGATGCTTCCTCGTCCCATGTCGGATTGATCTTACTAATGATACGCAGATGCCAGCCGGCCCTCCGGCCATGAAACTCGTCGCGATGGCCGATGTAAGCGGAGTAGACGATGAAGAAAAGATGACAATATCGAAAATCTTGACGGCAAGTTCTACTGTTATCAAGCAGAGACGTGTGCTGACCCAACCCCCAGCTTTCATATGCCATCTCACCTTTAATGGCTCTCACTGTTGTTGGCGCCCTGTATGCCAGTCAAGCTGCGATGTGAAGAGCGTGACCATTTCGACGTGGTCACACAAAGTAGATATTTGCCCGTCTGTGTGATCGGTTGAAGTGGCACGACAGGGTAGTTTCAGCCCAAGCCATCTCTATGCAGAGTGCGCTAAGCGGGTTGTCAGTAAAACTTTCGAACCACCAAGGTCAATAATGTTTGTTGAGAAGTAGGAGATTCTGTAATTCCTTTTCACCTCGAAGTTCGATAGATGTTTGCCCAGCCACAAATGGTTAGCGCACAATTCCTTCGCGTAGAGACAAAGCCGAATTTTAAGCGCGTTGATTGGGCGGAATCCTGTCCGCAACTTTTTGTCTGTCGTCCTTCCTCCATATACAAAATATTTCTCTGGTGCAACGGAGGTTGCAACTTCTACTACAAATTACCCGACATGTTGTCTCGATCAAGACAGAAAGGCCTGTGTCATTCCTGTCGACAAGATATACAGATTCTACTCGAAAGAGGCTTCTGCGGGCCCGCGGTCGCCGTCAGGAATCGCCATGTGCCGGTCTCATGGCGGCAAATACCCAAACCTCGATTCCAGTTGAGGTCCTTTTCCGAGTCCTCCAAGCTCTTCCAGCAGAGCGTTACGAACCCTCACGATCGAAATACAGAGGACAACGATCGTCCTGACGCTGTGGATTTCTCTCGAGATCAGATTGAGGGCCTGCATGAGTTAGGGAGTGAAGTGGACCAACATGTTGAGGAGGCCATTGAGGAGAACAATGCACTGGCCCAAGGCCTGAGAGACTTATCTCTACATATGAGGTCAGTCAGCGATGATATTTCAAGAAGAGTGGTACCTGGCACAAGAGATGTATTATCCGAACTAAGAAGCGACGGCGCTGCACCGGAAGAGGTGGTTCGAGAAGCAAGAAAGAAATATGGTGACACATTGCCTGATGCTGCTTTGAATGATGGAGAGCTCAAAATATACAAGCGTCTTTACGGCGAGCCTACCTCAATGTCGTATGAAGAGTTGTTGGACGAAGACGAAGCCGTTGAGGTGGATGGTGGGCAAGCAACGCAACTGTACGATCAGGAGGGAGAGGTTGTGGACTACGAAAGCTTTACAAATGACCCTATGACCAACGACGCTATACATGGAGACACACCTTCTAGGCCACCCCGGCCTGCGCAGGAAGGTCTTGCATTCCCCGACAACGGCGTCGTGACATCGAGCTTGTTAACGTCTCCTAACGAGAGGGCCATGGAGGTTGCTCGATCACTGAATGCTGAATTGGTCAATGAAACGGTCGAAGAAGAGTTTTTCGACGATGATTCCGCTAGAATGCATCCTTTCACTCGCCTGGGGAAATTCGCCACGGATTCTGGCAACGTTCAACTACCTCATGAAGAATTTGTCCGACCGGTGAACAGGTTAATGAGCAATTTCTCCAACAAACATCTCAAGGAGATATGTGAAAAGACGTTTGGAGGTCCTGGCCTACCGGACTCACCATTGACACCACGATCAGGCCGTTCGAGGGCACAGATTTCCATTCCGATTGATGCTTCTCAGCAGAGCATGGGAGAGATGGAAGCAAACGCCTTCTTAACCACCGTCATGCCTCCTACATACGCGTCCATCATGTCAGTGCTCGTCGAAACTCGCAAGCGACTAGGATCAACCTGGCTGAACAACCTCCTTGCCAAAGAAGGTGGCCCTCGAATTCTGGACGCTGGTGCCGGTGGTGCTGGCATCATTGCTTGGCGGGAACTAGTACAGGCTCATTGGGATGTGATGCATGATTCTGATCGCAGCCCGCCCCCTCCGCCGGAATCCAAGTCGGTTGTGCTGACGGGTTCCGATACCCTTCGCCACAGAGCTGCCGCCTTGTTGGAAAACACCACGTTTGTACCACGACTACCAAACTACATCTACACCCGTGATACACCTACTTTGGAAGATGATCGTCCGGCGCAGCAACGGAAGCAGTTCGATGTCGTCATCGCCACACATTCGCTCTTTGGATTACAAGAAGACTACATGAAAAAGCAGCAAGTTGAAAATCTGTGGTCGATGACCAACCGTGAGGGCGGGGTGCTGATCTTGATTGAAAAAGGTGTTCCTCGTGGATTTGAAGCCATTGCTGGTGCTCGGGAGCTTCTTTTGGAAAGACACATCGCTGTTCCTGAAGGGAAGAAGACCGCATACAGCGATGAACATTTAAGTGATGATGCGCACATTCAAGAGCCCGGCATGATCATCGCACCTTGCACGAACCACGAAAAATGTCCCATGTATCGCGTCCAAGGACTTTCTCAAGGACGAAAAGACTTTTGCAGTTTTCAGCAGAGATATATCCGGCCAAACTATTTACAACGTGTGCTTGGGGCGCGAGATCGCAACCACGACGATGTGGATTTCTCGTATCTTTCTGTCTTGAGAGGCGATGATCTTCGCCGACGACAAGTTGACTCTTGGCAAGGCATCGCAGATGGACTTTCGGCACCTAGTCATCCTGACCCGAAGACCTTGGGAGAAGATCATAAGACGTGGATGCAACTGTGTCAATCAGGCTTCGAGGATATCAATCCCAGCACGGTATTGACGCAGTCGAACCCATTTACCGATGGCAAAGAGCGATCATCACTTCCTGCTACTTGGAATCTCCCACGTCTCGTGTTTCCGCCGATGAAGCGACGCGGTCATATCATCATGGATGTTTGTACACCGGCGGGTCAGATTGAGAGATGGACTGTGCCACGATCATTTAGCAAACAAGCATATCGTGATGCACGAAAATCACGATGGGGTGATCTGTGGGCGCTGGGAGCAAAGACACGCATCTCAAGGAGTTTGCGTCTCGGCGGTCCAGACTCCAAAGAAGCGAGACGTGCTCGCAACCGTAACCAGCGTCTGCAGGATCAAGCAGAGGAGCTGATGGAGAAAATGGAACAGGAAAAGATGGCAGAGATGCAAGAAGAGGAAGAGTTCGCTAGCGTGTTTGAGGAAGACCTTGTTGAGGATATCGAGTTGCCAATAGCTCGCACAGCCAAGACGCGCACGAGTAAACCTTCCACTGCCGGCTCCGTAGAGACGTTCTCCTTCGACGATATCAACGAAGGCGGCGAGAACCATGTTAGGCCTCCTCAAACACACGCCGCAAGGAAGGCAGCATCGAAGGCTCCGTCCAGCAAAAATGTGGAGGAAAAACCAGAGATCAGCGAAGATGATGATCTAAGTGACGATGACTGGGAGACTCTGGAACAGTGGGAGAAGGAGCTTTCGTCTGTGCATTCGCAGGGACGGAAGTCCAAGCGTCTGCGCACCTATTCTAAGTTCGCACCTCCAGGACAGAAGGATCGAGTTAGAAAAGATGGAAAGATTCGTCGCGCTGGAGGAGCAGCAATAGGAAGATAGATAGCCTTTGCTTCTACGTGAGTTTGTGCGGGATTTGGTCTTGTGGTAGTAATAGGCTTGAAGCGGGTGGATACATAATGAAGAGGATGTGCGAGATGTATAACATTGTACAATATGGGAAACTTGATAGTCATTCCCCTCTGGAAATGGAAAAGCCTCTCTGCCATTTGTGCGAATGAGCTTTTTACCGTCTATGAATTTCTCTATGATGGAGCTGACCGTTGGATCGCATTGTGCCGTCGCCGGCGGATCCAGGTAAACAATGCTGTATGTCCTGTGTATATTTTCACATGGAACACTATCCGACCGAGGTCCTCGTCAAGATCATCCGCACTAAGTGACGCATTTTAAGATCCATCGAGAACTTGGCTCGACAGTGATTGATCAGTGAGTGATAAAAATACGAAGTACGGAGTTGGTGGAGTTATTTAGTCGGCAATCTAAAGGGTCCATGCCCGATGAAAATCTCACGCTAACATGAAGATATCATACGATCCTAACATGTCCTCGACTGTGATTTTCCCTTACTGGACACCATCCGTACCAAAGAGTCAGAAGATTCAAACGCCCGTGCATTATGCATAAATTACTCGGAGCCGAGGATCTCATGGTTCTCGTTGTGGGGAGTTTGTTTGGATTTTGGCCAGACCGTATTATGTTCTGCGGCATTTGGCGGATTGACTATAAATTTACTCTTGTAGGACTGTGCTCCCCGATCTCATCTCATCATATACGGTAAGAAGTCTTTTTTTGTACAATGTGTGAGAACAAGTCGAAATAGAGAAATTCGCACGCGATTGTCATGCAGTCCAACGATGGCGTACACGCTGGATCGGAGCCAGACAACATTTCTGACTCCAAGCTCGACGATTCTCTCGGTGACTCGAATGTCGACGACGAGATGCACACAGATTTTGACCTGCGCTCCATCAGGTCAATGTCAAGCTCTGGGGACTATGAAGCCATTGTGGCAGCCGATCGTGCAGAGCTCACGCGGGTAGCAAGTGAGGCAAAGGTATACATCACCAACCACAGCACACCCACGCCGTCGAGGTAATCACCGCTGATTCATCCAATGCTTACAGCGAGGGGAAGTCCATGATCCTACATTGGACCCGTTTGATCCAGCCTTCGATGTGTACAGATGGGCCAGGATGATCCTTCGTGCAGCCGAGGGAGCCAGGGTCAAGTTTCGTCGGGCCTCGATCACTTTCAAGAACCTGAGTGTCACTGGTTCCGGTATTGCCATGAACCTTCAACCCACAGTCGCATCGTATCTTCTGGCTCCATTGCGTCTTCGAGAGTGGCTTCGCCTCGCAAAGAAGCCCCAACGAGATATTCTCAAGGAGTTTGACGGCCATGTGAACCCGGGAGAAATGCTGTTGGTCCTGGGACGTCCCGGAAGTGGTTGCTCAACACTCCTAAAGACATTGGCGGGAGAATTATTCGGTTTGAAGGTGGGAGAAGGCTCTGACATACATTATAGCGGTATGCGCCTCCCGTTCTTTCTGGGCTTTGCACGACAGTCTAACATAGCCACAGGAATTCCTCAACGCGAGATGATCAAACATTTCCGAGGGGAAATTGCATATAATGCAGAGATCGAAAGACATTTTCCACACCTGACGGTCAAGCAGACACTAGAGTTCGCCGCAGCCATGCGGACACCCCCGAATCCGCTCCTGGGAGAGTCGCGGACCGAGCATGTCTCGAGAATGGCCGCAGTTGCAATGGCGGTATGTGGCTTGACCCATGTTCAGAACACCCGAGTCGGTAATGAGTATGTTCGAGGCGTATCAGGAGGAGAAAGAAAGGTAACGATACTGTCTTTTCCTTTGCTCATGCGGGGATTCGCTAATCCGACTCAACAGCGTGTCAGTATTGCCGAGATGATATTGGCATTCTCGCCTGTTGGGTGCTGGGACAATAGCACCAGAGGCCTTGACTCTGCGACTGCCCTCTCGTTTATCCGCACTCTCAGACTTTCTGCTGATTTGACTGGATCTGCTCATGCCGTCGCCGCATATCAAGCATCTCAATCCATGTACGATACATTCGACAAGGTTGTCGTCTTATACGAGGGCAGAGAAGTCTTTTTCGGGCCAGTCAATGCTGCCAAGGAGTACTTTACGACCATGGGCTGGCTTTGTCCCGCCCGACAGACGACACCTGATTTCCTGACCTCCGTTAGCAACCCACAGGAGAGAAAGGCTCGCCCTGGATATGAAGAAAAGGTTCCGCGGACTGCGGCTGAATTCGAAAATTACTGGCAAAAGTCAGAACTCCGCAAGACACTTCTACAAGAAATTGCAACCCACGAAGAGAAGGTGCTAGACACCGATGCTGCTCATGAGTTCAAGGTGGCCCGTCGAGCAGTGCAGTCCCACCATGTCCCACCGAGTTCTCCTTACACGGTGTCCATCTTGTCACAGATCAATATCTGTACGAAGCGTGGCTTCCAGCGTCTTTGGAACGAAAAGGTGATACGACTCACCTTGGTCATCGGACAAGGCAGCATGGCACTGATCATCGGCTCCGCCTTTTTCGGCATGGTACAAGACACGAGCAGCTTTTTCGCCAAAAGTTCAGTCATCTTCTCTGCGGTCCTACTCAATGCCCTGGTTGCGGTTACGGAAATCAATCGGTTGTATGATCAACGGCCGATTGTCGAGAAGCAGGTTTCCTATGCGTAAGTGACTGTTCTCAATGGCACTGGTAAGGAGCGTACTAACCTTGGAAAGATTTTACCATCCGTTTACAGAGGCTCTGGCCACGGTGATAGCGGATCTACCGGTTCAAATACTGACGGCGGTAATTTTCAACGTCACTCTGTATTTCTTGGGAGGCCTCAGAAGGGAGGCTGCGCAGTTTTTCATCTTCTTCCTTTTCGCCTTTCTGACCAGACTGGCCATGACGGGACTTTTCAGGTCCATCGGTGCAGCCACCAAAACCATTTCCCAGGCACTCGCCATCGCCGCAGTGTTGGTGCTAGCGATTGTGATCTACACAGGTTTCACTATTCCACGACCTAACATGCATCCTTGGTTAAAATGGGTCAGCTGGATCAATCCTATAGCGTATTCGTTCGAATCCATGCTGGTCAACGAGTTCCATGGCCAACAATTTCCATGTGGCAGGTGAGCAAAAATGACTGTCTGACAGCCTATGTGCACTTGTGCTGACGACAAACAGCTATGTCCCGGCATACCCGCAGTTGGTCGGAGACACATTCATCTGCTCCGTTCCTGGATCCGTTGTCGGACAGTACACGGTGTCCGGCGACGCGTATATGCAGTCATCCTTCAAGTACAGCTACGACCATATTTGGAGGAATCTTGGGATCCTGATTGGCTTCCTGGCATTCTTCATGGTGACTTATCTGGGTATTACTGAGATCAACTCGAAATCTACGAGCAAGGGTGAAGTTTTATTGTTTCGTCGTGGACACGTACCCGCGTACATCGAGAATGGCCTCAGGAAATCAGACCAGGAATCATCCGGTACTGGAGCTCCAGTCTTGGAGAAGGACACCTCCGAAGAGAAAGATGTCCAAGCAATCGAACCACAGACGGCCATTTTCACGTGGCGCGACGTCAATTATGATATCCCCGTCAAGGAAGGCACCCGAAGGCTCCTTGATCACGTTTCTGGCTGGGTCAAACCGGGGACATTGACTGCGTTGATGGGTGTCTCGGGTGCAGGTAAAACGACTCTACTTGATGTGTTGGCTCAGCGTACGTCAATTGGAGTCATCACCGGCGACATTTTTGTGGATGGGAAGGCGTTGGATGCAAGTTTTCAAAGGAAAACAGGCAAGTATTTTCTATGATGTGATTGCTGTGTTCAGAGTCAGTAGTAGACTAACCCTGGAAAACACAGGCTACGTTCAACAACAAGACCTTCACTTGGAAACGTCGACTGTTCGGGAGGCATTACGTTTCAGTGCAGTTCTTCGCCAACCAAAGTCTGTCTCTCGAGAGGAGAAATACAAATACGTGGAAGAAGTGATCAAGGTAGACCTGTCTCGCTCCCCTTGGTTTTAGTATTCTTGCTGACACTCCCCCGAAGATGCTCAATATGGAAGACTTTGCCGAGGCGGTCGTGGGCGTACTGGGAGAAGGTCTCAACGTCGAACAACGCAAGCTCCTCACCATCGGCGTCGAGCTCGCGGCGAAGCCTGCACTGCTGTTCTTCCTGGATGAACCCACCAGCGGCCTCGATTCTCAATCGAGTTGGTCGATCCTTCGATTCCTACGCAAGTTGGCGGACCATGGCCAAGCCGTACTGTCGACGATCCATCAACCCAGTGCCATGCTTTTCCAAGAATTCGACCGACTCCTTTTCCTCACCACCGGCGGTCGACCAGTGTACTTTGGCGAAATCGGCTCCAATTCGGAAACGCTCGTCAACTATTTTGAGAAACACGGAGCCAGACATTGTAGCGAATCCGAGAATGTGGCCGAGTACATTCTGGAAATTGTCGGGCCCGAAGCTGCCGCTCAGGGCCACCTCGACTGGGTCGACATATGGAGGTCTAGCGACGAAAACAAGGCCATGCTTGAAGAACTAGACCGGATCAACATCGAGAGGAGCAATGCCACCGATCAGAACCAAACCCGGACCGTCGCGGGCAAAGACGACGACATCAGCCAATTTGCCATGCCTGTTCGAACCCAGATATATTACAACACCATCCGAGCCTTTCAACAATACTGGAGGACGCCAGGTTATATTTGGCACAAGTTGGCCTTGGGTATCGCGTCAGCGCTGTAAGTGACACGTCGTGATGTCTCTGTCATAAAGTTACTGGTCGGTAAGCAGTACAGCTGACATGGTTTCCCCAGGTTCATCGGATTCTCATTCTGGCAATCGAACAGTTCCCAACAAGGCCTACAAAACGTCTTGTTCAGTGTCTTCATGCTCACGGCCATCTTTACGGCCTTGATTCAACAAATCATTCCTCGTTTCGTCATTCAACGGTCCTTGTACGAGGTCCGAGAACGTCCATCCAAGACTTATTCTTTTGTCGCTTTCCTCCTGGCAAATGTCATAGTCGAGATCCCTTACCAGGCTCTTTTGGGTCTCATGGCATATGCTTCATATTTTTATTCGGTTTTTGGGTGAGTCTTGACATTTCCATCCGCGCCCTCCCCCCCTTTTCCTTTGGTCTATCGATCTACCTATAACCCTATTCTTGCATTGTATAGTATTGAATTGTGCTAACCTTTATGATCGTCTTGATTAGTATTCAATCATCCGAAAGACAAGGATTGGTCATGTTGTTTTGTATTCAATTTTTCGTCTACGCAAGCACATTTTCTCAAATGGTAATCGCCGCTTTACCGGACGCCGAAACCGCAGGTATCATTGCCACCCTGATGTTTGCAATGTGTGTTATTTTTAATGGGTGAGTGTTGACGTCTTTTTTTTCTCCACTTTTTCGGTGCTTCTCTTTTCTTTTTGTTCTTCTCGAACCCACGACTAACCACTTTTTATTTCTCAGTGTCCTGCAACCACCCGACGCCTTGCCAGGGTTCTGGATGTTCATGTACCGAGTCAGTCCTTTTACTTACATCATCGACGGGATCGTCGGGACGGCCTTGCACGGTCGACGGGTGGTTTGCGCGTCGAACGAATTGAGTGTCTTCGATCCACCGCCGAACATGACCTGCGGTCAATACTTGGAGCCGTACTTGGAAAGAGCACCGGGAACTCTGACGAACCCATCGGCCACCAGCGGCTGTTCTTATTGTCAGTTGACGGTGGCCGATCAGTATTTGGTCCCCCGAGGTATCGAGTGGTCCTTGCGGTGGCGAAACTTCGGTCTCGTTTGGGCCTATGTCGTTTTCGACCTGGTCATGATACCGATCTTGTATTACACCTTTCGTATGAAAAAGTGGGGTGGGAAGGTCTCCGTCGGCAAGGGTGGTGTACAACATCACAAACACCAACGCGAACACGAACACGAACAACAGGGACCGAAACAACAAGACCAAAAGCGAGAACGACGAGAAAAACCACCATTGCAAAATCAATTCTTCGGGTGGCTCAAGACGATGGGTAAATGGTGTCACACGATCGTGACGGGACGTGAACACAAGGTGCCTTTTCACAAACGTGCAGAGAATGCCAGGTTCTTGTGAGAAAACCCAACAACCACTGGGGCGGTTATGTAGATATTGTGTCTGGAGAATTTTAAACTTCCGAGTCCTTGAAAATGCGAATTCAAGTCACATTCTTCTTCGTTTTCCAACTTCAAAGGTCGATACCCTGACCTTGGCGCAGGTGATCAGACAATCCAAACCAACTACATATATATACATATATACATGGTGTAAATTCAGTCGAGTTTCCTCCTAGCGAATTCAAGATCAGAGAGAATGTTTCATTCTATACACATGTGTAATGGAATTCGTCTAGACAAGAAGGAAAAGAAATGTGTGTGTGTGTGTGTGTGTGAGAAGGAGAAGAAAGAAATATAAGAAAAAAGGAGTCGAGACTCGAGAGAGACATTAGAATAGAAAACCAAAAATAAGAAAAATAAAAAAAGGGGGGTGTTGTGGTGTAGCACACAAAACAAACCCCAACAAAACCAAACAGATAAACGAAAATACAATAGGGGGTATTATCTGGCCAGCAAGCAACAATTGACAGTGACAGTGACAATGACAGACTGTTTTGAAAAACCAAAACATCGAAAAAAGATCAACGCTTGCCAATCCATGCCCATGCACAAAAATCAGACTACACAAATTTCTTTCCACTATTCAATTTTCTGGCTTCTCCTTCTCCTTTTCCATTTCCTCCTCAAGTTCACGCTTGCTCCAACAGTCAGAGCTGGTCATTAATGTAAATTGCCGTGCGGTTTTGGTTGAAAAATTTGGGACTTGACATCCGAGTGAACCCGCAATTCTGTTCACAGACATTGTTCCGTACAAGTCCGCTTAATCTGCAGAAGTCACAGGTTCATTCTCGTCCTGAAATCTTCGTGCCGTCATATCTTTGCCATCAAGAGGTGATGCGTCTTCGTCAACATCATCCGTAAGGTCAAGACTAGGTCGCTTCGGTTGGGTGGGTGTATGTGGTGATTCGGCTCTGAGAGGTCGAGGTTCGGATTGCGAACTATCAACTCGCTTGTCTGAATGTCTACTTGAGAGTGCTCGTGGTTGTGAGCTATAACCTCTCAATGGTCGTGCTTCTGAACTCGTCTTTCGAGCTGCCGCTGCCGCTGCTGCGAGTGGTCTCGCGCTTGGAGGAGGCATATCCCCAGACCCTGTTGCTTTCTGAGCGGTGCCTGGTGGCGTAATGATGCCTGAGAGAAAGCTGTTCGGACTTCCGCTGGTCGACCTCGTGGGTGTTTGAGTGCCCAGATTGGTGGCCAGATCAGACAATGCTCCGATTGAGGTATCACGAGCCCTACGCCAGTTGCCCCACGCCGCCGCCGCTGCCATTGGTAATGCTCGGGGCGACTGGGCATAGCTGGTCAGGGTTGAGATTGACGGGAAAGAACTTGATAGGCCGGCAGATGCGCGTTCTCTCAGCTGTTGTTCCATTTGTAGATTTGCCTTCAACCTGATCGCAGCATCCTTAACTGTCTCTCGATCAAAATCAGGCTGGGAAACAGAATGGATAATTTCTTCCAGATCATCCATGCGCACGCTGAGCAACTCTCGAAGCCAGCCAATCTCGGTCTCACGCTCTTTCAACTTGTTCGGTGCATCTTTGTCCACGGCGGTGAGTTCAGCTTCTAGGCTTTCAATCTTTTGCTCACGATTTTGCAATTGATCCTGCAAGACCATGATGGACTCGCGCAGGGCTTGTGGAGAGATCTTTTCGGGAACCTCGGTCCCTTTGACAAACGAGATCGAAGCACTTGTAGCACGTTGTGGTGGAGACGCAACGACTGAAGACGCCGGGGTCGGTAGGTTGACACCTTTGGCAGTAGCGGCTTCAACTGCAGCACGAGCTGCGGATTTAGTAATCTCCAATCTTTCTTCAAGATCAGTGATCTTGCCTTCTAGATGTTTCACCTTATCTTCGGACAAGCTGAGTTTCTCATTGAAATGGTGTTCAAGCCTCGTTCTGTTGTCGAACGAGTTGTGCAGCTCGCGAGTATGGCGATCGCGAAGATCATTCAGTTTCTTCTCATGAGCCTGATGTTGGTCTTCCAGAGCGCTTTCTCTCTTTTCATTTGCTTCGCGGATTGCCTCTTTGTGCGCTTCCACAGTTTCTGAAAGAAGAGCATCATGCTTAGCTTTTTGATCCTCAATATCAAGCTCTGCATGATCAAGGCGACTCTGCAGTCGTGAGATTTGAGCCTCCGAATCTGTCTTGATGCTCTGAAGTTGTCCACGCGCACTTTCCAATTCAGCCTGCAACTTCACTGTTGCCGTTGCCAGTTCTGAATCTTTGGTGTTGATTATGTTGGTCAATTCCCGATCAAGGTTGAAAGCTTTGATATCCAGGGCCCGGTTTTCTTCTCGAAGAGTCGCGACAAGCTCGTTCAATCTGGTCACATCTAATTGAGTTTGCTCCAGAAGAGGCTTGACTTGAAGATTGGCTCGAAGTTCCTTGTCCATGGCATGAAGCTCTTCTTCGGTCTTTTCACGATGCCGGCGTTCGAGATCAACCTGGTGTTGGACCTGGGTAAGTCTTCCGAGAAGCTCATGTTCCTTACGACGCCAGTCCGCTTGCTCCGCATGCAGGTCTTCGACGGCTTGAGTCATTTGTGACTGCAGACGTTCAATTTTGTTTCTTAGAGACTGCCGAGAATGAGATTGATCATCGAAGTGTTGCTGCAACTCTTGGAAGGCGTGCTTGAGCTCCTTGTTCTTTTCTCGTTCGGAACGAATATCTTCTCGCCATTGATCACTTGAGACACGATATTCTTCAAGCGTGCTCTCAAGGGCAGTGTTCCTAAGACCCAGCGCTTCGACTTCTTCCTGCGCTTTCTCATACGACTTCTTTTCCTCGAGATAAGCCACTAGCGTCTGTTGAGCTTCTTCGGATGATTCCCGGTGCTGCGCGGCTTCTTCTTCTGCAATACGCAAGCGAACCTTCAGCTCTGCAACTTGCTCCTCTGCCTTTCGGCGAAGTTGAACCTCCTCAGCAGCATGCTCTTTCGACATCTGCAGCATAGACTCGAGGCCATCAATCTGAGGTTTGTACTTTTGCTCCGTAGACTCGTGCTCCTGCTGAACACGCGAGCCGCGTAGGCGAGGGTGATGAGAAATTACTTCCTCTACAATTGTTTTGAGCTGATTTTGTGTATTTTGAGATCCTGCTTGTTGCGCCATCTCTCTCATCTCTTGGACAATTGCGTTGAGCTCGGCAACATTGATTAACTGTTGAGGTGGCTGGGCTGGCTGGTATGCGGCAAGAGCTTCAGCAACAGCAGCACGAATCTTGGATTGTCTGCGCTCATTCCTTCTTGCGACAGGAGATTTCGATCTGTAGGCCGCAAAGCCCTCGAATGCGTCATAGTCGTCCTCATCATCAGCGTCGGAATGTTTGAGGTCTGTAGAGACACTACGGCCACTGCTCTTGGGCCTTACTCCTCCTGCCATGAAAGTGAGAGATTCTTGAATGGTATGAAGAGTTCGTTCAAGCGGGCCTAGACGATTCTCGAGAATGCCATCCACTAAGTCGTTCACATGTCCGTCGAAGAACTGAGATCGCAGTTGCAGTTTTGCGGCTTCTGGAGCTGACATTGTATCTTCCCAGTCACTCACGTCTTCTCTGCCTGTATTCAGTTTGTGGACTCCAATGCCCAAACCGATTGATGGTGCTGCATGGGAGGCATCATTGTGAGCCGAATGCTCCTGAGGTCGTGGTGGGCTGGGGCTGGGAGCATCACTTCGGAAATTATCTCCCAGGCGCATGTCAACCAGTGGTGTAGATTGAATAGGTGTGTCGTTACGCTCAATGCCGAGCTCTGGGTATACCTCAAACTGCTTCATAACAGCATCAATTTCCTCAAACGAAGGCAAAGGATCATCGTGGTGGCGCAATGTCAATCGAGGCATATCAAGCTCAATTTCGTCATGATACGGCTGCTCATGCTTTTCAGCGGGTCCTTCTTCTGTCACTTCAACCGTTTCGGCCTCGTAGGCGTCCAGATTGGAGCTTCGCTCTCCTTTCTGCGACTCGATTTCTTCGTCGGTCGATGGCTCTTCAATGACCTCCACGATTTCCTCCTTGTCGCTTAGTGAATCGTTGTCTTTCTCGACATAATGGTACAAATCCGCCGGAGGTGAAGACAGGCTTGCAGTAAGGTCAGCAGAAGATTGAGGAGGGCTTGATGATACTGCGTATTTCGAGGCCTCCAATCCTCTCGGCTTCGGCCTAGCTGGGGTCTTTGCAGCCGACGAGGTATACGGGCTAGACGAAAGAGGTTTATATTCAAATGGTTTTGCGAGTGCTGACAAGGAAGATTTAGGCTTCCGGATGGGTGGTCTTGTTGACTTTTCAACTTTCGTAGGCGTAGCTGGTTCATCTTTTACCTCATCTTTCATCTGCTGTTCAATAGAGTGCACAGGTTTCTCGGGCTGCGTATCGAAAGCAGGTCGAGCTTCATTGAATTTGGCAACATCTTCTTGATTCTTCATGGTGAACTCCTGGTCGGTCTCTTGACTAGCATCCATGTCTTCTTCAGGCAATGGTGCGTCCAGGGAGGTCTCCAATGGGGTTTCATCGGCAGGAATGTAAGACCAGCCATCCGATGGTTTCTTCGGGCTCTCTGGTGGTGGTCCATTTTGATCGATATCGTCAACAATTTGTGACAAAATTCTCTCGTGGTGGAAAGGTGCCGACTGAGCGTATACCGGGCTCTTATCCCCATCGCTGTCAGTTCGACGAGCCCTCTTTTGTCGGTCGCTAGGCGCCATAGGCCGGCCAGAGTCATCTATCTCATCCTCGTATTCACTTGTGAGTGGACTTTGGTCTTGTGTTTCCTTATGCTTAGGAGCTTGGATAGGAATAGGTTTGCCTGCCCTCCTCGTCACCTTTGATGTTGGATCAATGACCACGTTACCAAAGATACTGTTTGTGATATCAGTATTTGTGACTGCAGGAGTGCCTTCTTCAGCCCGGAAATTCGTCCTTGGTGAGCTTGACGGATTGAAGACAGGCGCTTCTACGTTGAAGGTGGCAGAACTAAACCTAAACTGTGTCTCCTTTGGGGTCTTTTGCGATGTGAGGGAAGGCGTAAAGGCCGGAGCATCCGCATTCAGCGATAAGCGATTTTTGACTGAAGATTTTCGCGACACCGGGGCTTGTGGTGACTGGGAGAAAGCAAATGGTTTGAAATCGCTACTATCCCCGAATGCAAAGTTCGAACTTGAGAATCCAGCCTGTGGATCAAACTCTTTCGCCTGCACATTAAGCTTCGACGTTGATGAAGTGGATTCCAGGGCTGGTTTTGATTCTGCTTTTGCTGCGTCGCTCAATGCCTGCCAATTCACGAATGGATTTTTGTCTTCCAGCAGCATTGGAGTCGCTGCAATGCTTGGGTTGGTTTCGATCTCAGATCGTTCATCTGCGGCAGACATAGTCTCCGGTCTTCTTAGAATGGGGGGCTCATCGTCTATCATGGAGCTTTTCCTGGATGAAAGTTGCACACTTTCTGCCTGCTCGCCGGTGGTGGTAGCGCCACGCGCGCGAGATGCTGCCTCTGCCTCATCGACACCTCGTTGCAGAGCCATGCTGAGGTTATGCCGATGGCTCTTTGGCGTAGGGTGGGCAATCTCAATAGGAGGCGGCGAAGGCACCCGATTCTCTGGTGTACGTACGTGGATATCGGTATGCTGAGGGACGGCTGAGCCAAGGGTCTGCTGATGGCGATGGCCACGGCTTACGTTGCTGTCTGGCGACACTGGGCCATAACGTTTGGAGTCAGGTACAAAGTTCACTCTCTGGCCAGGACCGTGTTGTGGTTGAGGAGACAAAACCTCGCCCAAGTTTGGCAACGGCAAGGGATGATTCGGTGAGAAGCTGTTTTGCCGTGAGGATAGTAGTGGCACATTTGATCGAGAGCCGTGTCCAAACGAGCTTGCTTGGGATATAGACCCGTCGAATGGTGATGTAATTCGCCCATAGGCATTCTGAGGTACGACGGATGCCTTGTACCCATGTCCCTGCAAAGGTCTTGGCATAGCAGCGTATTGAGAAGAGGTCATAGATCCAGGTTGTGGGCTGATTCCCGCAGACGACATCAAAGACGGAGAAAAGGGGTTGCTCGTCGCCCGAAGAGGATTGCTTGCCGATGAAGACGACAAGACGGGCGGCGAAGGCGCCAACGCTGGATATCCGGATGAAACTCGACTCAAACTTGTCGAAAAGGGCGACTTGGTCGATGGAGGTGCCTCCGAGTTACTTGGACTCACACCCAGTGCGCGAAGTTTCTCCTCCTTGAGAAAGCTGACAAAAGCGTTCCATTCGTCCTGGTCTGGGATACGAACTTGGTATTTGCGCATTGTTCGTTCGGTTCGCATATCTGCTGGATCTGGATACACCGGTCGGCTCTGCCCACTAGAATTCGATGGCAGTCCATCCGCAATATCGGTGAGCTCAAAGCCATTCACATCGTAGCCTGCTTTCGCCCACCCCTCAACGCGTTCCTTGATGTCTTGTGGTGTGAGTAGAGGCGGGAGACCAGCAGCTTCGCGGTCCGTGAGCGGTAATGCGATGATGCAGGTCTTACCCTTCCACACCACCTTTTTCTTGGGCCGCTGATATGACTGCATGGAAGTGACTCGAAGTCGCTGCTGTTCCGAGGTTGGGCTGGCCATCGCTTTCTGCTCCTCTCCAGGCGCAATGGGTCGTGATGGTGGGTCAGGAAGAGGCTTTTCCCCTGTTCCGGTGCTCTCTGATTCCAGTTCCGCCATAATGTCCTCGACGGCAGGAGACAGTAGTCGCCGCGAAAAGCCTGGTACTCCTAACTCAGGTTGAGGACCATGAGAAGTACCCGGGGTCACCGTCGCAAGACTCTCACTGAACTGGTGTCGTTGCGGGCGCCGGCTGATATCGTCAGGCGATATGCCCCAATGGTCTAGGTATGCCCGACGGGTAGGTGTTCTCTCTCCTTCTTTTGCAGTTATCTCGGAACCACTGTCCTCTGACTCGCTCAGCCAATTGGGTCTCTCGGAAAGCGGGTTCAACACCTTCTTCTTCACCTGCCTTCTCTTTCCACTTGAGTCGAGACCTCGAGGTCGGGCCTCTGGGCTGTCGATGCAAATTCGCGTCGAGAGAGGGCTAGAGAGTCGGACAAAAGAAGCTGATGCAGGATGGTCTTCGATGTCGCTCCGCTGAGCCGACCAGTCCGTGGGACGAGGGCGTCTTCGAGGACTCGGCGTAGCGTAGGGTGAGCCCCAGGCGGCTGCGTAGTATGCACCACTCTCGGCTCGCTGGCGATGAAATTCAGGAGACTGAGAAGGCTCTCGTAGATGGCGATCGCGATGCAGACTCGGCAAAGGAGGTAGCGTGAAGGGCGAGACCCAGTCACTTGCTGAAGGAGTGGACGAAAGACTCGGGGCCTTCAAGGACTGGGCGAGATTTTCGTCGTACTCTGGGATGTCGATGGCGGTGTGACCACGAGGAGGAGAAGAGAAAGTGTGCAGTCCGATCTGGTCGAGGTTCATGAACGGTGAGAGCCACGAGCTGTGAGATGTCGTTGACCCGGAGTGCTAGAGATGACGTCCGCAGCGGTGGAACTGATTGTGACACACGAGGCTTTGATGTCTGGCAGCAGCGCCATTGACAGAGAGCGGAATCGAGTTCAAGGTGCGTGTAAACCGCGTACAAAATACGGAGTAGCGTGTAGAGATGTGGAAGATTGAAGGTGTCAAAATTCAGAGACCTGGCGGAGGGAAATCAAGATTGGTACGCGACACGTATCCGAGGTCGTGGTTGGCCAGGAGGGTGATTAGGTGTAGACACTACACCGTAGAGGGACTAGAGGCTCAACCTAGGCTGACTAGGCCCGGTGCGTGCAAAGGCCACGGTGCCGGGAAGGTAAAAGACAGGGGCCTCGGGGGCCACAACCAACGCCCAAGAGGCCCACGAGCCAAGCAGCAGCGACGCCCAGCGGCCACTACGCCCAAACCGAGAAATTCTCCGATCTCTTTCAGGGTTCGTGCACGCCTTCTTCGATTCTTCTACGAGAGCACGACACCACATCCCTGCATCCGTGCGAGTACCGAAAACCGAGAATAGTGCGCCTGCGCCCTCGTTATGTTAAATTATCTTTGGGGAAAGAGAAAGAGGGGGGAAAGGGAGAAAATTGAAGATTCGTGATTAGCTTCATATACGTGTCACCATCATTTGGTACTGTTTAGATGTCGCGCTCCCTCTCGCCGAATAGGTGTAATATGTACTCCGTAGTACTCCGTGCCCAGATTGGACCTTGCTAAGCACCACATGACCACCATACTCTATTACGTCTTGAGCTGTCCATTGCCGTCGTTTACGCTCACGTACGCCCTAACATTTTTGATAGACTCAATGGTCAACAGAAAGCTCACAACCGTTTCAACGCCAAACACAGATGCATCGCTCGTTTCGCTGCTGTTATGTTTGCCCATAACTCCGCGCTAATCGTCTCAGTCAATCGCTTCAGAACGCAACAGCCTCCCGATGTATCGCAAAATTCTTCCAGGTCGTATCAATCGCCTTGGTGGCTTCCATAAGTACCTGTCGGTTGTCGTAATCGACATTCTTCTTAATCTCGTGAAATCGTTGTGTTTCAGGAACAGCCTCTCCGGCCAACAGTCCCTCCTCTTCAAGTTCCATGATGCGGGACGCTAGTACAGCCATGATGGGACCCTCCCAAACGCCTTCTTTGCCAGCCCGTTTTAGCTGCACGATCGCTCGACGCCGAAGGTCCCAGTCTCGACACTTGCACGCGACGAAAAATAGGGGATGTATGATGCCGAGTTCCATGGTGAATGGTGTAAGCTCCATCTCCAATGGCTCAGCTTCCGGCATGCCAAGAGCTTCAGTCATTTGTTCGACCTTGGACACCATATCTTCAAAGTCATCTCTAAAAGTGTCGAATATGCTCTCAGGCCCGCAATCGATACAGACCTTGAGCATGATAACTGCAGTTTTGATCTGCAGCCTCATTCCCAGCAGACTCTTGATCTCGCTATTGGTCAATCGTGGGCTGTTGGATGTAAAGAAGTCTTCCAATGCCGTCATCCAGGTATCGAAAGTCTTGACTGCTTCCTGGGTCTGTGTCCGCCATTCTGTAGGCACCGAGTCTGCATCCCAGTACCGATACATTCGGAGATCGGACTTGACAAGTTGGTATACGGATACCAGCAGGTTGTCCAGGTGATAACGAACTTGACTCAGCGTCATATCAGTAGGCAGCACCCGAGGCAATGTGATATGGGTAGACAGGCGTTCGGCGCGGTCCTTGGAGAAGGTGCAGGCCTGGATGTCATAGCGAGCAAAGACTCGTAGCAACTCGTCGACTTCATTTTCTGGGATTTCTCGGAATGTTGCTTGTGAGTCGGACGTCACCAGTGAGGCATCGTCGCTCTTGGGGAGGTTCATTTGGCGGAACAACTCTCTCATGCCTTGTTGATAATGAATTACTGCAGCCATGTTATTGCGACGGAGTACCTCGAAGCAGGCGAATAATATACTGGCGACGATGGCGAGCTTGGCATTGAGTTTCGAGGGCTCGTTCAGTCTTTGATTAAGCTGCCGAAGGGCACCGCCGTAGAGAGACAAGGCGTGACGGTAACTGTTGTCCTCTATCAACTGGGGCGAATACCTGCCACTCCGGTCCTGATAGTCCTCATGGAGCGTGCCCAGTGCGATGATGGCGTTGCGGACGATGGGCTCCTCCAGACCCACCTTCAATACGAGGTTGGTCCAGAATCCGGCTTCAGAGCCACCAGCAAAGGCGGGCACTGTACAGTATTGGAAGCGATGGAAGATACGACGCTCCTGCGTGTTGCCTTGAAACGGTTTGGAGATGGAGTCAGGTTGAAATAGATGTTGAATCACTCCGTAAGAACGGGACGGTGGCGATGATGTGGATGGTGATGATGATTTTTCCGAAGTCTCTTTGGGGAACTCGTACCCGTCACATTTACGACCAGTGGAGGTACATCGCTTACCTGCGAGACACGTGAGCATCGTACGTACACCAGCAGTGGCGATGACAGCTGCCCGAAGACCAACTTACAGCTCGGTTTGGTTTCATCGCACTTCACACGCCGTATCTGCACAAACAGACGGGTCAGTGACAGAACTTTGGGTCCATTTCAGCCATCCACAATTTAAAAAAGACTTGGAGTCAGGTCGCCCGTGGCTGAATAAAGTCTGGATACGAAGCGAGTGGAGGTATATGTCTGAGTGGAGTACAGTCCATATTGAACGTACCTTGCACGTTTTGCAACCTGTCCGTACTTTTGGTTTGCTAGCTCGTTTCCGGCGTGCCAAGACAGACAAGGTGGAAGCGGCTGGCTCCTGGTAGGGAAAAGCTCCATTGGTCGAGTTGGTGATATTGACCGGCAGAAGGCTGTGGGAAGAGTCAATCGTATCTTGCAGATAGTAATGTGGACCAACAGGCCCTGTGTGAATGGGCACTGTGAAGGGCCGACCTTGCGGCCACATGACCATAGAACTGACAATGGGTGGCAAAGGAGTGGTGTCAAAAGTACGGCGAGATCCTTGGGTCGAATCCAGTTCCGGAACCGTCCAAGTGTCAAGGAGAAGCAGGTTCAGTGATAGCCGGGTCTTAGTGAGAGGCCGGACAGTTGTTGGGTAGGAGGCTCATGCAGGAACAGACTCAGATTGTAGTGGGAAGATGAGAAGCAAATTTTGTTACGAGGAACCCAATGTCAGCGGTGGTTATTGTACGTATATACCAATGAAGTAGGCCAGTTAGCTGTAAATGTCAATGCCGAACTTCTGCAGGTCTTTTGCTTGAGTCAAAGTACCTCATACCAAGCAAAGGGTGCCGTGAGGCTCGGTGAGCTTTCAGCTGTGCACCAGGCTGAGTGCAAAGCCTGGAGGGGCGGTAATGGTCAGCGATGAGAGCCCCCGGACGAGGTCAGTGATAGGCCGCCCTCACGCCTGGACCATGCTTGAATGCCAAAGACTTAGGCGGAGACAGTTAGCGATCGCGGGCGCCGGAGGTGTCAAATGTAAACTGGGCCGGAGAGTGGGGGATGAAATAGGCTGTTGGGATGCCTGAGTCGGCCAATGTTTGGGATTTTGGCGGGCTTCTCAAGACCAAAGTTAAGAAGCGTACGGAGTACGATGCAAGAACAAAAGGACCAGCAGTGCAGATGGAAAAGACTGGGAAACGGTGAGAAATGGCGGTGCTGGTCAGCATCTTCGCCTGGGAAAAGTCGCTAAGCCGAATGGAGCTGCCGACTCCCTGCATCGAGAGGCTGAGATTGATTGGCTCGTTCGTACTCGTACTCGCACTGTGTCCCACGGCACCCCAAGCTTGTGCGTTACGAAGGCTTGATTCAAATTCTGACTAGGTAGTCTTGGTGGCGCAGGATCTGAACACAGCAAAGGGAGCAAGAATACGGACTGTACATTATTTCCTGCTTCATTTGAGGCACGTTGCTCTCCAGCTAAGCGACGTAATTCGGTGATGTCCTGCTTTATACCGTGAGCCCTAGCTGATCGAATCTTGTCTCCCGTTTCCACAATCTCCTTGGTGACAGAGAGAGTGAAGCCTTTTTCAAGCTTATGATTATCAGCTGGGATGACTCTCGCTGGTATCCTGCCTCCTGGGAATACTGCGTCATATTCACCTCCCTCCGCTGGCATTATAACTTGGCCATCTGAGATTGTCGCACTAATATGATACAGCTCAATCTAGTCTTCTAGAGGTCTCTGTCCTTTTAGTGCACTCAATAAATCTAACTCGCGGGCCTCGAGAGTTATAAAGTGTTCATGAGCGCATACTCTAAAATGCGTGTGATTGCACTAGTCTCGAGAGCACACTCACTCCTAAACTACACTCGATCTGCTAACTCTTCACTATGCGTGCACAAAGACACATATCCATTAATATCCGTTGCACGAGAGCTGGAATTTCATCCTCTCCAAACAGTCATGTGTGAGTTTTCCCATATGCATATTCACAGTTAGTACTTTGTTCAGCCTCGTGTTCGGTTGATGCAGCCTCGCACGTGTGCTCAAGTTCAGCCTGATGCGCCGACGGCGGGGAAACTGCGGCACGGTCTGAAGCGCGCAAAGCCATCAATGTTGCCGATTCACGCGTCTACTGCCCAAGAGGTTCAAAACAAAAAAAGTTGTATCAAAATAAAGAGAAGCATCCATTATGGTCAGCACTCCCTCTTTCAGTCTGTCAAATCTCACCACTAACCATCTCAGGCCGCTTCATTCAGACGTCTTGCGAAGGACCATGCCCAATTGCAATCCGCTCTCCCTCCAAACTATCTCCTCCTCGAGGCCGACGATCCTCGATCGCTTGCCGATGACCTGACACAATTGAATGTACTCATAACTGGTGCCGAAGGAACGCCTTACTCACAAGGGTTATGGCTTCTACACCTTAGGGCACCCCTCGACTACCCGAAATCCCCGCCCAAGGCGACGTTCAAAACAAGAATCTACCATCCAAACATTGAGGAATCTACAGGCGCCGTGTGTCTAGAGACACTGAAACGAGACTGGAAGAGCAGTCTGACATTGAAGGATATTCTTGTCACCATCTCGTGTTTGTTGATCCAGCCAAATCCAGATTCAGCGCTGAATGCTGCTGCTGGAGCCCTGATCCAGGAAAACTACGACGCTTTCGCGGCGCAAGCCAAATTGATGACAAGCATCCACGCACCAATACCACGACAACTAGCCAAAGCCGTGGTGGAGGCAAAGAGAAGAGGAGAGGAGAACACCGAAGATGGCTCGACAAAAACTAGCAACAGTGATGCCAAAGCGAATCAGACCCTCGAGGACAATACCAAAGAAAATGAGTCCAGTCACGACAAGAAGATTAGCAGCAGAATCAAACGTCCTTTGTGTGAAATTTCAAGCACTGAAGGATTAGATACGCAGGACTCACAGAATGACGAGGTGGCTGAGACTGGGCCGATTAGAAAGTCTCCTCGTCTACTACGGCCTGGAACGTCGAATACAGAGGACATTTCGAGTGCATTATCTACGCAGGAGGATGGTCTTGATGAAGAAGACAAGGAGAACATGGGCGTTGTGACGGACAAAGCCACCAAACGAGCAGTTCTGCCTCAAGCAACGGTACCCCCGAAAGGGTCCACGCTACGGAAGGTCTCGAACATTGGGGGAACAAGAAAAGGGCTTCCACGGGTGGGTATTCGCAGATTATAAGCATATCGACCCTCCGTCTTGACGGCACCTGCCGGAATTTGTTCTACTTTTTCAGTCGAAGCGTTCGAGCGAATTTTGCCAGTATGTACCGAATACGAGTGGGCTATGGTAGGCCTTTAGGAATGCCCGCGCATGCCAGAGGATCGGTGTGAAGGCGCAAATTCGGAGCAGACATTATCGAGGGAAGCTGATATGAAAATTCTGCCTTCGAGTACAGGACATGTGACGACCGAGACTGAGCCGGAGTTCGTCGCTTCGATTGCGTGCTTGTCGATCCGATATGAATTATTCATATGAGAGGCGAGAACCCGCTTTACTGGGGAACATCTGACTAGATCTCTGCACCGAGACTCCGTTTGTCGCGGTCCGCATCCCATTTTCTGTATAGACGATGGAGCTGAATGGAGATTTCCCGTGACCAGTTTAATGGGACTCGGGGCGCACATCAGCACTGACCAACATGGACCATATTTTGCTCCAGAAGACCGATAAATGCCGTCCTAATTTGACTTGGTCCTGCCGATAGAAGCGGCTTCCCTGCAGGGTCGGCAATAATGCGCGCAGTGTCAATTTCTTCCTCGGCTTTGACTCCAATCTCGAGCGCAACCTGATTCCGGAAAAACTGGGCCACTGCAGCCGTGTATAAGTATTTGCACAGTGCTGACCGCACATTTTCTGAACGAACGCCTTTATTAACCCTACCCAGTCTCGTCTGCTTCAGTTCAAAGGATAGACCTCTCTCCTATACCTCGGAAACCCAAAAAACCCCTCGTTCTGCCCCCAAAAACCACATATCACACCGAAACCATGTCATTCCAAGGCACCCCTGCACACACGCGACCAAGCGCCACAAGGACTAACACCAGTTCGTCGGTCATGACCGTCAGCACGGTCTGCACCACCCCGATTGACGAAATGCGCAACTTTGGCGACAGCTGGTTTGAGAGCCAAGCCGTTTCCGTCGCCGAATACTACAAGCAAAAGGAGCTGAGGAAGAATCCCGCGCCTGCCCTCAAGGGCTACGGCGAGGCTCACTTTGAGGACTTTGCCGCCCAGTACGAGGCCTACCAGGCCAAGCGTGCTGCCGCGTGACTAGCACGGTCTTTCGAATCGATCGAACGAAACCTCAATGAGCAATTCCGTTCTCGATTATGAGTGGTGGGAGGAAAGAATTGATCTGGATGCATGAATGTAGCACCCAAGAACGAAACATTTGCGCGGGGGCCCGGTTACGGCACTATTATTATACAACATGAAAGGGTTTTCGTATCGCAAGCGGTGGACACATTTATTCACATTCCGGCAATTCGAAGATTTCAACACCCGGGGGGAGGCGTTTCAAGTCGATATCATCATCTGAGCGGACGATATTGTGTTCAGATCACAGCCTGGATCCGGATTTTTCTTTGGTCTCTTTTTCTTAATACTTTGCATAGAACTATGACATGAGGTTTTCGAGGTTGGGTACACATATGTGGATGGAAGGGTTGACTACTTTAGAACTTTGGTCTAGAAGTGACGGACGGGATGATTTATATGTTTGATAATATGCAGGATATGTTTAGCTGCGGATCAGATTTACTGAGTAGAGAGGAACGAGATTAATACATGATATGATCAAGCAGACAAAAATCTTTTCTTTTCTTTTCTGACTAGCTCACCACAGCAAAGGGAACATGCATTTCTCGGTATCACGAGGATGGAGGTGTTATGTTTTGTGGATAGGAAATCCGGACTTGTGAAACTCTTGTGTCATTCATTGCCCCAGTATCGAGTCGTGGCTTCTGTCGCACAGAGTACCGGATGTACTGTTGTTTTGTGTGGGACAATATTCCACGCGTACAGTGTGGCTGGCCGAGACATATCAAAACAGTTACGAAGGATGGAGTAACACAGTAAAAACACCGACGATGGACCGCGTAAGGTGTTTTCGTTGCCTGATGGTGGGGTTTGACGATGGAGGGAAAAAATAGATCTTGTGGCTTTGTTGTTCTATTTTCCTTCGCGAACACGTCGCCTGAGTCTTCTCGGCAATCAGGGGTTGTTGGCGTGTGCGGTAGGGTTCATGCAAGGGGGGTGGGAAAAAAAGAAGGGAATTCTGTCCCTGGGTAGGGAACCCCTAGTACCGCTATTTCTGCTGTCCCTCGAGATCTGAAACCAGGGGGGGGAGGTAACCTTGTCCATTATTCCGCACAAACCCCCATCCCAGCGACTTTCATTCGAATCATTTCAAGCCCAGCCTCGTCAAGGTATCCACAAGGTATCCACAGATGTCACACCCAGCCACTCACACGCCGCCGTTGGTCTGTTGCTCCGCGCGTCCATGCAGGAATTTTTCCCGCAAACACTGGAAAAAAACACACATTCCACCACCCTCGCTTTCGCCGCCACCGCCAAAAAAAAAGGCGGTTGGCCAGAAGGGGGTTGGCGTTACTTCTTCTGGAACTCCCTACAATTCTTGTATACTGGGATGGTTGGGGAGAAGACGACGCATAGGGCATCAAGGGGGTTTGTTGGTGATATATAGATGTCTACTCTGTTCCAAACATATTCACATTGCTGTTTTCCAAAACTTTGATCATCATTCTATCCATCTCATCTTTCAAGTACCGAGAGATACTTCCTGTACCCGACCATCTTGAACGAAAACAGCCTTTTTATTTGCCGCATTTCGCCACCAGGAGATAAAAAACAAGAATCCCAACGCGTGAACGGACTTCTTGTAACGTAGCATCGGTACCATCGACAAGACCACGACAGCTACAATACTCCGACTTTCAATTTTCGAGTCTTTTTGGTTCTTTACAGAGTAAAAGAACCTCGAGATCAACAAGAAAAGAATCTCGGTCTCTGCCCCTTTCTCAGTGCAACCCTTTTCGCCATCAACCACCACCACCAAACAACAAATCAAATCAAATCACGATGCGCTCATTCGTGTCTCTCTCCTTTGGCGTTGCCATCATTTCATCTCTTTCCACGATGGTCATCGCCAGTCCGGCGCCCATGCCCCAAGAAGGAGGATCACCAGAGACTTCGACCGTGCCGGGTGTATCACAAATCTCAGACGGTCAGATCCAAGCAACCGCAACCACCATGTCTTCTTACGAGAACCCTTTCACCATGTACACGACAGAGACCAACTCTTTGGGGGTCATCACGGGTATGCCGTCGGTGGTGACGTCTCAACCGTCGGTGGTGACGAGCCAGCCTGCCTCGCCTACCCTGCCGAGTTACTCGGGCTACGTCTACGCCAACAGCACCTCGGCATCATCCCAAACGACAATGACGGGAGGACAAAACACCACGTTGACGGGATCGATGTCGGCCACGACCATGGCGACGAGTACCGCCAGCGGTAGCGGCAGCGGTGGTGCATCGTCAGCCTCGCCGACTTTTGCCCAGGCTACCGGAGGTGCCGTGTCGAACAAGGTCGCCGGTGCCGGCATCGGCTTGGTCGTCATGGGCTTGGGTTTCTCATTGCTATAACGGAGTCTCAAGTGATGTCTCGAGTTGTCAATGGGCTTTTGAAAACAAATGCTCAATGTTTTCACGGAGTATTATGAATTGAAATGCAAGCATGAAAAACTCGGAATGATACCAGGCGTTCAGGAACCAAGAATGAAATGGAATGGCATCACAAGGCTCCTCATTGGGTCCTTTAGTTTGGAGGGAATCAAAGGAATCTGGCATTTTGAAAAAGCGAAGGAGTCATCAATATGGGCAAGGGGCAATGGGTTTAACTTGTCATGTCCGGAAGTGCTCCGATATGATAGAAAATATGTGGATTAGTTGTAATAGATAGAGGCATGATCAACCAACGAATTGATTGCTTAAAGAACTCAACACATCTTTCTCGCTTTTCTAGCCTTTGCTTCCCTTTCTAAACTGTCGCTCTCTGCTGTCGGCCACGTCAAGCTTGAGTGACTGCTGAATATCCTGATAATTGCGTAGTTCCCTGCATCGACACCATGTGTGACATCCTTGTGATTGAATTTGATAGTGTACTCGGAAACACCCGTGGAGCGCCTGATCTCGCAGTTCTGGCGATGTGGTCATGGCGAAGAGCTGAAGCAGAATTGGTCGGCTAGTTGCTCGCTGGAATATCGTCGGAAAGTGTGTACTCGAATTCAGGAATATAGCTCGACAGTATCGGCAAGCTGCATCCCATTCCCGACGAGCGGTCCTCAGCTCTTCCCATCCTCATTGAGAGAGCATCCCACCACGTGCGGTATCCTGAAAATCAGTCGGCTGATGTCATCGAGGCCGGTATAACGGTCATAACGAGCTTCTCTTTTCTCTTCAACTTTTGGAGCCAGATCCTTGCGATCGGGCCCAGCTAGAAAATTCACTTCGCTGAGCTCTGATGTCCATGAATCCCACGCGTTCCTCCAGACCATGGAAAGGATTCGGTTCGCCGTCTTGTTCAACCTTTCCTGCCCATGCACTCCAGCTGACTGGCTTCAAGGATTCTGAGCCCAATATGAGCCCGAAACACGCCAAGAATACAGAGATGAGAGTCTCGAGCTTGATATCGAGCGGTAAGGGCGCAGGCTTGTGGAATCTAGTTGACAATGTCGAGAATTCATGCGCCGAGTATGCGCTACGTCAGGTTAGCAGGCTTTCCTGACAATGTGACTTGCAAACGTACGCATGGAAGAGAGATAGAAGACCGACGAGTACGAGCATGCGAGATATGAAAGACATGGTGAGGGTGAACGAGCTGGCTGTTTGATGCTGAAGTTGTAGACTCTCGATCACTCTCTCATACAAACTGTTCGAATGGACAATCAATCGGTTGATCATCGGAATGCGGACTGCCACCTTGCTCACTCCTCGCCGCTTTGACGGATTTCCGCTGCTGCTTTATGGCTCCCCTTACCAGCCTTGTCTACCTATCTCAACCAAACACACAGTGGTAGGTACCTTGTGATCCTCATACATTCAATCTTGACGACTACCTGATGTTTAATGGTAAGTCACATGTGCACCCGTTCAACATCGAGACAACGATTAGGATTCCGCATTCACGAGTCCTCGACGCCGTTTTCTTTCAGGTCGATCTTCTTAGATGACATTCCGATGTACTCTCAGAATGACCGCAACCGTCATCACGGACGAACCAACCCTGCGTGGTATGAAGGGAGCTTCTGTGAACTTTCTCAGGCAAGATTGATGCTATTCGCTTTCCAGCGAGCGCGTGACAAGACACAGAGGTTCGTCTTCAGTGATCGACATGACCTGATCCTCGTACTCTCACGCAAGTACCACATATGCACACTGGTCTCCTAGCCGCGAGGAATGCCACGTCTGCCTTGGCTTTCACTGCTAATATACACCAAGCTTGCAGCACGCTCATCAGACTCAACGCGCTAAACAGGATGATCGAGGGTCTTATGCTTTCAGATGACAACCTCGACCCGTGGTATTAACAAAACTTGCAATAGCGAAGGCCTCGTATCGCTTATGGCTCTCAGGCCAAATTTCTCTCACTTGGTTGCCTCTGGTCTCCACCCCTATCATTTCCATCACCACCAATGGGCCACGATCATCGATTCGAACGGGCCAATGGGCCTACCATCAAAGCTCAGGTATGTGGCCGATCTCGGTCTCTCGAACAAGGCAACATGAAAGAAGATCACCATAGTCAAGGGTTGAAGCTGAGTCGCCGTTCAAAGCATAAATACCGAGCACGCCTGGAGGAGGGAAAATGCACCTTCCGATAACTCAAAAGCTCCTACTCGTACATCGAAAGGATAATCTGTAGCATTTCATCCAAAAATGGCCAAACTCCTTACTATTCTGGCAGCCGCCGCCGGCCTTCCTCAACTTACAACCGCTAGCCCTATCGAATCCTTCGGCGACATCAAAGCGCGTCAAGTTGCCCAATGCCCATCTTACCCTTGGTTTCTTGTGCCGTACGCGGACTCGTACCAGTGCCAGGGTACACCACAGCTCTTCCAACCCACGTCTGGCCCGTTCACGGCCGATCCGATCAATACCCTGTGTGCGCCTTTGAGTGGTGGTCAACCAGGACCTCAAAACTTCCTGTCTGTAGCCGCCAACCCAGTGGCTTGCAGCCCAATGCAGAATTGGAAGATCAACCTATACATCGACGACCCTGACTGTACTACTCAGCCTATCGCTGTAACTTCCGGACAGTGCGTCGCGGCACTGAATGGTTGCAGTTTCACTAATTTCGATGCAATATTGATGTGATTGCACCATTGAGGAAAGGCTCAGGCTTCATGGAGGCACGAACGATTTGAAGTATCGGTGTTTCAAGTATTGTTCAATTGATTTTACTGGTGATCATCCTAAAAGACTCAATAAGGGCCCGGTCTTAGACGCTCCTCGACTCTGGACCAATGTCCCAATCTGATAGCTTCGAATTGCTTGAGCCCTTAAAGATTTATAAGTGTCACGATTTGCATCTAGAGCTAAATAGACTTACAATTGATACATTTCCGCTCAGAATCAATCTAGTATATTGTTCAACGAAGAAGGTAGTCAGGCTGCTTAATATGAATGGATGTTTTCATGAACAACGCGCTCTACCGCTAGTATTGTTTTAACCATCGGATTTAACCGATGGGCATAAAAACTTCATCCCCTTAAGGCCCACCGGGTCTGAACTTGCAGGATATTCTCACACGTAGACGCCTCGTATGCTCAGTCGCAGTCTAGATTCTAGAGTCTTGAAACGAACAACAGTTCATTTTCTCAACGACAATGTTCCAATCAATCGCAAGATATACGAATGATGCCGGTAAGTATTGGAGGCCGTTCGGTACCTTCGCCCAACCACCTACCAATTATGATTACTAATTTCTCATCATGTTCATCTCACCCAAGTCGGCATCGAGAAAGCTCTCAAATTCGTACAATCGTTTGCTCAAGTTGCCGAAGTCATCATCGCTTCCACACCGGAAGAACTGGCGCGCTGGAAGACTGCCAAAGATCAGGCCAATATCGGTCAGTCTCGCAGCTTTTTGTCCGATGGACAAGCTCATTGAGCACGCTTCCCATGTCGACTATTTGCACATCTGAGCACCCTTGCTTACGAGTCTAATACGGGATTATATGTCAAAATGTGGTCTGACTGAAAGCACCCAGGTCGTCGTTATTTCCGTTTGTTCAAATGGATCGACTGTTGGAACACCGTGTACAACCTACTGACAACCTACTCGTCTCCTCCGGCTGCCTCTGGAGATGAAAAGTCCCGGAAGAATAATCACCAGGATGGTATCAGACTCACGTTGATGATGGCCAAGTTCTCTCTGCTTGGGATATTCTTATTCATGGAGAGCTTCTGTATTGTATGGCCTCGAAAAGCCATCGGCCCGCGTATGACTGACTGACACGACTGTTTTTTCTGTAGGCTGATGCAATGCACATCTCTCACAACAGCTGGGCACCATGGCTGCAAGTCGAATCTTTGAAGTTTTGGTTTTATTCTCTCGCAGTCTCGGTCTTGCTTGGGCTGTACGACTTGGTGATGCTAGATTCTAGCCCGACCCCCGCGGAACCAGTCGTCAGTGAGAAAACCAAAGCGAAAGTCACGGTCAAGACCGGCCGTAAGAAGGCGTCCACTGCTGTAGTCGAAACCAAGCCGCCTTCAGCCCAGAACCAGAATAAGCGACAGGCGATCTTGAAAGGTATCGTGGCCGACAGCTGCGACCTGTTGATCCCAGGCTCGATTGTCGGATGGATTCCCATTGATCCGGTTCCTGTCGGCATAGCCGGCTCCTTGAGTGCCATTTTGGGCGGGTCTGACGCTTGGGCACGTGTGAACCCATAGCCCACCTTGTCGACCGATAAGGGAGGGGGTTGCTCCCCGGCCGAATGAGCATGAACGGAGTTACTGGAGACTTTTCATGAATCAGAAGCATGTGCCCACCCCCGGCAAGCGTGGCACGCAATACCCCTCTCGTCGGCAAATGTGGTTCTGGAACCACGGCCCTTGCCTATTGAGAGTTCTCCTCTCTTGCACAGAAGGCAACCATTCGGTCAATTTGTCCATGAGGGGGCCTCTGCCGACCACGTATGCAGGCACAGGGATGGCGCCTGCAGTCCCTTGGCTCTCGACAAGATCAAGATCACGGGCCAGACGAGGACGGCTCTCGGATACTCCAGTCAATCGCTACAGGGTATGGAGGAGGGGAGCTTCAGGCTTGGGAGAAAAAACGTGGACAGAGAGTCCGAGCGGTGAGCTAGCTTAGCTGTCCACCCAGATGCAGGTGCTGCAAGTCAGTATGCATGAACCAGAACCAGTCCGTTTTTCAAACATTTCGTTCACTATGTATCCTTGTCTTGCACGTGGCCATTACTCTATCCAATGAATATACGTCGTCAACCATGTACTTGTATCGTGCCAGCCATCATCATGCACGAGCGCGTCATAACCGCGCCCCTGTCTAGCGTAACTGTCGTCTCGTCTCGCTTCTCGCCTTTTGTATCCAGTTTTATTTTCTCCGACTGCTGCAGGAACAATATCCCCGCCAATAATTACTACCCTCCCACATGGCAATCCCTCCACATGTGTCAACGAACCATTGCAACTTGATCAGTTGTCCAAAGCCGCATAGTAGCTGTAATCCTGGTTCAACAACGGGAAAACGTCCGGCTCCGGCTGGTTCGAACCACCATGCCAGACTGGACTGGGCAAGCTCTGGAGACCGCCGTTGGGCTGCATGGTGTCCGCGAAGATGTGTTCGAACGTCTTGGCCCATTGGACACGGTTATTGAGACCGTCGAGACCCCAGAGCTCTTGTAAGAAATGTAGGATGGAGGTGTGCGTGTAGGCCGAGTTGTCGGCGTACATGGTCCCGTCGTCGTGGATGAGCGTGTTGGCCGGGATCCAGGGCGAGATCAGGAATGCGGGCACGCGGACACCCAGACGGGTAAAGTCGTAGGTGACGTTGTGTCCGTCTGACAACCCGGAGAAGGTGATGCCGTCTTCGGGAGCAGGGATGCCCGTTGGTGGAGGGACGTGGTCGGCGAAACCACCGTGCTCATCGAAGTTGATGACCAGGAGACTGTTGATATTGTTGTGGTTAGCTGACAGCCTTATAACGAGACATAAAAGGTGTATACTTACGTCTCCTCCCAGTACGGCGAGTTTCGAATGCCATCGTAGACGTGCTTGATCAGTAATTCTCCGGCTGCCATGTTGCTGGTAGGGTGCATGGAGTCGACAGTGCAGCATTCAGGGTTGATATATGAGAATTGAGGGAGATTTCCAGTCTTGAGATCGGTAAAGAACTGATCGGCGTGGACGATCTTTTCCATCGAGTTGTCCTGGACCCACTTGTAGATAAACGAGTCGATGATGTCGGACTCGTAGTAGTTTTTCCATGTGATGTTCTTCTTGTCGAGTGCTTCGAAGATGGATGTGGCGCAAGACACGCCTGTGACATTGGCAAACCAGCCTGTCGCTTGAGAGTCCTTGTTGTCGACGTATCCACAGGTCGATCCTGACGTGTGGAACATGCGGTTGGGGTTGGTAGGTCCCGGGTGCTCAGCGTGATAAGTATCGAACATTGCATAGTTCTTAGCAAGCTCCATCAAAGTGCTTCCCTTGGCCGGGTCGTAGGCCTTGATGACAAAGGCGCTGTCGCCGGGTGTGGCACTGTATTTCTCGGACTGGCGCTCAATGAAGCCATCCATGCCCGGATTGTCACTGGCAGTGGGGTTCCATTTGCGGTAGATCTCGTAGCTAGTACCAGCGAAGTTGTGGTCAGGATCAACCAAGGGAACCTCGTCCTCAAACGGGCTGGCGCAAATCATGATGGGTTCGTTGTAGATGGTCCAGTTTGGGTTGGTGTACTCATTGCAATAGTTGATGTTTTTGAGGCCGTCAATATCGTCTCTGTAGTCCCAGTAGCCAGCTATGTTATCAAAGGAGTGGTTCTCCATCATCAAAACCACGACTCTCTTGATCTTTGAGCTGATAGGGCCCCAGGTGGCGCTGCGAGGCTTAACCGGGACAGCAATGGCGGATGAGATGATGGCCAAGGCCACGGACAACTTGAGAAGACGAGCCATTTTGGGGGGAAATTGCCGAGAAAGATTCTGTTACTTCCTGCCTGACAGAAGAAAGGCATTGCGAAGATTTCACAAGCATCTACCTTATATGTTTCTTTTCTCGGAACTCGCAATGCGGACTTGGTGCCGGTTTTCGGCCATGCTCGTTGAGGTGACGATATCTCAGAGGAATGCTCGACACGGCAAGTCATATCCAATCCTTCTCAAGCCTTTCGACACGTTGTGAGCTGGATTTCGAGCAGATCGAAGAAAACATGAAAGATCATCTTGGTCACCTTCCGTTCGGAGCGCTAGGAGTAGAACCGGCGTTCGTCGGAGCGAGGAATACTGCGTTTCGATGATTGTAATCCAGGCGGCCGCTGGGTCTGACGGTTTTGTCCGTCCATATGGATGCAAGAGGATCCTTGGAAGAATTGATGTTTTGTGCTGATGTTGATGGTGGTAGTGGTAGCTTACAAGAGCTCATGTGGGTCTGATACAGGTTTTAGAGGCAGCGACTATAACTAACCAGCACTAACAGACTAGCCCCAGCACTAAAACCACTAAACTTAGCGTGGGGACCAGGAACCAAAAATCTTGCTTGTGGATGCTTGTACATGCTTGTTCAGGGTCCTCCAGAACCTACACTATCGTCCAATGAAGTCCTATACAATTCACCTTACTCCCACACGTGCGCTCACGCTGCAGGTCGCCTGTACGCATTCCAATGGAGCTTCTGGAAGGATCGTCGCTCTGAATTGCTTCCTCCTTCCTCTTTTCGTCCTCTCCACCTTATTTTTTCCAGCCAGCTTCTTTTTCTTGCCGTGTTCTTGTGCTACAGAGCAGTGCACGTTGCGGCGTAGTTGATGCTGATTGAATCTCGAAAGGTTGCATTCGCAATCCTATTCACCTACGTGGCCCTTCACCGGCTGAAGACCCTTGCAACTAAGACGGTGGGTTGCATGTCGTGTGATTCCTTCTGGCCCCATGCCCGTTCAAGCTTGACACCCTCACCTTGGACAAAAGCCCATCATTTCACAAACTCAGAGCATGGCGGCACGGGTAGCTCGGCTGAACAACGTCTTCGCAAGCATGAGTTATGGATTTACTTGTGAAAGCTGACTTTTCTTTCCCTTCGACCTACCCATTGCCTTCTTCCTAAGTCCCCCCAACTTCCAAATGAGTGACATCTTCTCAGATATTGAGCACCTAAATACTGTCAGTCCCAGACCATCCAAGAGAGTCCGCTTCTCCAAGACCAACACCACCACCATGTTCAGTGAAAGCTACGAAGACGCCAACGCGATGGCTGCCATGGTCAACTTCTTCAGACCAACAAAGTACACATCGCTGCCACGAGACCCGGAGAAAGAAGCAGAGAGCAAGGCACTCGCTCCGATCTCAGAAGACTCAGCCTTGGAGACAAGCAGCGAGACTTCGGCAGAGACCATGTGTGACGCTGGTCTACCTCCAGCAGAGACCGACACAGGATCCATGAAAGCTCGAATCATCTCAGACGCCATCATTGGCCTCTCAGATGGTCTCACGGTGCCGTTTGCGCTCACTGCAGGCCTCTCCGCACTGGGAGATACCAAAGTCGTCGTCTTCGGTGGCCTCGCGGAGCTCATTGCGGGTGCCATCTCCATGGGTCTCGGTGGCTACCTGGGAGCCAAGAGCGAAGAAGACTCTTACAAGGCAACCTTACGCTCTACACAGTCCAGAGTCCACGACTCAAATAATGATCTTGCCTCGGAAATCACTTCTGTCTTTGCTCCTTACCACCTTCCTCCGTCCACGCTCAAGGACTTCACACATCAACTCATCACCTCCAACAGCCCTGATACGGTGGTCGACTTCTTGATGCGCTTTCAGCAAGGCACACCTGAGCCAGCTGCCAGCAGAGCACTCATCTGTGCCTTGACTATCGCCACGGGCTACTTTATCGGAGGCTTCGTACCTCTGCTTCCGTACTTTTTCGCCTCGAAGGTCACGGAAGGGCTCATCTGGAGCATCAGTGTCATGATTCTGGCACTGTTCATCTTTGGATATGTGAAGACGGGAGTGACAGATGGGTTCAGAGGTCGGAGGTGTGTTCTCAAAGGCCTCAAGGGTGGCGGTCAGATGGTCATTGTGGGTGGAGCGGCTGCCGGATGTGCAATGGCAGTGGTCAGACTGTTCAACTCTATGGAGTTCTGATGTGACTGAAGTAGGGCATGAAGTATCAAAATTTTTTAGTTAGGATTGGAGTTGGAAGGTTGAATAGCACAATTAGCACTTTTCATAGCCAAAAATAAGAGGGTCTTCAAAGATACACCTTTAACTTTTCGGAGAGGAAGTATACTATGTGTAGCTTTGAGATACTCTAATCGCAAGTTCAAAGTCTGATGTGTCGCACTCTTCCACTCCTAAGGAGCATCTTTCCATTCATACGTAAAGCCCATGCTGTGATGAGGATGTCTCTAGCACTTGACATAAAGATTGCAATGACTGCTAGCTGAAAAGACATGACCTTTGAGCAAGGCTAAGTACATAGCTTTGGAATAAAAAAGTATGTGTCTTTGGACCGTGGTTGAATGCGTGGCACTGCTTCTCTTTTCTGCCTTCTTACACTGGACGATTGGAACTGCTATCTAGTCTCAACTATAGCTCTTCAGATTTAAATCACAAAACAACTTGAACAATGAATAAGGCAGGAGTATTATATTACTTGAAGTTCAATCTAGATACGCTAACTCTTTCCGGTTAGACTTATCGGCTCCACCTAGTTCATCATTCAAGCGGGAGGACCATGCTTGACATTGTTGCCAACCAAAGCATCGTAAGGGTACGGGTTCGTGTAGTTCATGGTCGGAGCTCTTCCATTGATCTGCTTGACGACAGCAGGCAAGACACCCTTGCCGTTGGCGCAGGTCGAGTCATTGGTGGGGACTGGCCAGGTTGGGACGTACTCAGCGTCGTTGAAGGGACCGGGGTACGACTCGTTAAAGTAGAAGGCGAGGTTGTTGTTGTTCAGCTGAGCGTTCTTATAGCCCGTCTTGTTGGCCACCATCTCGAACACGTTGGCGTGGCAGTCCCATCGACCAAGGGATGGGAGACCCCAGTTCTGGGAAACCGACGCAATGGTAGAGTAGTGGTTGTAGAAGGTGCTGTCAGTGGTTCCCCTCAATTCCTTGGGGATCGCTCCGCCAATGAGAATCGAGAGAACCTTGTTGGAGATTTCATAGGTCTCATTTTCATCGAAGGTGATCAAAAACACCGTGTTGTTCATCACATACTCATTTTCGACCAACGGCGCCATCCAGGTACGAAGCCAGTTTCCGGCAAACGTTATATTACTATCATGGCGATCGTTTGTCATGTTGGGAGTTATGAAGGCCCATTGAGGAAGAGACTGGCTCTTGATATCGTTTTGAAAATCGTCAAAACTTTTGATTTGGCGGGCCCGAGTATCATTCTTGGCAACCGAGTCGTAGATCATCAGGGGATTGTGTTTGCGGACATAGTCGTTCGCAAAGGTCTCTTGGTTTGAGTAGTTGAAGCCCTGGAAGCCGGCGTAAGGAATGTGTTCCTGATACTCGCCCCAAGCAATTTGCTTGGTGTCGAGCAGATCGGCAACGGTGGCGATATCAGCAGGAACGCTGTTGAAGTCGTCATTCTGCATGCCAAAGGTGTCTCCTCCGGCAGCAGCACAGTAGTTTGGCTCCGAAGGATGCGTGACGGCGTAGTAGTTGGTCAAGGTGATACCCTGGGCGGCGAGCCATTCGAAATTGACATCACCAGCGGTGGCTTGGTAATCAGTGTTCTCCATCCAGACCTGGTAGAAACGATCGAATGCAAGGCCCTTGACATTGCTTTTTGGCGAGAGTGGCTTGACAGTGGCAGCCGCAGAATGAATCGCCGCGGCCGAGGGTTCAAAGGTCGACTCGGCGGGGCGCGAAGCATATGACGAGGTGGAGGTTGGAGCAGCCAAGGCCAGATGGCCTGCTGCGAGAAGGAAGACTGCAGATGAGAGCATCTTGGATGGAGTGGCACAAGAGAACTACAGCTGTTGAGGGATGCAGGTCGGATGGTCCTCTCTCCCAGCCAGGTTGCTCTTCTTATACCTGGGCCTGCTCGGCACATCGGCCCGGCACAAACGTGTTCAGAATTTTTCTCAGCCGCCACTCTCAAAATCTTCTTTTCCTGAACTGGTAATACCATCGGATAGATACTACTCGTTCCTTGAGCATCAACTGATGGGTGTGACGAAGCTGAACTAAACATGCAGCCGAAAATAGTTAGTGCTCAAGGCAAGGTTCGACCCAGATGCATATGCATTATTAGTGAATTTAGTGATGATTAGTGCCACTTAAGTTGCTAGCGCGATTAGCCTTGCGGGGTACCAAGCTCCCACCACTTAAAGCTTAGTTTGGGGCACGTGTGTCGATTTGGGATTCAACGTCGACTCTTTCAACCGCGCTTGCTCCCAGCCATTTCTGTTCTTTCATCTTCTATGTCCATGACTATGACAGAAAAAGTCCCTGCATAATGCGACGCTCTCTGTGCACGTGGTCCCACAAGTACGGATCCTGCCCGAAGACTCTGTAGCACCTGCGTCGGGTCAGTCGGCAATGGCCTTATCACAAATAGTGAGAAAACTTGCCAGCATACCATGAACGGCGGAGCCTTACTGGGTACCACGCAGACTCATACAGCGTTACAGTGCCCGCTCAAGTCCACTTCGCTTATCATACGAATCAACTGGAACCAAAAAAAAATTAACAATGTCTACTTTGTCATAGGGTCTTCCTGCCGGTCCAAACATGACCCTTACATGGTTGGAGCAGGAGTAAGCACGTGTACAATGGTACGATGAGAACGCTCTTGCTGTAGGACCTACCGCTTTCAGTATCGGAGTCGCCAGATTTTGCGGCCGGTGGGACTTCATTGGTAGTGACCTCGAAGTAAATGTCCGCAGCGAACCTCCTTCGATGAAAGCCATGGGCAACAGCATGAGATTCTACCTGCGGTACACCTTACTATTACTGCTACCAGTTGGTCTCAATAATCACACTGGACAGCACCCTTGGCCCCCATCGAACGTTCCTTGCCACATCTGCGGTAATCTCCTGACACTACAATGCCCTTCGCATTGGACCGAGCAAAAGCGTCCACCAAATATGCACCAGGTTACCTCCGTCGCCAACAGGACCCCTAGCCTGTCCTTCAGATGCCGACCTTGGTATCTCATCCGTTTTTGTTTCGATGATGCGGACGAATACTTCGCTCTCAAGGACCATCTCGACAATGGAGTTGGATCATTGACTCGCATCATTTCTTCACCAAACTGAACCCACTGGCCAAGATCAACATTGATCTCGTCCTCGACAATGGTGTTGACAGCAATGTCTCTGCCGAAGAGAATTCGGTTGAGCTGTGGCATAGTGCCTGGGAAAGTTTTTCGGAGGTTCTTTTGGTTTTGTCGATCATTGAAGGAGTCCTTCGTAAAGAATGTGATTGCTTCGACTATCTCATGCTGACCACATCGATGCACTCTGGCGACTGATTGCTCACCGACAGCGTTCGAGGGAGGACGGTCCAAAAATCCACAACATGGCATCTTTCGGTAAGTTCAGACCACACGAAGTTATTGCGTAAGAGCCTGTGAGAATCTGAGGGCGAGCAGTCATGTCGAAGTCCTTAACAAGCTCTCGCTTCTCAGTAACTCTCAGATGCGCGAGATAGACTTCCATGTCAACATTCAGCGCTTTGAGAATGCGGTAAAGGAGAACTTGTTGGCCACGAAGAGAACAGAATATGAGCATCTTCCTCCCCCTTCCCCTAACCCAATTCTTCACGTAGTTGGGGTGAACGCGTCCACGCCACTGAACGGAAAGTTCTACCGGTCCAGGGTCTCCAGGTCTTTCCAGGAACGCATCTTCCCAAAACTGGTTCAGAGGCCCCAGTAAGTCACCTGCGCTGTTGTGCAGTGTGGTTGCGGTGATACCACTTGATGGGTGCCTCGAGCAAAAGGACTGCCTTGAAGACACGAGTCGCTACATTTTTGAATTTATGGACCTTATCACACACCAGTGGATGATATAGCCCGACAAAGTAGTATTAGACAAAGTATTTTGTCTTCTTCTTGTCATCGATCTTGATGGGGGCGGAAACGGACGAGTCGTCACCTGGGTTGTCACCGGCTTGGGGATCGTCAACATCTGGATCGACTCCGTCACGGTCGACAGTCTCCTCCAACTCATCAGCGCTCGGGGCTTCTTCGTGCGTCCTGGCTCCGATTTGACGTTTCATCCAATCAAAATGCTGCTTCACCTTGGGATTTTCGGGCTTGAGGTGAGTCACTTCCTCCCTAATGTTCTTCAGCATTCTGCTTGGCCGCACGTTTTGCCTTGTTTTCCGCTGATATTCTACCCTTGTCTATTCATTCATGTCAGCATGCACTCGAATGTTTAACACAATATCGTCCTCACTCTTCTCACAGTACTTCTTGCCTGCAGCTGTTCTTTCCTCCTTGCTCTGCGCCGCTCGCTTCGCGTCCCGTCTCGCCTTGATGGCATCTTTGTTGGCTTCTCGGTACGCCTTTGCTTTCAAGCGACGAGCCTCCTCGACTGTATAGTTCATATCAGCATATATTGAAGTCAAATGGCTCCCAAACAACGGACCGTCTGGTCTTTGCAGTCGTTCTCGGTTGGCAGCCTTAACCTTCTCGACATCTAAATCACATCAGTATATTGAAAGATGGCCAAAAAAGATTGTACATACTCTTTTCCCGGTACCTACGTGAGCTCTCTCGATCTCGAGCCTTGTCTGTGACAATATTGCCAGTCTCCGATATAGATATCAAGACGGTATTGTCAATACACTCCGCTGTCTGGTGTTGCTTCTTGATTTCTTCACGACCTAAAAGTGTAAAATTAGTTCATGACTCAATATGCTGAGAAAGAAATAACATACGCTCTTGGTAGTATCCCTTCTTGTAAGCCGAACGTCGCACACGGTCTGAAAGATGTCAGTTTGTACCAAATTGTCTGGGAGTATTGTTGATCCTTACTCCGTATGTGATACTCCCGAAAACCAGCCAAGCACTTGTCTCGGTCTAAATATCGTAAGCTTTTCTCCGTACCATACCAAGATGTATTGAACATACTGCGTCGATAATATGACAAACTGCGCAGTCTGTCTGCTCTGCCGTCTTCAAAAGTCAATTTGCAGTTCAAATCTCAAGACATGAATGTGCGTACCTTTTCTGTAAGTCTTTCTCCGGCTTGTATTAACATCTGAACGATCTGGACACTTGTCAGCTAAACAATCAAGTGATGAGGACTATACGTACGACTCTTCTTCCATGCATTCGCGGAGGCGTTGTAGTCAATTCGCATCTTCTGGAGTACCATTTCCCATTCCTCAGACGTCCAGTTGATTCTTAAATCCTTCCCTTCTTGCAGTGGGGAATGTGTGTTGAGACCTTGCCACTCGAGTGAGTCCTCTGGCCATGGGCTCAGGCCTACTCAGGCGACTTTGGAGTGCTTCTGATCAGCTCATACTTATGCCCTGAGCACCCTCCCTGGCTCCCCACATAGTGTAAGGATCAAGGAAGACGTGAAAGGCCGCAATTGCCAGAAATGAATCACAATGACTCGATTGATGCCGTAATGGTATTATTGTTGGTGTGGGCTATCTCTGTCTAAAACCAAAAGAGTGGTGGAGGACCTGACTGAGAAGACTCAGCCAAACATGCCGTTCCCGAAAGGGAAGGTATGCCTGCTAGTCAGGTGACTCCTGACACATAGCCTGTTCTTCAGCTGCCTTCGGCGCCTCGACCCATCCGTACACTTGTACGGAGTATACCGATCAACTTTACCCGAGATGTCGGTGATCAAGGAGGTGGTTTCACCGGCAAGGGAGCGCCTCGCGAGCACACTAACCCCTGAGGGACGAGGTCTCCCTCCCAATTCTGTACCACACTGTTGACAGCCGCGTTCCGGCGGGTGTGGAGACTGTGTGTCAGTACTGGAACAACTTCACTGGAGTCTGGGGGCGGGAGTATCCTGATGTATCTATTAACCGGTCTCTCATGGATTCCGTTTATGGAGTATGAATGGGCATATTTAGCACCACGTGCGTCGGCATTCTGACCTAACGTCCTAGTATATACATGGTTCTTTGATGGACGAGCTATCGTTTGCAGGCGAGAAAGCCCCTCGGCGTTATGCGAATCATCACCAGCTGTACCTGTACAGGCGTTAGTTGTGGGAGCGGGACTAGTTTGTTTACAAACGTTCTGGTATAAGGATTAGTGACTGGGGTTCACATCTTGTAAGGCTCTTCACTAATAGTATATTCGAATATTTGAGAGTTCGCATCCATTAGGGGCTGACCAATAGTCTATGCCACCTGGAATGTATACAAAGACGCATAGATACATGATGTGCCATTATCTCAAGAATCAATTCCCTTTGCTTCGTTTGCCTTGAGATTTCTGATCTTCATCTTGACCGGTAGTGAGATAGGGCTCATATTAAGGGGTTCTCGCCACTCCATCTCCCAGTCTGGCGAGGGCAACTCAAAGTCATACCGCCGGACAAGAGTTGCCATGACAAGAGGAATCAGTGTAAAAGTCAAGTTGCGCCCTGTACAAGCACGTGGACCGAGAGAGAACGGCACCAGGCATTCCCTCCACAGAGGGTCCGCGTTTGCGTCGAGCCATCGCTCCGGCCGAAACGCCCATGGCTCTGGAAAGATCGAGGCATCATGGTGCAGCGCAAAGGCGGAGACTGACACGGTGGTACCAGCTGTACTGCGGTGAGAAATTGATACAAAGATATGACAGAGGATTTTTGGTAGTGAACGAACCTTTGATGAAGTGTCCTGAAATAGTTGCTCCTCCTTCAGGAACGGTCCGAGCAAGACCATGGGCGATGGGCGGTCGGTCTCTCGTTGCCTCATCAAACACCGCCCTCAAGTATGGCAGACGACAGATCTGATCGTTCGTGGGGACAAGTGTGTCTCCCAAGGCATCATCAAGCTCCTCCCGTAGTTTCCGCATACATTCTGGGTTCTTGATCAAGTGATACATGGCATTCGTCGCCACTGACGCCACAAGATCGATCGCAGATCCAAAGATGACAAACGTCTCTCCTAGCAATTCCGCATACTCTAGATCCCTGGGCTTTTGATGACTGTCCCGCAAGAGATAAGACACAAAGTCTCGAAATTCTGAGGTGTCCCCACGTTTGAGACGTTGTTGCAAGTAGAGATGCACTGCTTCGGCGAATTTCTTTCCCTTGCTGGCGTCCCTGTGCCAGCTGGTGAGCTTCCTGAGCTTTTGCGCCAGAGATGGCCATGGTGAGAACAGAGATATATAGGAGCCGGCTGATTGGAAAGTCTCGATTCCTTCGAATTGGCAACTGGGCGAGCCGTCGAATGGAAGGGTGTCGAGAACATCGTTCCCCTTATCGCAGAGTCCAAGAGTCTCACCGAAAGTCAACTCCGCAGATGTGTCGTACAAGAAATAGTTGATCCATCTGTACAAGTCAAGTTGCCCGTTGTCAGCCTGTAATGCCTCTCTCTGGTTGTCAAGACACTTGATCAAATGACCCGTACGGCGAGTAATGGCAGGCTCCAAGGTGAGGATGTTCTTGAGCGCGAAGGCATTCGAGACATACTTCCTCTTGCGCTGATGTTCTTCTCTGTCATCTGTGGTCACGAGATTCTTCAGGATATGGCCATGAGCGTCCTCATCCCCAATCGACTCGTAGAATTTGCCCTTCGGCATTCTCGACTGGAATCCGTAGATTGTCTTGGCCGCCTCTCCATCGCTGAATGAAAGATGATCCGGCTGGATACGAACGATTGGCCCATACTTTTCATGGGCGTGAAGAACAGAATGTGATTTGGCTTGTTTAAGTATTGCCCTTGCAAGCCAAAAATTGGACCATCCTGCCCATCCTGGAATACCCCAAGCTGAAGCAGAAGGGAACCGGCGCAGGTCCTTCGGGTCCCAGACGTAGATGGCAAGGGGTCGGACGAGGGCGAAGAAGATGATGCACACCAGGGAGGTGACACCAACGAACGATGCTAGAGGTATAGAGTGAGCTTCAACGAAGTATACTGCTCCGAGAGTATGGGTTCACTTACCCGTGACAAACATTACATGTCCTTTCCGTCTTTGTATGTCAAATTCCAAGGGAGGAATGTCATTGACAGATACCGATAAGAAGAACCTCCCGGCTTCACGCTTTGGCTGTATATACTCGTCAAGACGGCAGCGAGAGCCAGGTGAATATTCACCTCCTGATCAAACCCCCGCAAAGGTTCTCAGAGGCTGTTGATGTGATTCGTTCGGCAACGGCCCGAGTCGCCTATCTGTCGCCGGACATGGTATTCCCCACATCGGGGTGCATAGAAAACATTGCCTCCACAAATCAAATGTCTACGATACATGTGAACGGCCTTTCTTACATCCTCATCTCTCGCTTCTCCGGTGGCTCGGTCTGCGGCCCGGGGTCGCCGACCCCGAATTGTCTACGTTCTGGCCAACCAGAGGTGAAGAGATAGCGGCAATGGCTAACCTCACCGATGCAGACCGGACTAACCTGAGAGATAGGCTTGGACCTAGAGCTTACTGTGAATGGAAATTATCGAAGTGTATCAGCTCTGTGATTCGAGGATCCATTTGTAAAAGATTTATCAAATTGTTTCAAGTGCTGATGAGGATGATTGCGTGCCAGACCACACCTTTCTTGTCTTCAGCTTCTATACTGATACCGAAAACGAGTGAACACGTGTCAAACATGGGAAGCATTGTTCTTGGTAGGCCTCTTCGCATCGGTGTCGACGTTGGTGGAACAAACACCGACGCTGTATTGCTGGATACCAGTGCGACAGCAGCTCCCAACAGAGGAGTTCTCGCATTCTGTAAAACAGCAACGACGGGTCCAAATGTCAGCGACGGTATCGAAACAGCTTTACGCAATGTCCTGGAGCAAACCAACGCGGATAAGTCGCAAATCGCTTGTGTGACTATAGGCACGACACATTTCATCAATGCCGTTGTCGAGCAAGATCCCCGCCGACTATCCAGGGTTGCTGTGATCCGCCTCTCGAAGAGCTTCACCAAGGACATTCCACCATTTTCCGACTTTCCTCCGGCATTGGGAAGAATCATGAATGGGTATCATGGTTTTGTCGATGGCGGTCTTCAAATCGACGGTTCTCAAGAGGCGCCGATCGTGGAATCACAAGTACATAAAGAATGTGAACGGATTAGAGCGCTAGGCATCCGGTCAATCGTGATATCTGGGGTTTTCTCTCCGCTGGACCAGCGTTTCAGGCAAGAGCAAGTTGTCCGAGACATGATATTGAAGTGTTTACCTGGGGTGGACGTTGTTTGCTCGTCAGAAATATCGACGTTAGGTTTACTGGAGCGCGAGAACGCTTCTATACTCAACGCGTCGATCCTACGATTTGCTAGGCGTACCATTCGAGCATTTAGAGCATCAATACGGCGATTGGGCTTAGACTGTGCTCTATTTCTCACTCAAAATGATGGCACCGTCATCAGTGCTTCTGCTGCGGCCGAAGTTCCGATCCGCACATTTTCTTCAGGGGCCACGAATTCAATCAGAGGGGCCGCATATCTGGGCTCACACCAGCTCAAAGGGGAATCGAACAAGGCTTCCATAATTGTTCTGGATATTGGCGGAACAACGAGCGATGTTGGAGTGCTCCTTCCTTCGGGATTCCCACGTCAAGCATCGGCCTATGTGACCATTGCCGGCATCAAGGTCAATTTCAGTATGCCACACGTCGAATCGATTGGCCTGGGTGGTGGATCAATCATCAAGTGCGATGACAGTGGCAAGGTCACCGTCGGTCCTGAGTCTGTTGGTCATCAGCTCACTTCCATGGCTCGAGTATTCGGTGGCGATACACTCACAGCAACCGACGTTGCTGTAGCCTGCGGAGCCAAAATTGGCGACTCCCTGTTAGCTACGGAGATATCTCATTCCATCATCACCGAATCTCGTGCGATCATGAAAGTTAAGTTGGAAAGAGTTATCGACTTGATGAAGACTTCTCCGGATCCTTTAGCGGTCATGGTGGTGGGAGGCGGATCGATCATCATGCCAGACCGTCTCGAAGGAGTATCTCAACTCGTGTCGCCCCCGTACTCCTCGGTAGCAAATGCTGTGGGCGCTGCAGTCGCAAAGGTTGGTGGCCATGTGGATATGGTACAAGACATGTCAACTAAAAGTGTCAATGAGCTGAAGGAAAGTGCACGGCTGGAAGCTGTGAAACGTGCAGTGGACGCCGGAGCTGACGTCAATACTGTCACTCTCGCTGAGATGGAAGTGATTCCTGTACAATATACGGCGAACCAAGTGCGTATCATTGCAAAAGTGGTTGGTGATCTCCGGACACCAGATCACACAAAAGATCAACCTCTGGAGGACGAGGGAGAGTCTTTAGACCGGGAGGATATCTGCATTGCAGGCGCGCAGAAGGATGAAGTCGTCGAGGCGGAAGATTCTTTGCCCATCG